TGGATGCCGCCATCATCACTGGGGTTGTATTATTTTGCATGGGGCTGCCAATCTTGACAGGAAATAAATTCTACACAGGGAAATGAAAATGAATAGTTATAATGGAAATTTTTGTTCTGGGGTTGGTCTAGTCTAGCCTGATTCATCAGCCGGTTTCACTTCATGGAAACCATCTGACCTTGCAGCATTGTTCGCTCGACAGTAGGCGGGTATTTTTTTTATTTAACCAATCGCTGCTATTTGGTTGTGATGTATGGAATGCATCGCCAACGGGGCTAACTGGTGTATTAAACTTTTCTCAAATCCCGTAGGAAGAAGGGCAATAACGTCTTTCCCTTGATAAAATTCACCAAACATTCTCTTTGTTCCTGCTTTAAATCTTTGATCTTGGGAATCGTTGCCAACACAGAATGTATGGCTTCGTTTACATCCATCTCAGCCGCTTTGTTCACTGTTGTGCTGTTGGATTGTGCACAAAAATGGACCCTGTCATGGCTTCACAGCTCTTCGCTGATTGGCCGGTGTGCAGTCTACAACTTCTGGGGTTCTTACAAACTGTCTAGTGTATTCCGATTTCTGACCTAGTTTCTGGAAAGAAATGAAACTGTGCAGACGCACTAGGTGGCGCCAGACTGGCTAGGTCTAGTCACTACAGTTTTGGAACCTTCTCTGTAACTGTAGTAGATTGACCCAAGATATCACCAGATCAGAAATGCAGGGAAATCAGTTCTGACACTATCGCTGTGGCAAAATTCCAGGGTCAGGCTAAATATGTGAATGGGGCTTTACCTTTGAGTGTATACACTGGCCTCACTCTTCATCTCCAACAGCTACACAGCTTATTTTAAGGACGCCATTTTGACGATCAACCCCCATTTTCACCACCACAGGTGTTCACCCACTCCTCTGGACTTCGTTCCCTGATTTTATTTTCTTAATCAGTGATATGCATTTGATTCAGCTGCATCACAGTTATTTTCGTACATTTTTTTAAAAATCGCTAGTGTGATGTTTAGCTATCCATTGGAGGTGCCAACAACTTCAGGTCTTTGTTGTGATGATGTTTACTGGCAATGTCAGCTCCCATAGGACAACACAGTTTTCTGTTTTAGTTTTAGATGAATATTGTGATTTATATGTAAAAAAAAACAAACAACAACATAATAATCCATGAATGTCACAAATTATAACAAAATAGCATAGCAGATACAAGCACAATAGGTCTTTTTTAAATTCTCCACCCTGCCAAATACTTACCATACCATTACCATAAAGAAAGTAATGACAATATGTAGAAAAATAATATAACTGAAGTTATGCTGCATATTCACACAGGGTACCAGTCTTACACAGCCTTGCAACATTGCGGCTTGATCTTTTAATTTGCGTGGATAAACACTAATCCTCATGTCTTTTCCACTCTGCTGCAGAACACAGAGACAGGGCAGACAGGATATGTGGATTAAGGCTTGTTTGGGTGATGGCTGATGTCTCACTCACTGAACAAATCTATAATATGCAAATTTTAAATAAACATTTTTTTCCTGGAATTGATGGGCGATTGCAAATTTGGTTATAAATATGCAAAAAAAAAAAAAAATAAAATAAAAAAAATCTAAATAACTATGTGCCATCAATATCATTTTAACTGCAGATTAATATTTGCTTGGATTCTGTTAGCAATCAGTCATTATATGGCACTTTTCTACTTCACTTCAAGGCACTCAAAGCGCTTTACATCAAGGATCCACTCACCCATTCACACACACACTCATACACCAGTGTACACAGACGCTAGAGGTGAGGCGGGTCAAGTGTCTTGCCCAAGGACACAATGACAGTATAGAGAACTAGCATCACATCGCCAGCCTGTGGGGGATCTGACCACTCTATGAACAATGTTTATGTCTGAGTGTGATCCAAGCCGTTCAGCGCAGATGTCAGTTTATGTTATGAAATGAAATCCAAATGAGTAAAATTGTTGAGAATAGTTTTGTGTCAATATTAAAGTGTATCATATAAAGTCAGACAAATCCCTACTCAAAGAATGAAATGATGACCTAGTAAAAGTCCCCTATTTCTATTTTTATATCTTACGTTAACTATCAACAACACTATGAATGATCTAATATTGTGTAGTAGATTGCAGAAACCTGAGATGACAGAGGGGAGGTCAAAGGGTTATATGGGTGTGTGAGGGGGCGTGCCCAGACACACCCCTCTGCCTCAGTCTGACAAGCTAATACCTAAAAAGGACACAGAACAAGATGAAGGCCCATGGTTCCTGCATATATCTTCATCTGGTCAGCATGTTTAAAGCCCAGTCGTGTCATGAATATTTATGGTGAGCTAAAGACACCTTCACTTTGGCTACAACTCAGTTTGTGATCAGTCTGATGTATGCCTGTGTTTTTGAACCGCTGAGCAGGGTCACTATTTTTTATAGTGCAATACAATTTCCTCTTTTTTTTTTTTTTTTTTTTTTTGACAATAGTAATGGTTTGCCAGTATGTTTGTCAAAGGCGCTGTGGAAATATAAGCTCCCACTTTCTCAGTCTCTGCCTAAATTGGATTTGTTTGCATTCCCCATGCATAGATATAATATTTATCCTTCACCAATGAAATTCCTGAGTTTGTCAGTTGGCTTGTGGCTCAAAAACAAGTCTCTCTTTTGGACTGCCAGTAGGAGTGTAACAATATCCAAGTGTCACGATACAATATCATCACTTTATAATCCTCATGGTACAATATTGCGATATGGCGGGGAGGCTCATGATTAGGGGAACAATATCCAAATCCATCAGTACGATATTTTCACAATATACATCTCACGGATATTTATTCTGATATTTTGTGGAGGCTAACAAAACTATTAATATGTTACTTTTTCCACTTAAAATGCCTTGACAAGACTTAATCCAAAGAACTAAGACTTAAAAGTGCTTAGAACTGTCATTTCTTCTTGTAGTCTACACCAAAATGGAGCAAAGGATCATGGCCTATGTAGTTCCCTCTGCCTTTTTTTTTTAGTAGTAGCTGCACCATAACTCTTAATTTAAGCAAAGAGATTTGTAATTCGATATATTGTGATGTTCCAAGATATTATTGTGAGAATTTTGATGATATGATATCATGATATTTCAGTTATTGTTACATCCTTAGTTGTGAGTTTCACTGCTGAAATCCAGTTGAATAAAAAACTCTCTGAATCGTCACTACCTAAACCCCAGTACCTGCACCCAGTCATTTATCAGTGCTAGTGCAGCTTCTGCAGCTCGGGGGGTGAATTCTGGAAATTCTGATCTTTCACATGATGCATGACCTTTTCACATACTGAGAAAAAATTGTAGCTTATATGTCCTCTGCAAGTTCAGGTGAGGCCATAATATACTTTTTTAAAACAGTAAGAGTGCTGTATGACCATAACACAGTTCCTTTAACATCATTTTAGTGAAATGAATGGACTAATATTTCACATCGTCACATTAACTAAAATATTGCTGAGTAACTAATTCCGATATCACAGTGGTTATGAAAATATTTGGGTCAAAACTTGTTTCCTGTTATATAATGTTCTCAATGGCACAGGCCTACTTTATATTACTCAAATTTAGAACATTAGCTGTAAAAACAAAACAAAGCCCCCTCCTTGGTGCCTTTATTATCCACTCTTCTCACAGCGGAGATCAGAGAGCATCCATGAATAATGACTGCATGATTCATCTGGATACGCACTCGCCCCATAACTCCTGCTCCAACTGTTGATAGTGTCAGCGGCGCCATAACTCAGAGCCGCTTCATTTGGCTAATATGACAGGCGCACTGTGTAAATTACTCGACCTTTACTCACTCATTCATAGATCGTGTGCGTTTGCCCCTCCGTGTTGTCGTACCAGGGTCTCGTAATCTGGCTGTCCCCGTGCGCCGGGAGTAGGCCACGGTCCACGTGAAATATTCAAACGTAGCTTCCACTGCCAATTAGTGTAATGGGAATCGTATTTGCATACAGTGTACGGGTGGGTAATAGAAAAGGACAGGAAAGGACACGCAGGAAAGGTTGATGTCTTTATCAGCCACAGAGTTAAGGAAATGGTAAAAATTATTGTAAAGGTCAAATTGTAATCGTAATACAAAAGTCTACGGAGTCCCAAAGATGCAGCGTGAAGATTATTTTCTTTTCTTTTTTTTTTTTTAAATCGAGATAATGAGGATTAGCTTGTTCTCTGTTCTGGCAGTGATTAAATGATTAGATGTGGATTGAAAAACTTGTATTAGCATAAACAACTTTAACTAAAAAAAGAATGCTTTGGGTGTAAGATATTAAACACCTTTCAAGATAATAAATCACATTGTTGTGAAATTTTTTCACTCCCCACACTGGGTTGTGATGTACTACTTTTGTAACCACAGACGCCCTGGGACTGGTTGATGGGAATGTGACAGCCAATTTACACCTATGTCCTCTCCAAGTACCACACTCTCTACTCTTTCCATGTTTTATGATGACATATCATTGACTTACATACATTCCCTGGGGACTGATCCTAGCCTTAATCAGTACTACTACTACTCCTACACTATTGCTAACCTGAATCTATCCCTATTTTAAATTAAAACCTTGTTGTTGGCTTTACTAGGTCATATGCACTTCCAGTTTGCTGTCCATTCTACTGTATATATCATTCATTATTTAGTTTCTTTTCTTTCTTTAAATTGTTCCTTCATATTGCACATTCCTACTTTTGATTTTTTCTCCACAATGGCAATAAAGATTTCCTGATTCTGACTGATCTAATATTGAAGGATTTACCTCATGCATGTCACAATTTCTGGTAAGTATTATAACTAACAACACATTTCCCCCAATGTGATGAACCTGCATCCACACAATTTTCCATAATCATTTCTAAATTTGTTTAGTTAATGAACTGGGCAGGACACAGTGGTTTATTAAAGATACTTGGTGTTTTATTTACATTATATGACAGAAGATGTGCCATTTTTGTCCATCATAAACTAACAGCAGTCTCCAAGTCAGCAAATCCAAAAGTGAGATCAACAACAGAGCCAAGCACAGGTCAGAATGTCCTGAAATAGCCTGTGGTCACTATTGTACTGGTATGAAATGCTACGAGACCAAGGTTCTGCAAACACTGCCCTTCAATTCAGCTCTTCGAGGGATATTCCTTTATCATTTTTTTACTTAAAGACCCTGTACCTGATTTTATCCAAGTATTTGAGCAGTAGATATATGTTGTATAAGCAGCTCTTGTGGTCAAATTATGTCTGCGGCGTGCTGTCTGCATCTAATTATGAAGTGTTTTATTGTCTGATAATCAGGAAGTGTGCTGTTAGCATGCTTTAACACAACAGCAAAACTCCACTGTGGACTCTGATAGTTGTGAAAAGTGCTTATAAAGACATTACGGAGAATCATTGGAGATGAGGAATAACTTTGGACCACTGCAAACTGTTTTAAATGAGCAGTTTCTCACATTTTTTAAACAATAAAAATCAGGTACAGCGCCTTTAATGCTGGTGGTCAAGCATCATGGAAGCTACTGTTCTGTGGTCATTTGTTTTTAAAGTAAAATTAATTATACATGACTAAATTAAAACCATAAAATAAAAATATGCATATTTTTATTAGCGGACCAGGGACATGTATCAACTCTGTGTTTGTCTCTGCTGTTGAAATCAGTATAAACAAGAGCCAAAAAAGTTATTTGTCATCATCTACTGAGAGCCTCGTGTTAGGTATTTGACTCAGAAACCGTTAGATAGAGTTTGGCAACATGACAGTATTAAAACTATGCCCCACAAATAAAATGGCCTCCACAATGACAACTGAGAATAAAAGAATTAGCTCTGAAACATGGAAAAGTTTAGTAGAGTTTCAAATGTAATTGCTTGGGGTGATTTGTTAATGGCACATCTGACGACAGTAGAAAAAAGAAACAACGTGGAAAATGTGAAAAAGTCAATGAATTAAAATATCTCTAAATATTTCTTCTTATAGATTTGATTTTGAGTATAATAAATAGATCTCATTTGTCAATACAGTCCGGGGTGTCACTGAACGCCTCATGTATTTGGCACAGTCCAAGTGGACACTGCAGAGGTCCAGAATAACTGTCATCTCTAAACACTACTCTCTCAGCATACGCACAAGTATTGCCACGAGATTTGTCATGTTAATATGTTAATGCATCACTCACAACATTTGGAGAGAACCAGTACCTGCAAAACACACTGTTAACAGATCGAGTTTGTAAAAATATGTGAATGACGCGTGCTATGTTTGATTTGTATGTTCTCTGTAGTAAGAAAGTCAACATAAAACAGTATAAGTCAAATAAAACTTTTTCGCTACATACACATCAGTGCATCATAGATATAAATAAGTGTATTGAATCAAACCAACAGGGAGAACCAGTGAGATGTGTTCGCTTGACCAAAAATATCAGTGTTTTAAACTATAGCTGAAACCTTGCATAGGCTGAAACCACGTTAAGATCAAATGGAACAAAAATAGTAATTTAAACTGTTTATATCTTTGGAACTACTATGACATCATTCACAATTCTCCTATCCAGAAATGTATCGTGAAAGTACTCGAAATATTTAGTATGAATGCATACAGTACATGTGTACCACTGAGTGAGCAGTATTGCAGCTATAATGTTGTGTTGCAGATTCTGGTTCTCTGAATATTCACAGCAAAAACATTCATGTTTTTGGTCTCACAAGTTGCACCTATTTGAAACGTCACAACCAAGATGAGAAAGTAGCAAATACAGTAATTTCCTACAGTAACTGTGACTTTGAACTGCACATTTAACTGAAAGTCCTACTTGAGTTTACAGATATGTTCATAAAATACTGAGTTTGATACTTGAAGTACTATGCTGTAATTTGGTGTGTAGGTCTCTGTCTGAGTGGTTTCTGAAGTTGATGCATAGAATCATTCATTTGGGAAATCAATACTACCATGACTAAATAATGAAGAGCATGTGTTTACATCGCTGAAGATACGCTTCAGGTGTAGTGTTGAGAGCATGGTCACAGATTCTACACAGTCCATGTTTGTCCCAGTTCACAGTCAGGTCTCCTTCTCCTCACTAAAGCCTCACTAAAGCCTCACTATAGCCTTACTAAAGCCTTACTATGGCACATGACTTTAGATGCTGGTGTTAGACTCACAATGCTTCATGTCTAAGCAATTAGTGCAGCAGGATGCTTTGGCCACTTGCACAATCCCTCACACATTTTCATCTGAGCCACAGTAAACACAAAGCTGTTGGCGGCTGTTGCATTCATCAATTCTATTATAATTCCATTATGAATCCTGATAAGTCCATCACATTTTTCCAATACGTTAGAAAACAATTTGGTAAATGATTTATACTCTGTGTAAGTAAAAATAGACATTTCTCTACAGCCTAATAAAAATGATCCTTAACTTTGCCCTTGTCTTATATAATAGCCACACTTCCCCAACACTTCCTGAGCTACACAGTCTTAACTCATGTATTTATATCCAGGGCCTAAAAATGATGTGCCACAAATGTTCCATTTGCACAGGACAGAGCGACAGTAAATGAGTTATGTGAAATGTTACGTCTACGTGTGAAACCTGCAAACCTCCAACACAATGGTTTGCACTAAGTCTTGTCTCTTATTGGTTGGTCTGGACAAAGTCAAACGGAGCTTCTATCAGATATTGGAGCATGTTTACTTACAGTAGAGACCTGGTCTGAGGACCATGTCTTGTTAGCTCAGTGGGTTAAGGCGCCGACTATGAAGATGTCTGATATTACCTGTGCAGACACACTCCAATATCTGAAGAGATCCATGTGGTCCTTTGTCCTGACAGGAGCAGTAAAGGCACTGAGTGGGGATCTCCTCTGTTCTAAATGTGTTAAATGGCTGTTGATTCTGTTGTGGGCTAATAGCAACAGGCTGAGATGAGCTGCGTACCATACGTTTGCCATGAGTCCTGATTAGACTTCTCCGTACAGTCCAAGCTATATCCCCTTGTTTCTGTGTTCTGCAAAAACACATGATACTACGATATACTGAAGAGACTCATGATCCAAAGTGTGATGTCCTCAGTACAGCCAGCCATGATGCACAGCAAACATCTTTGAGTAGTGTTTACTCTAATCAACAAGTATCGCTTCAGCTGAATTACTGATCCCAACAAAACTGTCTTTATAACATCTGCCCCGGGGCTCGTCTCCTCCATGGACCCCAATGACAGGACTGTTACTGTTTTATACTGCAATATGAATGTTGTTATCTCCTAAATTCTGTAATACGATGGGTTTTATGTGTTAGATGAGACACGAATACTGTTTCTAGTATAATGTGTTGTATCTCCAGATTTTGTATTGAAAAATCCAGTCCAGTATGCTGCATAGTCCATCATAGTCCACGGGTTCAAATGCAGCCGGCTCACAGTATCCTCACTACAAACTGGTCTCTCTTAGAAACATGGTCCCGATGCTGTACGACACTTTCCTCATGGCGGCTGGGGGGGCTGAGCGTGAGCTGGTTAAGGAGGCGTGGCTGTGAGATGTCCCCGCCTCCAGGAAGTAACACGTCCCTGGGATCTCTTTGGGGAAATTGTCCGGGAGCTCCAGTCGTGAACGGGGAGTAAAAGAAAAGGAGCGGTCGTCTTTTAGCAACCTAGGACAAAAACAGAGAATTATATGTGAATCTTTTGTCAAAGGTATAGCATGTTTTCAAAGTACTTACTGGTATGTTGTGGGGCTGACGTTGATGCATCTCGGCTGGCTCCCAGATTCAAACTTGCTGGCCAGAGTCACATTGTTCCCAAAGAGACAGTAACGTGGCATTTTGACCCCGACCACTCCTGCCAGCACTGACCCCGTGTGGATGCCTATTCTCAGCTGAAGACAAAGGCAGGGCACACATTGAAATTGTTATTATTATAGCAAAAGAAAATTAAATTTTGACAAATGGACAAAAGTTTTAAAGACGTTCACCCATGCGGCTTCTTCAGATGTCTTCACTGTAAAACTTTTGTCCAGTTGACAGAATTTAATTTTTCTTTGATATTTATACTACCTGCACAATTAAGGGATTACACAGGCTAATATTTTACAATTATTAAAAAGAACAAATAAAATAAACATAGATGAAACTTGTTTATGTTTTGTTTCGGATTGCATAGATATCACTTACAGACAATGTTTTACTTATTAGAAGATACCTTAGAGTCTATTATTTAACCTGTATACTAGCATTTTATGCATAACTTGTGGCACTGGAGCTGAAGTCAAATTTTAAAATGCTTCCTTACAATGCAATTTGTATTCCAGCCCCATAATCTCAGCATATTTCCTGTGGAGTTCACATTTGTTTACATTAGCGACCATATATTATATGGCGGCGGGGTGTTCATTTATCAACTGAATGGCAAAAAACAATTGGGATTCATTATTCTAATGGATATTGCATTTAAATTTGCATCGTTTTCAAATCAGAATTCAGTTAATAGTCCACACTGTAAACACATCCAGGAGCATTCCCATTTGAGAGAAGCATTCATAACATGTTAGAAGATGTCTAAACACCAGAATACTAGACAGGTTATTTCGTTGCTTGCAGATGTCATCATTATACTTTGCATTACATTGATTGCTGTCTATGTGACCTGGTAATTGTGACGATTCAAATTTCCATTTTTATTTTCATCTTGCAACTCTACATAGTCTATTTATAGCAAATATAAAGACATTCATGCCATGTACAATTGGAACAAACATATATTCCCAAGACAGTCACCATTTTTCACAGCCTATTGACTACTGATCTCAAATATAGGACAAAAAAACAAAGAGGGTTTTTAATGGTCTGCTGGAGCATCCCGTTGCCCCGGTAACCAACGCCACTGTGAGCATGCCAGCACACTGCACAGTCGTCATGGCAACAACAGGCAATCGGGTAGTGAGGCAGAACGAACGCGGACAGAAAGACAGAAGGAAGGACAATAGAGAGAGCGGAGCAAAAATAAACCTATAATTAGATGCAGAAACCTTGACAGTCCCGAGCCTGGATAAGACAAGAGAGAAGGCCGGACGTGGGTGAACCGCCGTGACCTATTTTTAAACTCACAGATGGCTCGTACACTTGTATGTGTCTGCTCCTACAACAGATAGCATTGGTTCACACTCGTATAAACAAATGTGCATCCAGCGCTGTTGCCCGCCCTCCCACGCGCTCGCTAGCTGCTTTTTGATTTGCTGAAAGAAGCCAGACATTCAAAAACCTGCGCAGCCATCTTTTTCCATATGATTCAGCAATCACAGCGCTCTGCACTTTGGTCCAATCACAAAACAGTAGGATCGCGATGAGCCAATCACAGTCAAGATAACGATAAATGAAAAGATGAATGTGAAAAGATAACTCCGGTCACAAATATATTCTGTATTGCTTTAGTTGGTGATAACTTTAGACTCTAAGACGTAAATAAAGCTATCCATCTTCTGAGATACTATACTTCTCTGTGATTGGTCAAAACTTCTGGTCACTCATGACGGAGGCTGACAAATAGGAGAAGTGCATGGGGAGAGTAGACTGCATCCATAGAGGTACATGACAATGTATTTGAGCAAAAATTGTCTTGCCCCACTATAGCAAAGGAGAAATTCAATTTGTCAACTGGACAAATATTTATTTAGATTGAAAACATTTCGCAGCTCATCCGATCTGCTTCTTCAGCTATGGTCAGATGGTGGTGGACACTGCCTTATATCTGTCTGAAGGGGGACGCTAACTACACTGAAACTACTCTGAGCAATACAGTTAAAGAGGCTATTTTTGTTAGGAAAGACAGTCCTTCCTTGAACAGAAATGGAGACCTCAGACATCATCTGTGTCCCATTTATAACTCTATAATGAAACCTAAAACAAAGAGAACAATAGGGGTAGCCAGGTCAGGGCCAGAGGTGTGAAAACACTCATTATGGGCCTGAATGATTATGCTAATATGACCGCACACTCAGTACAAATGAATAGGCCTACCTAATAAACAGAAACCATAAATAAACAAGTTGGTTGTTAGTTTCAGAGTTGTTTCAGTGGAGTTAGCTCCTTCCACCAGGCAGATATAAGGAAGTGCCCAGTAGCACCTGAGCAGAACTGAAGAAGTGGCTTCGATGAGCTGTGAAACATTTTTGACCTAAATAAACATTTGTCCAGTTGACAAATTGAATTTGTCCTTTGTCATTGATTCTAGCTGGACAACTGAAGGATTCTACACACATCTTGCCCCAGTATATTGTGTAAGCAGCTCTTGCTGTCAAAATAAGTCCACTGTGAATTATCAGCATTCTATTTTCTGATAATCAGGAAGTGCACGGTTAGCATGCTAGTTGTTATTGATAGCATTATGGTGATGCTAACTCTACTCTGGTCTCTGAAAGTGGTCAAAAGAGCATATATAAACTAGGGGTGTCAAATTATCGCGTTAATTGCGATTAATTAATTACAGTCATATTTAGCGCGTTATGTTTTTTAATCGCGTTAATCTCATTTTTAATCTCTAACTTTACTGTTTCTGTATGCGAGTTGCTTTACTATAAAACCTGTTTTTATGTGTTGTTGGGACAACAACACACACACACACAAAAAACACATTTATACATTTTTTTATTTCGGTAATTCCACTCATTGCTGGAAACCCACACGCGCGCAGTAAGAGCGATGTAAACGTCATGTTAACGTTGGCGGCGTCAGTCGCACAATGGACGAGGTCGAAGAGCCAGTAGAACAGAGTCAGCAGTGCACAGGTAAAAACGCATTCGTGTCTTGGAAATTATTCTCCCGACGTGAAATATAAAAGAAAATAACAAATATAAAATCGCCTACAACTTAAATGTCACTGGTGAAAACAACCTGCATAGGCTCATGATGTCTGCACTACTGTCCTATAGTGACCTGCCACATGAGGGGACGCGCACACAAACACAAACACAAACAAACACAACACCTTCATCATCGTCATTAACCTGAGAACGCGCGGACCACGTTTCCTTCCGTAGACACTGCGCGGACACCGACGTGCTCCCGTGAGCCGCGTGTGGATCGTGTTTTCTCACGTACGCTGCGTAAACCGCGCTTCCTCCTGTGCGCCTCTAAACCAGAACTAACACTAAGACTAAAACCAGAACTAAACCAGTCCACGACTAAACCAGGACTAAACCAGGACTAAACCAGAACTAAACCAGAACTAAAACCAGAACAAAAAACCAGGTCTAAACAAGAACTAAAACCAGGTCTAAACCAGGACTAAACCAGAACTAACACCAGGACTAAATCCAGGATTAATCCATTCCAGGACTAAACTAGGACTAAAGTAGGACTAAAGCAGGTCTAAACCAGGACTAAAACAAGGACTAAAACCAGTGATCTCATATATAAAGCATTTCTCTATCAATAATATTTTTAATATGGTTAAGGAAAGACTGGACTTTTTATTGTCTTTAAGTAGACAAAAGTTATTATGTTCAGATTTCCTCGTCTTTGGTACTTTACAGCAAACAGTTTCTTATTCATGGAGACTTGGGCTCAACAGCCAATTTGGAGAGATTTGTTAAACAATAAATGACTTTATAAAGTCACTTTTTTTGTTCTATATCAGTCTTTTGATCTGTCACAATAATGTAATAATGAATTTAAATGAAAATACCTCAAATTGAAGGCTTTTCTCAGCAATTTTTAGGTGAGATTAAAATGAGATTAATTAGATTAATTAATTACAGATCATAATTAATTAATCTCTCAATTTTTTTAATCGCATGACAGCACTAATATAAACAAATAATAAGAATGATTAGAATGCATAAGGTACATGTGGAACAACTCTGGACCACAGCAAATGGTTTAAAATTAAGTAGTTCTGTTTTTAAGATGGTACAAATCAGGCACAGTGCCTTTAAATTAATCTTAAATAGCTGCCCACTGAATGACACCTTTTTATGAGCACCAATTTGGCGTTTTTGTAATCTCTCTCCTCATTATGCTCTTCTTGTGGGCCTCTCATAGCTCCCTCTTCTCGCTGCCTCATAGCGCTACACAGCTCTCATGCTAGTTTGCATAACAGAGCAACTGGCTGGAGATGAGTGCACTCAGTAAAAGGCGTTGATCATGGCGGATCTGTAGCACTCCTTAATTCTAAAACCGACGGGAGGAGGGCTAAGTGCAACATGCTGCAACAGAGAAACGAGTTGGAATAGAAGGCAAACCAATGAGAAGTAAAAAAAGAACAGCAATTTGGGAGAGAAAATGGAGGAGTGGGAGACCATGCCAAAAAATGCTTGGCAAGGACTTTCTATTTTGAGACAAATGTTTGGGGGCAGCAGTGCACGGAACAGTGTCCAGTTTGCTATCCTGTGGCTATTTGAATTTGGATACAATTAAATTATTAATGAAAACACTCTTGTAAACAGTTCCCATCAAACACTGGCTGTGAACCTGGCCAACAATGCTAATTCAGTTGGGTCATTTAAGGGGACTTTCAAGAGACCAAAGCAAGACAGATAGGACAGAAATATATCTTTGAATGCAACTGAATAGACTTATGGTTCAACTGAATAAAAAGTAAAAGAGGGTAAAATCTAGGAACTAAACATTTGGATTACTATTGGTCTGGATTGATAAAGATTGTCTCCATTCTTTTTCCTGTCATCCTATTATTTTCCTTGGCTCCAGCCATCCAAATCAGAGCTGATGAAGCCTATCTGATAAAAGTCTGGATCTATTACCTGTGTCCTGTGCTGCAGCAACCTTTTCTTATCCTTGTTTATTTAAATTTTTTTAAGTATTGTATTATGCCATCACCCTAGACCTCACAGCACTTACAGAACAAGTATTATTTTCTTGAGAATCTTTGTTTTGGCATTTTGTGATTTAAAACTTAAAATAATAGGTAATTTAAAGACAACAGACATCATTTCACAGATTCCCTGCTCCCCAAGCAAACATTTTTCTAACATGGATAAAAATGACATAAGTTAGTTTTGCATAACATAACAGTCTTCTTTAACCAATTGGGGGCAAATTGCCTCTCAAAAACCACACAAGTCATTGATTTAAACGCACTCTCTTCCCCATTTGTAAACCTCTCATTTCCCTTCTCTGACCCAATTTCACCCCAGAAGCAGAAGAATCATCATTCTCCTCAGACTCTCCCAATTCCTCCCTGCACCACCATCAGTGTTTAGACCCCAGGGAGAGATTTCATTCTCTGACACGTTGAAAAATAAGGTAATGTATGCCAAGAAGACTTAAGGATTATCTCCCGAGTTAAGAAGATTATGAGAAAAAGTCATGGAACAGATCAAACTATCTACTAAACTTTGGAAAAATAATAGTTTCTTTAGTTAAAATGTACCTGGATAAGTAGTACTAGTAGCTCACCTTGATTGGCCTTCCATCCGGTGTAAGTACTTCCTCTGAAAGCTCCATCATCTTCAGAGCCATTTGAGCGATGGGCTTGGCGTGACTGTCCACCTTCTTATGCAGTCCCCCTGCCACACAGTAGGCATCTCCTATGGTCTCAATCTGCAACAGAATTTATTAAAAATGTTGTCAGTGGTGTGGATATCGACACTTTTTTGTAATAATCTCAGACAGCTTTCAGAAATGCCTTGACTGAGCATGTTCCAGACAAACTCAAAGCTTTTCTTCTCTGGATGTTTTTGTTGGTCTTTAAGGTGTTTTGATAACCACAGAATCTTGCCTGCATAACCCGACAGTCTCGCTTAAATTTATGATATGGAAAAAAGAGTGTTTTTGATTCACTAATACTATACTTGTCAAGGAGTAATACAATTTTAATGCCAGTCTTTAAGTTTGAGTAATTTAGTGTGCTTTTATTAAGGTTGATTCTTGATTCCTGTAAATGAGCAAATATTTCATGTTGTCAACCATAAACTTTGTATGCTGTGTGATGTTGTCTGCATTGAATTATTAAGTATTTTATCAACTACAAACAAGGAAGAAAGAAAGAGTCGTAAACATTGCTAGGATTGACTGAGCACTGTGGCACACCCTTGCTTCATTTTGCAGTGAGAAAAAACTGCGAAATTCTGTGCAATTCTGATGTGCCAATCGATTTGTGAGAGCTAGAAACAAGTTAGAGACTCATTACGGATAATATATACTTTTTTCTTTCTCAGTAGAAAGTCAGTAAATGCATCTTTAAGTTAGTAGGTCTATTTTTTTTTAAAGTTTTTTTAATGTATGTTTTTTTTTTCCTTCAAGCTAAATCTGTAAGATAAAAAATACATTTGCACTCGTAAAAGAATAATTTTACTTTTTTTGAATACTTTAAGAAGTCAGACAAAGAACTACACATAACTATTCAAATCAAGATAACTATTCTACATAGAGAAGTAGATCCTATTGCAATTAGGTAGCTAAGTTGCGAAAAAACAGTGCTTAAAAATGTTTCCATCTTTCATTCTATCTGTTTCTCACTTTGACTTATGTGATTCCTCCTTAACCACATCTGTCTTCTTTCTGTCAGTTTCCTCATCTGCTTTAACTCTTTCTTCCTCTCTTCTGCTGTCATTAATTGACATTACTGCTCCCTAATGTACTATAAACATGCATTGTTGGAAACAATCTAATACACTTTCTGACTTCAAGTTATTTTAAATTATGGGCAGCTACAGACATGACTTTTTCTCATCATACATGTTATAAACTCCACAGAGCTTTAATTGAAAGCGATGTCCTATTGAAAGAAAGCTCTGAGAAGTGAAAACAAGGAGACAAGCGGTTTCCATTTCGACTTTGCAGCAGGAAAGTCATTCAGACAGTAACCATGACAATAGCAACATATGGACGTTCCTCTGTGCCTTCTCTGCTCTCTCTCTTTCTGCCTATTCACATAAAGCCTCTGACAACAATCTCCACTCTCTTCTACAATATTGTTTACCTGACATCTCTGACAAATAGCAGATACAAACTATTTACTGTAAAGTAGGTTGAGATGATAAGGAAGAAGTAAAAAAGGTGTAAATGATGATATGTGAGGGAAAGAGCAAAGCTAGGGATGGTTTTAGAGCCTATTGGAGTGCCACTGTGTCAGATGGCCAATAATCACACATGGTTGTTAAGCTGCGACAAAGCGGACATTAATCACTGACTATTCCCCAACTCGGGCCCACACTGACACGAAGAAGAGCACGTCGTCTCTAAGGCAAAATACAACTGCAGTTTTATGGGTTTGGCTTATAATGGTAGCAGGTAATATAACATGCACAAGGAATAACTGAAGATTTGATTATCTTTAATAAAACTACAGCTTAGAGCAAATGGTAAATGTATGTATTTCTTACTACTTTTTTATCAAGTGTTACCTCTTATACAGAAGGGAGTAGTAATCCATTACACTTATTCCATAATAATCACGTAATAATCACTTTAGAATCCTTTTGAATGAATTGTAGTGTACTTCTAAAAGTAGTTTAATCACACCAAATTTAAGGCATTTGTTGTTGCTTCTTTTATATTACTTTATAATGCTGTAATAGCAGAAATAATGTATTATGTTAAAGATGCACTATGTAAATTTCATAGTAGTGGACCCACCCCTTGTTTGTCTCTACGGAGAGGTTTTTGCACATCAGTGAAAGCAGGTGAAAAGATAGATTTTTATCAATAGCACTCCAACTATTCAAATTGAATAAATCAATATGTTTAAAGCCACATTATGGAATCTTCTAGGCAAAGCAATAACATGCAGATAAGCAGGTGGAAAACCCCGGTCGTTCCTAAAGGTTGCACAGCTTTGGGCCGCTCCTCATTTCAGTTCTCTGCAGCAAATGACAGGAACCACCTTCAACAGACTTTAAAACTTAGTTTGTTTTTACCTCTGTCAATTTTTAAAAACTCCCACCAGAGTATTGTACAGGATAATTGCACATGCTTTTAACACTTTTATATCTTTAATCTGCAAATGTTTCACTGCTTATGTCTCTATTCACTGTTTCATGTTATGGTTGATGTATGAGTATACTCTGTTAGGGCTTCTGTTTTACTGTATATTGCCTCTTGGCAAGGTCGTCATTGCTAATGAGAAGGTGTTCTCAATTGACTTACCTGGTAAAATATTTAATAAATAAATAAAAAATAAAAAAATTGAAATGTTATATAGTGCACCTTTAAGTTCTATCTGACCGTTTACATCAAGGATGAAAAAAATCAATCAGATGTTATGCTCAAACACTTACTTGTAGTATTCTCAGCAAATACATTCAGAACTGAAGAAGCAGCTTGGATGAGCTGCAAAATGTCTTCAACCGAACTAACTTTTGTCCAGTCGACAAACTGAATTTTCTCTTCGCCATTTTGAGTAATTATTGGGATCACTTACACAGTGTATATTATTTTTAAGCAACAATGCTCTGACTTTACTTCCTAGTTATGTTTTGGTAGTTAAATAAAAATGCATTTATATATATTAAATAATTAGATACATTTTTTATTAACTCCCGACCTCTTAAACCAGCATCACACGATCACAAATTTGTATATTTATACAGCATCTTGTCCAAGAACTCTACAACTACAGCTTGCAATCTATCAGCGGGACTCAAACCACAAACCTTATAGACGTCCAGTATGCCACACTGGTAGTCGAAGCGTGTGTAGAGCTCGTTCAGCATGGAGATGACCTGCATAGGCGTACACTGAGCGCACACGGCCGTAAACCCCACAATATCCGAAAACAGCATAGTGACATCATCAAACTTCCGGGCGGGAACGTGCTGACCCTGCCACAACTTCTGAGCCACATCTCCCGGGAATATGGAGTAGAGGAGATCCACTGTCCTCCTCTTCTCCTCCTCCAGAGCTTGGTGTGTCCGCTCCAGTGTGGCCTGTTAAAAGAGACAAGAGTCACAGGATTAGCTTAGTTTTATTCAATGTGCTGTTTGACTGAAGACTTCTTATGGGACTAGTGCAGCAAATTAAACCTGCTGAGGCGTGCAGTGGTGGAGTTATTTGATTTATTAGAGTTATTTCTCATCTGCGTGTACTTCTTTGGTCATATTGGAAAGATAGTCTCGGTTGATGTGAGGTTTTGTCATTGTTAAAGGTAGCAAGTGAAATAAATAGTGCCAAGGTTTGATTGTGAGTCAGTGTTATTCTTAATTGTGTCTAGGTGGGTTTCCTTTGAGTATTTTGGTTTCCCCCTTAATCTACAACTTGCACAACCTCCATCGAGGTGCTCTTAACCATGAAATAAGATCATGATCTGGAAATGGGTCCCCAGGCACTGAACTGAAGTAGCACATACAGCTGTTTCTGACAGGTTTCCTCAGCAGCATTGAAGGTTGAAGTAATTGGTGACTTTACCCAAATCAAATGTCAAAAAGTGTAACAGAAAAACAATATTAAAATGTAAACAAAAGAACCACAGAACAACATATGAAGCTGTTACTGCTGTGTCACCATCATAGTCTGTATAAAGAAGTGCACAAAGCGAATGGGAGCGAATTTAGAGTCAGGCTCTATATTATGAACAGGATTTTTTAAACAGACAAAATAGCAGAAAATGAAAAAGCCAAGATCATGCAGACATATAAACATTTGAAGACCAAAAAGATGAGGCTCGCAGCAGCAGTTACAGAGAGATGGGCGAGAATTTTCCAATGTAAGTCAATGGGAGCCAGGGTCAGCAGGAGCCGGAAGAGCCCACATGTGAACTTCCTATTTGGAACACAGCAGCTAGTGCATTAACCATTATGTACATTTATATATACAGTCTGTGGACACTACTAGGAAATATATTTATCACTCTGTTGTGTCAGAATATTAAGAACAAGTTTAGTATCTGAAAATTCAATGAGGATATGTAACAGCGGACCAGATCTTTATAGATTGAAATGATTTGGAATGATTTATCTTTTGTGTGTAATGTCTAAATTGATAAGCATTAAACCCAAAAGGAGTTGGCAAAGGAGTTTGGCAAATATCCTTCACCATATCGTGTTATTGTATTATTTTAGTTTGCACGCCAGGGGTCTCCAGCCTTTACCCCTCCAGTAAGCTACCTTTACAAAAGTGCCAGAGAGATACTAATTTTAATGGTCACAAGTAATTGATCAACATAAGAGCCACAACAAGCCTTAGATGGGGTACAGTTAGTTTGTCCATTTAACAGTGCACAAAGGCATCAATCAGGCATCAAAATTATATATTTACAATGGTAATAGCCATTTAATTCATCACATTTTAGTTATGCAGCACAATACATATAATTCAGAAATCCCGTGTCGATCTACTTGGAAGGGGGTATGCTGTGTATGTCTTGAAAAGCCAACTCAAAACTTTATTTAAACTAAATACTAAACTTTTAAAAAAATGTTTAAAATGTCCACAATGTTGTGTAGCCCATCTATTGTTATTGTGTTATTTATAGATATATCTTAACTATTTGTTGTGACACACTTTGTAACTTCCTTGTTTGTTTAAAGTGCTATATAACAAACGCTTGCTTGTTATGCCTAACCACCAGTACTGCACCTTTAACTTATCCATCCTCTTCTTCAGGCCGTCCTGTGCTTTGGCCTGCTCTCCCACCAGGATCACGTCTCTGGTGGCGTCATGGATGGGAATGTCGGACAAATGGAGACCGCGCCCCATCAGCTCTTCCAGTTTATCTACACGAGGAGAGCCCAGGAACATCAGCGAACAGGACTCAGGGACGTGGAGCATCTGACCTTTCAACTCCATCACCTGACCACCAAAAGATACAAGATTAATCAGAGTTAGGCTCAAAGGTGAGATTTGAATAAGCAAAAGGGAGATAGGGAAATGTTGCGTCAGGTCGTGTGGGTGGAAAGTTAAGGTTATTCTCAATAGGTTGTATGGAAATTTTGACTTTCCATTAGGGTGAGGAATAAAACTCCAAAACTAAATGAACACATGGGAGTATCCTCGGGATAACCAGAGAAGTGTGATGTACTTTTTACTAGTTTATTCATTAAAAATAGTTAATATTTGAGAAAATATGGTAAGAAGATATAAACTTGACCCAAAAATGTGTTGTATCATTTTATCTTAACTTCATGATGAAAGTGAACATGAAGGCAAATTTGTGAATTGTAAATTAACAACACGGATAATTTTGCATAAAAAAACCCCCCACAATAATCCTTTTTTAAATAAAACAAAGCTGCCAGGATTCAGATTAACACTGTGTTAAAATAAATAATAACAGTCAGTCGTGTGGATAGTTAATAGTTAGCTATAGTTAGATCAAATGTGTATATTTTGTCCAGTCATATAGCTAATTTTAATCAGAAAACTAGTGACAGGCAGCACGGCTCTTTTCAGAGATTCGGCTCAGATTGACTCCCAGAGAAGAGCCAACTCTTGTGGTTCACAAATGGATCCCTATTAATTATCATTTGGAGAATTTTTCTGCAACAAAAATGGGTATATTTAATCTGTTGTAAAAATAAAACTATCTGCTGTTGTATGATGTTATATGTAATTTAAAACAAGTGTCTTTTTAATCCTTGTATATTTGTTTTGCTTACTGGTCCACCACCTAATGCACAGCTTTCTGTCTACTACCCATATTACTTATGTTTTAGATCTGTAGTGTGTTTTTTTTCCAGATCTGAGCAGGAGCCCTTGCATGGAAACCAGGTGGCTTTTCTGACTCACAAGAATCAATTCTTAGAGCCAGATCTGAACTGGCCAACCCATCACTACAGAAAAAACAACATTTGAAACTGATAAACTGATAAACTGATGGCCTAGTTATTAACACGAGAAATACATAATCACCCTAATGCCACTAAATCCTCAGAGGTCATAGCACTACAACTACTGCCTCACAACTGCTCCAACTCTTTTTGAAAATGCGTGCATGCACCTAAAGAAAATAGCTGTACTACGCAATCCTAGGATGCGACTTGGCTCTGCACCTCCAGTTCTATACCACCAATTTTATACCTTTCCTTAAATACCCACAACGCCTTGCTCTTCTTCATCCCTCCTCCTCTCCCTCTCTCTCTTCCTCCATAGTGTCAGATAGATTATTCCGCTAGTGAGCACACTGCAGCTCTGTTTTATTTATAGCACAAGGCTCTCCTAGGTCTGCATAATACATAGTCTACATCCACACACGATTCATCTTTGCACTAACACACCCAATACGTCTCAATAGGCCGCACATGTCCATCTCTCAGAACAAACATATGGAAGGTGATCAAATATGCACGTGGTATCAACGTGACGGCAAAAAATGGATGCAATCGCGACAAGTGATTGGCACAGGAATGCTAATTAGCTGAAAATGTTATGCTCGAGTCTATATTCCCTCGTGTAAGCTTCAAAAATTCTTAAAACTTTGTGAGAGCTTAATTATAGGCTAGGTGTCGTTATATTGGATGTTTGTGTGCATACGGGTGTCAGTCAGGGTGCAGAGCCGCTGTTTGCTGAGGTAGTGTCTGCCGAGTGGGAGGGCCTACCTGCCTGCCTGCCTGCCGTACTAACAGTGGTCGCCATGGAGACTGTGAAATCAGGAAAGCCACAGACAAAGTTCAACACATACTCCAGATCCGCTTGTACAAATGTCGCTGTCAGACCCAATGTGGACAGTGTGGAGGAGAGGAGAGGAGATAGAGTGTGTGACAGAGGATGGATGAATGTAGGAGATTTGAAGGACACTTGTTTAAAGCTACTTTTTGTATTTAGTATATGATTTTTTTTTTCAACATATTGATTTCTTGTTTGATGAGAAGACTAATGAATTGGAAACAGAATGCAAGAATAACAGTTAGTCTGAAGTTTGAAAATATTATCGTGGAGTGTTTGAAATGAAGCTCCCATGCTTAGTTTTTAATAGAACAAAGATTCAGTCATTTTAAGTAGTCAATGATGCTCTGGAGATTTTCACTGCAGAGTTCCACAGCCAATCCTCGAGAGCAGAGTTCAGAGTTTGGAGGAATAATAAATTTTGAGTTAAATGGGAATAACTTAAAGTCTGTCTGGTCTATGTTATTGAAATCAATATTGAAAAACATTTTTATTGGAATTTGAAAAAAGAATCACTAACCTAAAATGAAATAACCTCAGTGAATTGCTTTATTGCTGCAGCACACGAAAAAGCAGAGAACTACATAGACCATGATCCTTTGCTTCTAGTAAAGTCTACATAACAACAACAACAACAAAAAAAAAAAAGTGTATTAATCCTTTGAAAGAGCAATGATTAAAAGCTTGTTAAAGTACATTTAGAGAAAAGGTAGCATTTCTGCAATACCCTTAGAGCTGTAGAGCTGTAGACGCCAAATGAAATTCTAAAGACCTGTCCTGCAGATCGATTAGTCGACTAAATAGAGGGAGTGGCAAATGTATCTTTGACCCAAACTGCACTCACAAGACTACACCTGCACAGGAGTTCATGCAAAAACAGCTATTTATGCAGAAAAGTACTAGGAAAGAGTGAGTATTTTAAAACAGAATGAACTTCTGAATCACTTCTGAACACTTCTGAAGTAGTTTAATCTGCCCTTTTTTACATATAAATACCTAAATACTAAAATCTTCAGCTGACTCACTTCTCATTTTCGCTCTTGTCCCATTTAAATTCAAAATAAATAAAAAGAGCAGTCGACTTATAGAAATTTTGTTAGGCTAAGGCACAGTCAGTTGATTAATCGAGGCCTACAGCCCTTTCAACCCTCTAAACATATTGTAATAATAATTTAACTCTGACAATTATTATTACATTCTCAGGGAGTATTACTGTAATATAATAAATACTATTGCTTAGGCAGCCGATTGTTACACAAGTATTTCTCCGTCTCCTCCCCCTGCTGCTTGTGGGCTCACACGTACACACAATGGACACATGTGACATAATAATATAGAATGGGACTCAGAGACACACATCCCTGGAGGCCATCGCGTTGGCCTAGTTGTACGCTCAGCTCACTCTTCAGTCCTTCTGCCTGCATCTCCCTGCCACAGCCAAGATTCAGATCAAGATGAGCAGAGAAAGATTACACAATATAAAATGGGTCTGAAAAATGTTTTAACTTTGATTTAGAGTTTAACCATTTCAAAAATAATCACTGATAATATCACAATAATTGAATCTAAACATGTGAGTTAAAGACATGCATAATTTCCTATTATGAGTAATGTGGTGTTTAAACAAGTATTATGTAATTGTACTTCATAACTCAAAACAACATAATGGTTAAGTAGCTTTTAGTCTGGTGGTGTAATGGTGATTATCTTTGTTGGCAATTATTATTATTTATTGTCCCTTTCCTAATAATATACAACAGGTTTGAGGAAGTGAAAATAAAATAAAAATGATATCATTGTGATTTGTATGACAGGAATTGTGATTGCCATAAGACTTGAGATTTATGTTGAGAAATCAAAACTGAATTGAATGAACTAGAATCAAATGCAATTCAGAGCATGTTTGTAGAGCTCTAAACTACATGTTTATCTACCTCCTTCATTTTGTTGCAGAGGACAATATGTTAAGTCTTTGCGGTGTGCTGATTGGGAACCTTTAAATGTCAATTTTGTTCAAATTATGATTAAGAATACAGAAATTTTGTGTCACAAAGATCATGGCCAAAATAATTAGCACTAAGAGTAATATCACAATATATTTAATCTGGCGTTTAAAAATGTGAGTTATAAAAACATTGATCATTTCTTTGTAGGAATAATTTGATGTTTAAATAGTCAATGAAGAGCTTTATAACATCAAAGAACCTTTTTTTTCTAGTGAACGAGGAGTGAATGATTTTATATCATTATAACATTGTGATTTTTATGACAAATTTGATTGCAATTTAAGACTAACAATCAAAACTGAATCATGATTTATGAACTAGAATCACATGCAATTCACAGCACGTTTGTAGAAGTCACTCTATAAACATGTTCTAAAAGCGTCTTTGAGTGTTACAGCATCTTTGAGTCAAAAGAAACAGAAAACACACACCAAAATTCTTGTAGAGGTGCAAATGCAAGGAGCAGCAAGACAAAAATGAAAAAATCCATAGCACACTCAGATGTCCGATGTCCGAAAGTTTTTTTAAAATAAAGCATCTATGAGTGTCTTGAAATGTTCTATACAAGCGTTATGGATTATTAAACTACATGGTTATTATTAAGTTTTAAACAAAATTATCTGTTTAAATTTAGTTGTCATTATGTTTGTTATGTAAATATTTGTGATAATGTGCTAATTGTGACCACCCCAATTGTAATTTTGACCCAATTACGATTACGCATATTGAAATTTTGGTGACTGTTTAAAAATGTGAGTTATAAAAACATGAATAATTCTTAAACAAACATAGAAGTTCAGTTACAATCTATTGTTATATGTTTTGATCATGATTAGCCATATTATTGTTTATTGTCCTCAGTGTAGTTAGTCTTGCAGTCCCATAATGCAATGTCACATATTTGAATGCTTATTGAAAATGGGTGAAATAAATGTCTACTTCCAGAGCTAGCAGGAAACCAGAGTGTAAGGGGGGAAGGTAGAGCATGACAAAGAGCGGAGGGGCCGAAAGAGCTCTGGACTTGGACAATTGGACCAGGTGATGTGGAGAGGGATGGTGTGAGGTGGAAGAGACGCTAATGGATCGTCTTTTGTGCGAGCACCGTGGCATGTCAACATACTCCCATTAGCATGAACAAGCAGCAAGGAGTCAATGAGTCAGGCCCACTCAGCCACTCGCTCACACACGCTAACACAATGCTAACGTGCTAGCTTCTCTGACACAATGTACGTTTAAATAGACTGATATTTCAAGAGGTGTGATCAAGTCTGTGTTAAACTGTAACTAAATCCTTTTAAATTGTAGTGTATTGATCACATATTATGGCACTAGTGGGAAAACTCATTTAAGAGTGTCTAATCAATATTTGAACAGTAAGTAATTGATGTCTGGAGTTTACAGACACCACTATATAGGGATGTAACAATAACCGAAATATCGTGATATTGTATCGTCAAAAGTCTCGCAATAATATCGCGGGCTGTCACAATATATCGAATTACAAGTTTCTTTGCTTAAATGCATTGTTTACAGAAGCAACAGCTTATAAACATCGGGAACTACATATCCCATGATTCATTTCAGTCCAGACAACATGAAGAAATATGTTTTTTACTTGAATTCTTAGGATTATGGCAGAAATAATTCACACCAAAATCAAGGTAGGACAAGGACATCAAGTCAAGGTATTTTAAAAGCAGAAATGTGTCCTATCTACAATTAAGCCTCTCCAAAATATCACAATAAATATCGTACCATGAGATGCATATCATGATAATACATAATAGTTACATCCCTACCACTATGAGATTTTACTTTTACACTGTTCTATATTAAATGATCCAAAGTATGGCATTTAAGTTGTATGGCATTTAACTTATCTCCACAACAACCAACTGATACAAACAGGCAAAGCTGCTGGTCGTATCTGTGGATAGGCGACCCCACAGTATGAATTCAAATTTAACATGGTATTTTTGAGCAATAAAACGCCTGTAATCAAATAGATGCATGGTAGGTAAGTTTAAAATCAAATGTAGGTTATTAACGTATACACAAATAAAAAAGATTAACTAGGGTAGCTGTGAAAGGCTAAAGATTATAGTTGCTTTTGAGCACATTGTTGGTATGGGCTGACGTTCTGCATGTAAGACCTTTCAGTCATACTTTTAGGATTAAGGATTAAGTAAAATTTTCTTTTTTTAAGGATTGATTTGAAGTGAAATCTACAGATGTTAGGAGACACAAATCTTGAGGATTTGTGCTGCAATACTGTCAAAATCTGTTTAATATTGGTTTTGAATCTTTGTCGTGACTGTTGTTGCCTGGTTTCAGAAGTGTTGCAAGCAGTTTGCCTTTATTACATGTGAAGTCTACACCTCGACGGGCTGTTTAAATAAAGTATGTCAAATTAGGAGCAGTGTCTTTAGTGCGGAGACAGAATGAGACATGATGTTGAGATGATGCAAGAGTGGAAAGGCGCTGTGTACACTTCCCACTGTACGCTCAGAGACAGATGGTGCTGTGACCTTTCAGGAGGTCAGAGCACGCCGCAGCACAGGTCATATCCCTGGGAGAAGAAGACACAAGAGTCCCACTGCAAACGCCCCATGGCCCATTCAAACCATGTGTGGCCTCTTTACCTTGGCCTGTCGCCTCGCTCTGCTGCCCTTTCACTGAAAATGTCAGGGCTCCCCTCTCTCTCTATCTGCGGCCTGAGTTAGTGTTCTCTCCTCAGGTATGACACAAGGTACTATACAGAACAACTGTACAACTGGAGGACATACCGCAATCTCTCAAAGGGCAGCAGACTGTTGATGCAAATTAAAGAGGAACATTTATGTGACATGCTCATGGGATGTCAGTAGCAGTGAGAGAGTGTCACACGTACCTTTTCCTTAGTTCCAGTCTGTGCAATGTCAGGCCTGGTGCGGATGGTAAATGGAGATGCCAGCCTTAGGAGTATTCCCTTGAAAGAAGGCTCCATTTTGGGAGAAACAATCTCAAAACAGTCCCTGAAGGAGAGGACCCGGTGAGGCTCGATGCGAGCCTGCTTTCTGAGCCCCTCTCCGAGCTGCAGCAGCTCCATTCCCGGTCCCAGCACCAGATGGAAAGGGAAGGCCCGGCAGAATGTGGCCAGGCCAATGCGCAGGTCGCTGGGGTTGGTGGACAGAGACAGAGGGGGTCTTTTGTTTGGGACAGAGATGAGGGACACAGAACGTGTCTCCTGGATCTGGAAGGAGAGGCAAACAGTGGGGCTGGAGGTGGGGAAGGCGGAGGGAGGGGAGGGAGAGGAGGAGGGGGAGGCTGTGGGGGAGGCTGTGGGAGTGGGACTCCTGGAGTCTCCATCAGTCTGCTCCAGGTCCTCTGAGGGCAGAGGAGTCAGAGGAGGAACCTCCTCCACCTCCACCTCCGAGTGATAGAGTCGCTTAGCAACGGCTTTGATGAGGCCTGGCATGACTAGGCCCACCACAGGAGCAGGGTTCAAACAGTGTAGCAGCAGCACTCGCCCTCTGCTAGCCCGCTCCTCCTCACACACTTTGTGCACTTTTCTCCGCTGTTTCTCCTCCTCATGTGGGTCCTTGCACTGGAAGGACGGGCTCTCAGATGAAGCTCGGCGCCCTGTGGAGGTGCGAATGTGTTCCAAAATGGCATCAAAGCCATTGAAAAAGTCTTGAAGGTTTCCTCCCAAAGCACGGAGCACTCGCTCATTCTCTTCAAAACACAGGCCAAAAAACTCCTCTCCAAAATGCTCTCGAAGCTCACAGAAGGGCACTCCTGAGAAAGAGGACACACAAACATTTAACTTGTATAATCGTTTGTACAGACACTGTTGTACACACACAGTGTATAGTACATGTACTACACACGCCACTGAAAAGATGAGGTACATATCATTATGTGACATGCTCAAAGCTTCAGATGACCCCACCACTACATCCTCTCAGCTACACTTTATTAAATCCATTTGTCTCAGACCCAGATGAATACTCTATGATTAGTACTTTAAGGGAAGCCATGATATTAGAACAGTCAGTGTGACATGGTGCCTCTTGAGTAGCACTGTGCACATATTTATAAGATGAAAAACAAGTAGGTAAAGATACTTGGGACACCCAGACAGGAGGAATCAGAGACCCATCTGGTCAGGGAATACCTGGTAGTCCTCCAGGACAATCTGGAGAATGTGTCAAGAAAACTAAATGTGTGTTTTGCCAGATGCTGTGATAAGTCACCAGTACACAGATATAAAGGCAGTGTTCTGTCATTAAGTTCAATATGATCATATGCAGGACAAACCATGTCCAATGATACTGGTACAAAGTCTCAGCGACAGTGGACCTTTGGAACCAGACGGACAGGACATTAGTGAAGGTCAGACTAAAGTGAATTATGGGCGACTCCAGCTCCTGTCTGCATAGTGAACAGCACTGCAGAGGAGGACAAGAGAGAGAGAAGGTAAGAGAAGATTCTCCAAGCTAGAACAAAGATGTACTGAGTGACTCACAAGCCCAACACGTACTGTCCGTGTGTGTTTTTCTGAGCCCACAGTGACTACACACAGACTGTGTACATAGTACTTTATGTGTAAACACATGTAGGCTACATGTGTGTCAGCAAGTGTACTAGTTTATACAACACTCCTCATTTTCAGGAGAGATGACAGCAGCTTTTCCAAAGGTCTGCCCTTGGGGGAATGGTATTAATAGTAGCCTGCTGTACCACTGATTTTGATTCATGGGGAAATGTGCAGAAAAGTGTTCAAACATGGTTAATGCGTAAGAGAGAGTGTATGTTAATTTATCTGTATGTAAAAGAAGCCTCACCCATTATGGTAGCCATGTACTGCAGGATCTGTAGAACATCCTCCTCTGAACCAGAGTTTTCTAGGAAGGGGCACTTTTCCTCTTTTCTGTCTCTTCTCTTTTCCTCAATGCTTTGACACCTTAGAGGAACGCAACAATAGTATATAATTCAAGAATATATTGAAGAGTAGCAAGGTTTAAATTAAAATTATAACAAACACTTGAATGATAGATATTATTCAAACAAAATTACAGCAAGAGATGAGAAAAAGCAGAGAGAAATGAGGAGGCAGTGTGAGGGACTGAGCGGGTGTGTGCACAGACATGTGTGAAAGGCAGACAGTGACTTGAAGAAAGAAGAAAAGGAGAGATGGGGATGCCACAGACAGCCCGGAGACAGCAGGCAGACAGCAGGGAGACAGTCAGGAGACAGCAGGTTAGAACAGGTAGAAAGCAAGGAGAGAGCAGGAGACAGCAGGAGTCAGTGTGTAGATAGAAGATACACAGTCAGGTAGACAGCAGGTGGATACACAGGAGACAAAGGGTTAAATCCAGGTAAGTAGACAGCAGTACACAGAGAACAAGTAGACAGCAGGTAGGCCGCAAGTACTATAGAAAGCAAGGAAATACAGTAGTAGGTGGAAGGCAGGGAGACAAAAAGTTAAAGGTCCTACAGTAAATTACACAAAATGGATTCTTGTAAGCCTCAAGCCCCGTTGTTACCTCATCAAAAGCACACCAGGAGTTTTGTTTCATTCACATATGTCTGAATAATCCTTTAGTACTAGCCTGCCTACATCTCTAAAAGCTCAAAATGCTCTATTCCACCTTGTGATGTCATAAGCGATAATTTTCAACTACTTTTTACATTTTGTTCAGTGGAGATTGGTGATTTCAGGTCTAAAATAATCCAAAGAATTCTGCTGAAGGTGTATGGAGTTTAAAAACACAGTGGAATTTACTATATTACCACATGACATGAGTGTTTTCTTGTTTGTGTGTTAAATATATGAATGAAACTAAATAAAACTCCAGTTGTGTTTTTGAGGATAAAACTTTATAACATAGATGAGAAAATCGCAACCGGATATAGCCGGATAGAGCAAATAGAAAGCAAGTAGATAGGTGATAGGTGAGAGCAGATAGAAAACATAGGAGGAACGCAGGAGGGTAGACAACATGTAGAAAGCAGGATATGAAGCCACGAGATCATTATCAGTGAAAACCAGCAGGTAGACAAGCATGTGAGCTCACCTGATCTCCTGCTGTCTGTAGAAGTTAAGAGTCCGCTGCAGAGCCTCCTGAACAGTCTGTGTCTGCAAATGAAAAAAATATTTATAGTGTCAATGTTTTGAATGTAAATAATACTAGCAACTTGTTTTGTCATGCTTAATTTGATGGATAAAATCATAAATTGAACCTTTTTTATCTAGTTGTTGTTTGCTCCTATTCATCTTATAGATTTTTTTTTTTTGGTCAAAAACAGAATGATGCTGTATTTTAAAGGTGTGTGTAACTTTTCTTGGAAAGTCCATAACTTGTTTGTCTCTGTGCTGTTATTGTCTTGACTGACACAGTACACTTACACAGTATGGCATTTAATTTATCTCACTGATATTTTATAGCTGAAAAATGTGCATTATTATTATATATTCCACAGTTTTGACCAGTAACTTGGCTTGTTGTTGCCTCTGAGTTGTCCCCAGGGAGATCTAGATTTTTAATGCCATATTGTGGGCAATTCTACACAACTCTATAACATTCCCATCTGCGACCAGAAACATTACACAGAGTATTGTTTTTACTGGAATCATTTACAACTGCAACAATTTTAACATGTACACTACAAGCTTGTACAGTTGTAATTTGCATTTCAGTCCGCTTAAGCTTAAGAGGGCGGCTACAATCTGATTATGTTTGATACAGCTCAAACGCAACGCTGCAGTGACAATACTAGAACACTGTGTGCCAGCTGGACAGGTCAGTGCCAGGCCCACGCCCACTGTGGCGACTGGACAGGCAAAGGGTGTAATAGTGTGTGCATATAGAAATCAGCAAATACAATAATGCATGTCTCTACTGATGTAAAAGGGTCATTTGTGTTGTGTTTTTATTGATGTGTCTGAAATATATGCCATCAATAGATTAAAATTCAGAAACATGTTTTAGTTTGATGTTTTAGCCCCGCCCACTTAGTCCTTTCTATGACTGTGATATTGCACCATGACACTAAAACAACTGTCTGGTTTCGAGGCTCATGCTGTTTCCTTATAGTCCTCCAATCTCCGCCTACGATTTCCTTTCTTTTTGTCACTCTTCACAATGCACCATGACAAAGAATAGTGTCAGGGAGTTGGTTTCCCCTGATTCTTTGTAACACTGTGGCTGATTAGATGATAAAAGTTTACCCTGTAATTAGCTCCTTTATTAGTTATCACCTAGAACATAGATCATAATTTACAGTCTCATTTTTTCTTATTTAGCAGCTTTCGCCAGACAACCTGTGATGTAAAGAGCGTTTATCTTGACAAGAATAAATTAAAAGTAAGCTCAGGCTCTTTAAAAGCGGAGAAATTGAAGGTTTGCAAGTGATCAAACAGTTTAATTAACCACCAAAGTGCAGAAATGTCAGTTTACAAGCTTGTTTGAAATGTTACACTATACGTTTGATCTATGATTGTAGTTTATAATAATAAAATAAATAAATAAACAATATACTGAATATAGTTTGTTGTATAATAAATTGGAAAAGCCTGAGAGTTGAAGAGGCGAGACATGATATGAAGAGAAAAGTTCTAAATAAACCCAGCAATAAACCCAAAAAACACTGTGATAGTGTCCATTCCAATCTAATGCAGTCCAGTCTGGCTATGTTTCCGTTGTAGGGAGTATTATAGCAATGATGACATAGGCCAGGATAACAAGCACTGAGCAGATAGTGAGTGCCCTCAGTACACAACAGTGCAATTTCTCTGTTTTGAAGTATGCAAATTTCAGTTTTTCCCATCAATTTGATTTGTATGGTCTTATGGTCTTTTTAGAGTGTCTGAAAGTGGAATGTTTTGGGATATAAATCTTCCCTTTATAGTTATAGCTGGGATATAATTTTTGCCCTAACTGATCCTTATTTTGTTTGTGTTTCAAGCTTGTTTTCCCCACTGTTTGACAAGTAAATAAGTAAATAAAATCACTGAATTTATCATGTCACAAACCACATGGCCAATGGTTCATCACTGAAATCAAATCACTCATTCTTTTTTCCCATATCGTGCATCCCTTTTCTCACGGAGCCGTCCTTGATTTTACCACTCATTTACCACGCACAAGGCTACAGCAGAAAGACCCACCACCCAACAGAGAGGAACTGTTATCAGGCCACACACCAAAACACATGTGCTAACACTGCTCAACACAAATACATCACCATCATTAGCCCGCATTGTTGGCCTAGCTGTTTACCCTACACGCAACTCAATAGGCCATGTTATTTGCACTAAAGCCACAATGAATAGGCCATTCATAGGTTCATTTTTTATTTAGTTTGGGGGTTGTATTTTTTTCAAGTGAATTAGATTTTTCATCTCTCCTTGATTGTTTTGTTGTTTGTCCTTACTTTGAAAGGAGAGCCGGCCCCATTTGTCTGGCTGTGTCACTCTCTCCCCCTCTTTCTTGTTCTTAGTCAAACTCATCTGACTTGTACCTGGCGTTTCTGGATGACTGATTCGCTCATGCAAATAGACAGACGCGGGTTTTAATAGGATATGTCCTTGTCTCCGTTTTCCATTTCCAGTTTTATATTAAGGACTGCCGCAAAGGACGGGAACGCTGAATAGATGCAATGAATGTAGACAGGTTTTCCACAGTTCCACAGTTAATACATAGAAAATGTTCAAATTGCATTACGTACAAAAATTGCAAAAGCTATTCTAAAGGTTAGTAGCTGCGGGTGATACAATTGTAACTGGACTTTATTTTGGTTGTACGATCTGGCAACCCACAGGGAGTTTTCTGACTGAATATCAAAATCAAATCAAATCAAACTTTTCACTGCCCATTTGTTGTCGCTTTTTCTGGAATTTTACACACTCTTGCATTATCTATCTAGTATTTCTTTCATTGTGGGTATTTTTATTGGTCAAAAATACCATGAAAGGGATTGCCTCTCCACAGATCTAGCCTGGGACTTGGCCTGAAAGTGTCACCTGCTTGTCTCCATAGATAGATTAGGTTTAATACAGTGAAAAATTCCAGTATGACATTAAATATTATGTTATTGTCTGCTCTTTTATAATGTTGCCTCATCACAAACATACTGGAGTTGTGTTTAGTGTCATTCACACATTTAACACACAAAATCTGCATATTTAGGCTGAAATTTTCTCAAACTGAAAACGCCCTGTTCCACCTTGTGACGTCATGTGGCAGTACAGGAGGTGCTCCACTGTGATTTTAAACTCCATATACTTTCACTAGAATCATTTGGTTCATATCAGCCTTGGAATTTCCAACTACGGTATTTTTCTGATGAGGAAACAACATTATAACAAAGATCAGAAAACAGAGTAATATGGGCCCTTTAAGTAGACAAAATCATTAAAAGGCATGCACTGTATGGGTGTGTAAAAATAACAAAATATTGATATATTGTATCATTTAATGTGATGATACAGTTTGATATCGTGGGTTGCTGTATCGATATATCACCAAGAGTGTTTTTGCTGTATTTTACTAAATTATTTTGTTACAGCTACAATTTTGTTGCTTGTTTAGAGAAAGGAAACTCATTTATGCGACACATTTGACATTTTCACTGTTCACTGTGTGTTTCATATTAACTTTGCACAAGAAGTGGTTTAACAAAGACTTTTAGTATCACAGCCATGATTTAGCCTTTATTTTTTTAACTGAAGCAAATTGTTTTGAAATACCGCATCAAATCGAAAGTGCACTGTATCAAGATATGTACCGTATCATGGCCTATGTACCGAGATATGTATCGGCAACTTCTTAATGATACCCAACCCTAATGCACTGCAAGAAATAAATGGCATAATTAAGCAATAATTATCCATAAAATTTACTTATTAGACCCTCTAAAGCTCAAATCTTATCGTAATATAAAAAAAAATCTTCCTAATATTGCAAAAAATATACAGAAAATATTGAGCCACAGAATATATTGTTCCAGCTATCATTTACTGAGTCGATATAGTAATAGAAAGAATAAATAAGGTAAAGCCAATAGTTATATTTATTGCACATATTGTCCAAACCTTAAAGAATGGGGAAAAAAAATAAAGCAACTCAATGTCCCAAACAGCTGATAAGGAAACGAATTGCTCCATTCTCTTATTATTCGTATCATTAGGGAAAGCTCAAACTCCAGATGAGCCCCTTCTCGATATTGCGCATAGCGAGCCTCATCTGTCAGAGCGCTGACAAATACAAAAACATCTCTCTCCGTGTAATCAAAGCACAGGGTTCTCTCAGGTTTGGGGGCTGAAAGAATTGGATTATGGAGAACAGCGATTTTTCCTGTGTTTGTGCAGTGATTGGGAAAGCGTGGAGGCATGCTTTGTTACATGGCAGTAAGTAAAAAGTGTATTAAAAAATCCGGTGTGATTGTTTAGATACGATACAAATGTATAATAAATGCGTTATGTCATTGTATTGTATTTTATATGTGCAAGTGTCTTACGGGGTTTCCACAGGACATCATCGGCCTAGTTCGAACAGAGTTGGCAAAGGTTTAAGGCCAGATGCTCACGATCACAGACAGTTGAATCATTTTAGCATTTTGTTCAAACGCTTGAAACAGTATTGAAAAAGAGTTGAGCAAAATTTATCAAGAGCTAAAAAAAGATTTGAAATTTTACCAGAAAAGGTGATAATGCTTTTTATTTTAAAGCAGCATTATGTAGCATTTCTGGTTGGTTCACTTGTTTGTACAGAGATGCTATGGCTTTACTTAGAATGTTCCACAAAATGGTATTAAAATCATCTCCATGCAGAAGTTTCAGGTCAGATCTGTGGAGAGGCGGCCACTCACAGTAAGAATGTTTTTCAAGACATTTTTTAGCTATAAAGGCACCTTGAATTGAATAAATGCAAGATAAAGTTTTATGCCATGCTGAGGAACATTTCTGGCAAAGCAGTAACATCACCATGGAGACAAGCAGGAGGCAGACTCCCTACCAGAAATGTTACATGGCGCACCTTTAACAAGTGATGCTGCAATAACTAATTACAACCTGTATGAGCCAATTTAATGTGTTTATTCCCACTTGTTTACGGTTGTGTGTCAAATTAACTACTACACAGCTCAACACACATACACAGCTCAACACACATACACAGCTCATGCACACTGGCACTTTTCTGCTCATATTTGTAGGCAACACCCGAAGCTTTGATCAGCATCACGGGTCAGCGGGCTAATGGCCACTTCCACAGCAACAAAACACACACACACAACTGTTGGCCACATGTTAAAGCCTGTGGGTGAGTGTAGTCGGGCTCTGCTCTGCTGTCACGCTCTGGCACAGACAGACGCACACTGAACCAGAACAGAGCTGAGGTGACCAATGGCAACAGGTGCTTTACTATTGTGTGGAGTTTACAGCTTTGTATAAAGAATGTTTCTATACAACAATATCAGTGCTTAAGCTGAAGTAAGTCTTGAATGGATGCAAGTAAGGACGTGCAAGTGATGATTTTATTTCTAATCAGTAATCGTCAGCTTAGGTATTCTACAGCCAGTCCTCTGTCAATAAAAGCATGTGGTTGGAATATAGAACCAACCTTTTTTGTTTTAAATGTTTTTATTTGACACAATTAAATCAAAATTCTAAATCATCATCGATCAATATAAGGAAAAATTGTGATTAATTTAACCCTATCCATGCAATCGTAGTACTACTTGACCTTCTGATGCAAGGAGTGCACCCTACACAAAACTTCAACAAAAAAGATAATAATTTTATGATTAAAGCAAAAACCGTAGATCATTAAAATCTCCTAAAATATTTTCCCAGATCTTATCATATCATCTAGATTGTATCATTTTGGCTATTTATCTTGTGGACATTTGTAATTTAGCTCTAAAATATTTTAAAAACTAATGATCAAAAGCATCATACCCAGCTGGTGACATTAACGCACAATCCTCAATTAATCCTAATCTTACAAATTTTTATTTTATATACGGCAATGTCTGTGTTTCACCAAAGTGTGACCGTACATCTTAATCGTCAGTCTATTTTTCATGACTTAATGTTGACCAAATACATCAGGGATAATTAGCTAAATGTTAAATGTTGTAACCTCATAAAGTGCTGTGCTGTAAAATGTTGTAATCACATGCAATCTATCATAGTTACGTCCTGCTCCAATAAGTGGCTTTATTACGACACATGCTGCTGCTGAGACAAGGTGACAGAGAGCTATTGTTCACAGGTGAGACACAGACAGCAAAACCAGACCAAACAATGAGTATTCAAAAATACTTCAATATATTTGTTTGGATAGTTGTGGATACTGTTTTCTTAACCTCATGAGAAAGCAAAGTTGTGCCAAATACCGTACCATAAAACAAACATTCATTTCAGAATAGAGAAAGCTTGGCACTTTAACCTATGTCCCGCTTTAGTGCCTTGGCATTTTCCAGATCCTTCAGAGTCAAACTAAGGACAGCGAATGTTACCATCTATGACTTGTTTCAGGAAGCATAGCCAGACTTGAATGGTCAATACAATATGAGTTTTCTCTTGTCCTGTAGCCTACTGAGGTAAATAAACTTTTTTGACAACTCATTTCCATAATTTAAGTCACTAAAGGCATACATTTTAGGCTTAGATTTGAAATTGAAATGTGTTAGTCTGTGTTGCCTAACCCTAACCCTTTTATATGCCAGATACAGTATTTATATTTAGTCATTGGACTGCCTGTGTTCTTTATTCATTTTAATTATAGGCCTATTCGCTTAATTCAATTTTTACAGTCTGTTGTTACTGCTTAGGTGATGATGGTCATTTCATGAGCAAGTAAAAGCCAGACCTGCTTGATTCCCCATGGGGCTATAAACGCTCTTGATAGTGCGCTGCCCTACCGTGGGTGAGGTGAGCCGTCTCAAACTCTCCCCCAGCGAGTCCAGGTTCACTCTTCTCCTCCTGGTCGCTCGTTTGTGGGGCACACTCGGTCCCTGCTGCTCTTCGCCCACCGGGCACACCGACCTCTCCACGGGGCTGCGTCCGTTCCACAGCACCGCTCTCTGGGCAGAAGGGAAAGACGAAAATGGGCATCCTCGGGGCTCCTCCGCGGGCTCCAGACCACCATCTCCCCCGACGTCTCCCCCCGGACTTTCGAGCCCGCAGTCAGAGCCCACCGAGCTGCTGAAGGACTCCGAGGAGATCTTGCGCGAGGATGAGGACATGGTGATGGCGAGGAAGAGGAGGAGGGTAGAGCTGTGGAGGAGGATGCTACAGCCGCTTGTGTGTCGCGTCCAGCTCGGCGCCGGGGACACATCAGATAGTGGGGGTGTGAGGGGTAGTGAGAGGGTGGGCTCTGTCTGTAAACGGTGTGTGCATAAGGATGTGCGCTGACCGGTACGTGTCCGTGTGTGCGTAGAGTTGTCTTCTGTCTGCGTGAGACTCAACCTCGGGGAGAGAGGGAGAGAGAGAGGGGGTCGACTAACGGCACGCAAACATTTATGTAAGGCAGAGGCGGGGGAACGCTGCCCTCCGAAAAGCGTCCTTATTTACCCCACAAAACCCACCTTGCTCCCCGGGAGGGCAGACGCAGCGCAGAGGATGCCCCTGCTTGTAAAACGAGATCTTACGGCCAAACAGAACGATTGCGTTGACTGTAACGTGAGCCGTAATCTTTGACAGCTAAAAAACAATTTTGATGGAAACGTTAGCTACAATTAAAGAAATGGTTCAAGCTTAAAATCTCGTCAAACAAGTCTATAGGCTATTCATTGAAAGGTTATCCCCGGTGAAACGCAAAGCTATTCCGCAGCACAGCGCATGTAAAGGTCCAGAGACGCAAAGTGTCCTATTTTAATCCCAATGTTTGGAGGAGGAATCCCCAAAGTCACAGCAGCCGGTTTTCCTCTGCGACAGCTCCTGCAGCTTGTCTAGAGCCTTCTGCAGCTTCGGTGAGGTCTACGCGGAGCCTGTGGAAGAGTGCCCAGTGGCAGCGGGCCGCCCTGTCCTCATTAGTCCGTGTTTGGCTCTCCGCCGCACCAGGGCTCCAGGTAGCAGGGCTCGGAGGCTGGTCTGAGGCTGGTCTGAGGCGGCGGTGTGAAGGTGCGCAGATGGAGAAGAGAGAGCGCGCGGGCAGCGAGCAGCAGCACGCGCCGGCTGGATCAGAGCGTTCCGCCGAGCTCGCGCGCAATGAAGTCAGCGTCAGTGCACGAGCTCCTTTGCATTGAGATGGACAATAAATCAGCCAATCAGAGGGCAGCTACAGAAAGCGCCAGGTGAAAGAGCTTCGTAGACTCTCTCTGGAAAAGGATGGAACGAATGGATAAAAGGACTGCTGTTTTGTATCAAGTTCAACTTTTTATAGACTTCATTATCTTCCCTCAACACTACTGAGTAAAGTTGGTGGAACAAATTATTTTAGACTGCAAAGTAAAAAATAAAATAAAATACCCACCTGAGCCCAGACAAAGCTTTCAACTAGATTGGTGAGCTGTAGTTTATGGATATACATAAATTATTCAATAGCCTATCAATCAGGGCATTCATGGCACAAAAACATGTAATTGTCTCTGTCATTCCAATCCACTGGCTTGGAATAGCAATCAACAGAACAAGATTGTAATCACACAATAGTCATGGTCAATAAAGCAGGTTTATGGCGACCTACCAACTGTTCTGTGAAGTGGCAGGGAGAAATATGCCCCCACTTTGTAGAAACAAAAGCTGGCAAGACTGGCGTACACACAGTCAGCCTGCCACAATAGAACACACTGTTGCTCATGTCTGGCACAGATCACAACCATGACCTTGACCTCAATCGACAGCACCAGAAGGGACAAGCGTGACGCACCATTGAACATACAAACACATGTCATTTCCTGGAGGTGTCTAGTACTAATTCATTTGACTTTCTGGACTAACACGGCCACAAATACTCCAGTCATTATCCTCTGCCACAGTACAAGCAGCTGCCTGTCCTTATCGGGTTCGTTCTTTGTGTCTGTTATCCATCGGTAATGTTATAGCCATTTAATAAAGCTTACAGGACAATGGAATAAATATTGTTCACAGATAAGGAGGCTACCTTGCAGCACAGGAGCTGCTTTGAAATGGTGGCATAGATGGATGTAAGTCTGTCATTTAAATTCACAAAACAAGCAATACTCTAGAAATTAAAATTAACAGAGCACCTTTCAATATATGGGGTATGTAGTGCTCTCATTGGGTCCTTGTGCAAGACACTTAAACCACCTTGTCTATTTCTGAATGTAGTATGAGATAGTTGGAGGGCTGATGGCGCAGATGGGCAACTTTGCCTTTTAGCAATCTACCTCAGGGCAGGTAGGGGATGTTTAAGACCCTCCCAAACTCAAGAGTGGGATTCATGAATACTCACTAGTCACTACAATGTAGCACTGTTCTAGGGAGGTTTGTCAAGAGTGATACAAATGTAAGGCTGAATTAATATAACATTTGCTACACAAGTTTTCACTTCAGTATTGAATTAAATAAAAACAGAACCTGGGTTGACACTTTTTTTTTTACTTATCATCCAGGCCAGAACATTAGGCTACTAGAGGGAGCAAGATATATGCTCATAACCCAGGGATGAAGAAAATACCACGAATGTTTGCAAGACAAATTTACAACATTAAACAGGAAAAATGCCAAAAATTGTCTGGTCACTTGTGAAGAATGTATACACACATTTTAGTAAATACCTTTAGGCAACTCCCTATTCACACACGAAGTGGAAAAACTCCCGATACAAGGAAGAAAGAGGGAAAGAGGAATGTAGTGAGATAAGAGGAACGTAACACTGACACACAGAGTCAAACCCAGGTAGAGAATACTGTATTTCAGGCCCACACAAAACAACAAACTTTGGAGCTGTAGCTGCCTTAAGAAATTCTTGACAGACTAAAGACAAGTACGAATTAGTCATCTAAAAATGGAAGTGTTGAGCAATTGTTCTCAAAACTATAGTATTAAACATCTTTATGCTCTCACCATGTATCGGACTTAACCTGCACTCACAAGATCGCAAGCTCACAGTCGTTTGTAAACATCTGTCCACAAAAAACTCATAATCTCAAAACAAATAGTTGATTAATACTAATTTTGGTCAACTAGGACACCATCATCAGATAGTTGACTAAGCAACTGAAGACATACAGCTCTACAATACTTAAAGCTTTGCCTTTGCATCTCCTCCAATGATACTTTTCATGATATACTATGTCTCGTTCCCATTTGACTATGGAAATGTTCTGCACAAGTAACTCTCATCCAGCTTCACAATATGTGATACTTTAACTTCTTTTTTTATTAACTTTTTTATGTATTTTTTCTATTTTTATTTTTATGTATACGATTTTTTTTAAATTTTTTTGACAAAGAGATAATCTGTTATTTAGATGAGAAACATCATTGAAAGATTGCTGCGTATCTACCATGCGTGTATGTGTTATCTAGGGATGGGACAAAGCTATGGCGGTTGAGGTCATAAATCTGCCCTGAGCCAATCTAATTGGCTATAACCATCCATCACTCCATGCCACAAGGCTGCCATTACCCATGAACCCGAGGCTCTCACTCACTTGTCCTATATAAATAACCTACTGTACTGCACCGTCTTCAAGGAATAGAAGGCAATTAAAGGGAGGTTAAAAGAAAGTGTGTGTTAGAGGAATAGAAAAGACATTGTGGAAGATGGCTAACAAACAATTACATGAGAATTTGACTGATTAATAGTAGCGATGCACCGATACGGTACTGGTATTGGATATCGGTGCCGATATGGGTTCAGCCAATATCCCATCTTTGTCTATAAACTGGTGTAATGAGACAATTTACTGACCAGTGTTGCCCCACAACCTCTAATAATTTTTTTTTTTTTTTTTTTTTTTACCATACACTGATTAAAAGAAATAAATACTATTTTCAGTCTCTGCACTAGCAGCGGTTGATATCGGGTATCGGCAGATACTTAAAGCCAAAGTATCGACATTGGTATCAGAACTGAAAAAGCTGGATCGCTGCATCGCTAATTAAAAGATTGTTCAAGCTCTGTATTACTTTAATAAGGTAGACATACAACTTCACCTCTAATGAAAATGTGAAATTATGTAAAAATGTGTAATATGTTTGACTACCATTACTACTAAGAAAAAAGTATTTGTAGTATTAATTTAATGTGTAGTGTGTGTGAGTTGTATTTGATTTTGCCTTTGGACAATTAAACATATCACCTTATATAGATGAAATAAAACTACTATAACTAACACAGCCAATATCTGGCTTCGCCGATAAGCCAGTATCATGTGGCCAATCTTTATCCACAAAGAACATGTTATAGAAAGACAATGAAATTTCTTTTGTTTCATTTGTCAAGAGCACCTGCACCTGAGGACCATATGGTGAGACAAGGAAACCTGAAAATTAGGTGGGTCTCTGTCATAATGAACTAATCAAAGAGCCAATAGCACGGTTGTAAAGGATGATGAGGTCGCACACTAGGGCACGCTGCTTGATTGCTCATAAGGAGAGACTATGGGCACGGTGCATGAGATTGTATTGTATGGCTACACTCACAGCTGCGATGACAGTGGAAGCTGGTAAAATTAAGTGACGGCTGAGACAACCATCAGGCCACGGGCTCCCAATTGAAATCTTGTGTGTAGGAGACGAGAAAACTTGAGTGGAGCAGACTGACGAGCTGAAAAATATTATATGGATATTTTAAGCACAAAAAAATTTATATAAACAATGTAAATATATAAAGAAAATTGTGAATTTATTGGAATAATTTTCACATTTATGTACATGACAATAACACTTTAATGTGGACTGCATTTAAAAACGTGCATTATGTAATTTTAGTGCCAACTGCTCATCTCCATGGATATGTTAATGCTTTGCCTGGAATATTCCACAGTATCACATTAAACACATTTATTTTGCAGTTATTTAGAAAGAGACACACACAGCAATAACATCCCCATGAAGACAAGCAGATGGCAGACCCTAAATGTTCCACAGTGCACCTTTAGTAAAATTCTAGCTGTCAGATTTGGTGCAGTCATATGGTTTCCACCACTGAGCAAACTGAAGAACTTTTTTCCGCTGATCATCAAAATTCTCTTTTATCAGTTTTCTCCATCGTCGAGGCTCCAAGTCCATCATACCACCAACCACTTCCTGCAGGCAACGATAAACACTTATAAATAACAGTCCAGATTTAGTCGACACAAAATATACACATATAAACCAGATCTAACCTTGCCAAAGTAGTGGGGGAATTTCTGCTCATTTTCGATGACATGAGCAAACCCTCCCTGCATTCCAAAGTCTACAGCAAAATAGGGCAGTCCTCGAGGTACCTTTCAGAGCAGATACATTTAGTGACAAACAAATACAACAAAATACAAAAGCCCCTGGAAATATTCAAGTTGAAAAAAATATAGCATACAGCTTGGCGGATGTCTTTTGAAGAGAGGTCCACCACTTTCTTGTTCATGGCCCATTCCTCATCGCATTCCATAATGGCTTTCTAATAAAAAACACACAAATAAAAGTAATCCAACTAGTGAAACCAAACTTCATTATCAATCACAATAAATTACCTTGAAATATATAGGTGCCATGTCACCAAGTTCTTTCGGAAGGGGGATACACTCCATAACCATGTGGAACCTTTTCCTTGGGTTCATGTGCGTCTCCATGAAAACACAGTCCAAATCTTGGGACTCAAACATTCGCACCAAAGCACGTCGGAAAAGCTAAAGAAAAGTTTGATTAAGATTGAATGACTCTGTTACATAAAAGAAAGTCAACTCTTTTTTTAACACAATAGTGAGTCACCTGCATCTCGGCCCAGACATCCTCATCTAATCCAGTGGCACAACAGTGATGCTGAAGTGGACAGATGAGGCAGTGCCCGTCGGTCATGGACACTCCGGCAGGCAAACTCAAATATGCCTTAAGAAGAGATTTCGTACATTTATTATTACCACTTTATAATAGTGAAACCACAAAAACATTGGTAAAACATGTCAGATTAATTTAGAATGACTAAGTAGTTTATTTTGAATGATTCAGGCTTTTAACAACATAATTAAGGAGTTAGGACTTGGGTCTCCAATAGGTGACCCATGGCCAAATTCCAGACCCCAAGGGGATTTGAACTGGGTGTGAGTTATCATCATTGTCACAGTCAGACTTCCTCCCATAGACTGTATAAAAGTGGACTAAGTGAGTGTGACGTCACCCATACTGTTGAGCGTCATTCAAATGAAGCTCCCAGTGATAACTGTTACAAGAGCAAATTTGGAGCCAGTCTCCATATTATGAATAGGATTTTTTTGACAGACAAAACTGAGAAAAATCAACAGGATGCAGAGTGGGTTAATACGAACATTTTAAGACCAAAATGACGAGGCTCACTGCAGCGGTTACAGAAAGAGGGGCCACAATATTCCAATGGGAGCCAGGATCAGCAGGAGCTGGAAATGCCATTGTACTTTGGCAAAGAAAACATTGTTTACTGGCAGATTTTTTTGTGGTTTTGCAATGTGGACATGTCACCCTTCATGGAAATTTAATTGGAGGCCCTTGAGTTAGGAGTTAGTAACTATCCTATTAATCCTATTAATTATTAATGATTAACTACTTAAGTTATTAAGCCTGAATCATTCTTAATAAACCACTTGTTCACTATGAATTAAGTCTTTGACTGTGCGTTATCAATGTTAATTATAGTATAGTTGTTATAAAGTGTTACATTAGTGTTATTAAGTGATAAGTGTCATTTATTTAAGAACAATAACCAACCTAACACTAATGAAATAATTTGTACATGTTTTATCTCACTTACCTTGCTCCCTAGAGCCACTATGAGGTGCTTTGGGAGCTCTGGGTTGTTGAAACAGTGTCTGCATTTCTCCATGGAGGCAGTTAGTCGTCTAGTTTCCCCAATGGCGCGGTTCCTCATCCTCTCCTCGTCTCTGCCCTCTCCCTCCCTCCCGCTGTGCTGCACTAGACACAAACATGTCATCCAGTGTATAGTTATCTCCGTCTGTCTTCCCCATCATCTGCAGAGGCCATATGAGAAAACATGGAAATGAGAGCCAGTTAGAACAGTTAATACAACAAAAATGTATTGCTTTTAGATTTCAGCATTTTAACTGTGACATTTTGCACATCATTTCCCTGATAATAAGAAATCAGATTTTGTATTGAATAATTTATTAGCCTGTACTGCAACTTGGATAAAACTTTTAGAAAAGTCTGATTTGGGGCCTCCAGGCTTTAAGAATGAAGTGTTCTTTTTACTGATGCAACCACAAGAACTGGGGAAGCAAGTTCTTTTGCCTTTTGTTAGTCACAACAGTGGAGACAGTGTTGCACATTTGTGCTTCTCGCACAATGTGCTCTTGTGTATAGAATTGCAATGGGCATTTAGTTGCCTTAAAATAACAATAAAATGCATATAAATTAATGCATATATTATCTTATCATATTTTTTCTTATATAATGGACAAACTGTATATAGTTTACTACTGTGCTTGCCCACTAACCCAAAGATTGGTGGTTCTGTCCCAGCTGGAACAAGTATACTGTCTTTGTGTTCTTGGGCAAGACACATCACCACAGTTGCCTATGTGTATGAGAGTATTTGTCAGAGGGGGCAGTGACACATTTGTAAAGAAGAGCTAACCCCTAACCAGTGTGGAGTAAATACAGTATAATGACTACAGTGTTGCACTTGAGAAGCTTTGTCAAACTTGCAAAGAGCAATACAATGTAACGCATTATTATTCATCATAGTTTAGGCTCAACAGAAATGTATTTTTGAAAATGGGGTGTGGGGATTGACTGATAAACCTGCAGTTGTTTTCTAATGGTTAAATGTATGAATTATTTTGGATTTAAGGGAGGTATAACATTAACATGCAGGACAACACATCGTCTCATGCTCAGTCCGAGTGTATTCACCATGGCGACCAGCAACAGGTTCGAATCAGTGGAGAGAGAGTGAGACAGGCCTGGCCCAAGTGTGTGTGCATGACTGTGTGTGTGGGAGTGAGTGAGAGTGAAAATGGGACTATTTTATTGACTGTGTGGGTGGGAGGTAGGGAGTGCAACGGCTGCAGAAGAGTGCTCAAATTTCCATTTCATTCGAGCCATGCCCCCCAAATTGCTGAACCATTAAACTAATTATCGACTGATATTCAACACCATACAGTGGAAGAATTTTACAAATGGGAGATCATGACATGTTTATGTTAGTGGGCACACATGCCCCAGTTCCAGAGACACATTTATTATTTATAAATGTCATACCTTTGCAACGTGAATACAATTTGAATGTATAAGATGCATGCAAGCAAGTGAAATGTATAAATCCATAAATATCTATACATACTATTGTTTATATAAATACATACATTGGAAAGAAGGGCATATGAGGAAAGACTGGTGTGATGGAGAGGGAGGGAGCCTCTTGAAGATCATAAATCTATTGCTGTGATTAGAAGTGATATTTATAGACACATTTCCATGGTAACTGTAGATGTATTTTTAGTGACACACTTTGTAGGTGTTGAACGTGTGTATTTTTATATGCATGGCTGTTTTAGTGTGTAAGGTAATGTTTTGGTCTATATTTGTGGTCCAAATGCATGTCATCTCAACACCAGGATTACTTTAGTACTTACTTTACTATTATGTTACGGGAGCCCTATGAATGGGGCTCAATGAGGGTTTTTAGCCCCCTTTCTAGGAATTGGCAAAGGAATAGTTAAAAGGAAAACCATGGACAGACCATTTGTCCTTCTTTTAATCACCATGGCAACTGCATCAGCACTATGTTTATTAATGTTTTTCATTAGTAAATACAGCACAAGGTTTGACAGAGGCACTTTGTCACTTTGGGTAAAATTAAAAACAGTGCCCACCTTAGAAGCCATTCGGGAGTAGAGTGCATTCTGGTCTTGAGCAGTGCTCATCTTCTCTCTGCGGACCAACTCCTGCAGACCCATGTTGTCATCATCCTGGAAATACCTCACACGCTCACCTTCAACATGCGTCTCAATCTGTGGAGCAAAGTCATAGCATTACCTTACGCTCACACATTGCTCCACATAAGCAACCATTTCTAATATTGATATGACACCTTCTGACCACATGCAGCAAAAGCTGCTTTATATAATAAAATTTAAAAAATGTATATTTTCCTTACAGCTTTCTTTTTCCGGCGTCCCCCGTGGGGCTCCACAGGTCCAGAAGGAGCATTAACAGGCCAGGCTCGACCTGATTGATCAGTTCGAAATAGTACAACTTCCTGGTTTGGACTTGACTGGGTCTTTAAAAAATAGAAGAAGTTAAAACATGAAATACTGAAGACAAGTCTGAAAACAAACCTACAAAGATTAAATGGCATAGGAGACTGGAAATCTGTGAATTTTTTTGCTGATGATTTAAAACCCATTTAATTAGAATCTAAGATTCAGAATCTAAAGATGTTTAACTCATATGTACATTAATCATGGTGGACAAAGTGCTAAATTTGTGCTATAAAAGAACATAAGATCAGTGGTGCTTCAACTGTGTTGAAGTGTGACATTTCAATGCTTTGACCAAACCAAGGAGTATTTTTTTTTACCTTGTTTGTTTTCGCTGTCTCTTGTTGTAACTTCTTTCGGGCTGCATGGCTCTCTCTGGCTTGCCGAGCAGAATCCAATTGGGATTTCAACTTCTCAATCATAACCTGAAATATTTACAAACCCCAGAACATTAAAAGGAGCAGCTACATTAGCAAATAAAAGAAATGGCACTGTACATTTTTAAAATTATATTGTTGTAATGCATAACTTATGTTACAGTTTATGGAGAATGAAGGGGGAAAGTATCACACGGCCTATATGTGAGCTATTAAAAGTACACACATGAATGTTTTCACAGGTCCAGTGTGGTAAATATCAATAGATGCAGACACCAAAGTCAAGTGCACTTAACACACATCCACATGAAAGGCTTGGGAATAAGAGTGTGATTGCTTTGTCGTGTAGGGAGCCACTGGTTGTCAGCGAGTGTGTTGTACCTGACAGCCCTTTAACACTCGCCATAAAAGATCCCAATAGCACTCTTAACATTGACACGTGAAGGCTGACAGGACCAGTTGAGTGCATGGATCAATAAAGGCTAAACATTTATGGAAGCTCTTATAGACCACTCAACCATAAAGTCCAATGTGTTTAGAAGACAAAAATAATAATTAAATATAAATAAAAAGACAGAAGAAGAACTAGTACTTAAATAAAATAAAAACATGTTCTGATTTTGCAGAATCACTGAATGATCATTTTACCACTGCCCTGGTAAAATGGTCAATAGAGATTCATCGAACCTTAGTTCTACGTAGTTCGGAGACTTATGTTTTCTATTTTAATTGATCAAACTGGATCTTTTGAACCTTACTTTGATGTGAAAGATAGACTTACTGTGTTTCCCATAAGCTCTGCCTTCACCAGCTTTGCTCCAAGCTTGTTCAGCTCCTCCTCAGACAGCAATGGAACCTCCTCTTCTTCTTCTGACTCACTCTCACTTTTGCTTCAAAGGGAAATAAAAATACACAAAACCCTTAATGGTATTTCAAATAGCATAGATACTGTGAATGAAGCACTTCATGATTAAACACTTTTTTGTGAATTTCAACCATTTACATATTTCCTTCATGCTGTGACAGTGTTTATCTGTTATGGTTGATTTGGTATCCGCACCCCCTAACAGATGATTACAAGCGCGCCTGAGAGGATGAGAATTGCGGGAAGGGAAGCGTCGTTCAAGGCTATTTCACTTCTCATAGGCTCATTTCATTCTGCTGCTGTGCCGCACACTCGTTTCATGCTGCAGGGGTTCTGGTGCCGTTTTACCCAAACAACTCAGTCTAATGAGCCAAAACACAGAGGAGCACAGAGGGCTCCACACAGCAGCCTAATGCATCTGCTCAGCAACACTGCAGCAGACGGGAGTGTGACTAAAGGCTGTTTGCAGACAAGTTTTATACAAGAATTACTGACAGATCTGAGTCATTGGGGAATTAAAACTTGTGACATTAAACATTAGTAGATGGATGTTATGATTGTAATATTTGCAATTTAGCTCTTGGGTCTAAAATTCAGGAACTTAACAGAGCATGATAGAGCATCTTGCATGAATGAAAAGTCTTAATCTTTTGACACCAAATAGTTGTGAGCAATTATCATAAATTCTGACAAGGGTTTTTGAAGTATTTGAATGTGACTTATATTTTACCGCAAAGTGTGAAGCCCACAGTTACCACATTTAATATTTAGAAAACTTCTGGGACAAAAACACAAAAACACTCCAGAATAATACCCGGTTGATATTGCAGCATCTTTCTCCACAGTTGAAGTGTTTTCAGGCGTAGTTGTTTTTAAAGGACTCTCTTCTTTCTCAAGATGCTTTTCCTGACGATGTGTCCCAGAGCTGCCAGCCTTATTCCATGCAGGAACTGTGGACGTGTGGGAGTCTTCATAATCAGAGCTGGGTTTGAGGAAAATGGAAGATGACTTGGCTGGAGGACGCTGATAGTCTGGATAAAAGCAAAAACAAAAACAAAAAGCATACAACTATTATTGAGAGAAAACACCTTTGTGAAATCAAACTTCTTAATAGATAAAGCTTACTTCATGTTACATAAACAACCATAATAACTGACATAAAAAAATATTATGGGGATTATACATTTAATTGAAATTACTTATGTATTTGCCTCTGAACTATCGCCATAATTACTTTGTTACAATTATAACAAGATTAATGATGGGTCTTTTGACATATTTAATGACATGTATCTTATTCATCTGAATAAATTGATTTGATTTGCTTGACCAACATACCGCTAGTCATGTCATCTTCATCTGAGGGTTTGAGGAATCTGCCTTTTAGCGATCCCAAAGAAAGGGGTTGGCTCCAGTCTTTGCCAGAAGCTGCAGAATTAGACCCTTCTCTCTCTCTATGCCTATCCCCATTTCTGTCTCTATTTCCATTATTTCCATCCCTTCCTCTATCTGCCCCTCTATCCCTATCTCTATCCCTATCCCTATCCCTCTCCCTATCCCTCTCCCTATCCCTCTCCCTATCCCTAGTTCTCTCTCTATCCCTGTACCCATCATTGTCTTGTTCACTGAGCCTGGATCTCTCTCTGTCCCTGTACCGGTCTGAACGCCCAGGAGAAGAGTCTGATCTCCTCCACCGCTCTCTGTCTGAACCACGACGTTTGTCCTCTTCCTCTCTTCTCCATCCACCTCGCCTTGAACCCTCTTCTCCTCTTCTGTCTCCATAAACAGCTTTTTCAGCTTCGGCAAGTCTCTGCTGAAATTCCTCCATTGACTAGAAAGAAGAAAAAAATATCTGATTTAAATGATATACTCATGATATAGCCAAGGCTGGTTACCATGTGTCCTACTTAAGTCACCTGGACTGTCTGCTGGGGTACAAGGGACAAGTGCTGTATCTGAGCAAACCTGTATCCAGAATAATTAGTACTGGACAGACCTGAATACCTACTTCCTCCTTTCACTGTGTAAAAATCAGGCATACTAGTTTTAAGCTTAGTTTTTGCACTTTCTTAAGCTCCAAACTTTTCCAGCTGAATGGCATTGGCTGAAGTGTGTGGATAATGATGGCTTCAGATCATAGTGCATACATAACATTTTAACATGTTAAAAAGGCATTAAAGACTGACATACTAAGACTTTCTCTGGAGAGGAAATTATATATTCTATCCTGCCATTCTCCTGCCATTCTAATGCCAAAGATGTATATGTGAGTACATTTGACTTGGCTCATGCTGTGGTGAGTTCTTACCCCATATCGCTCAGACACCACATCACTGAGGCTGCGTTGCTCCCTTTCCGCTTGCTCCTTCATCCTCTGGTAGCTCTTTCTTAGCCAACTCAGACCACCATCATTGGCGACTGAAGCTAAGAACAAAACCTAAATTACTTGAAGTAGTGAAAGTGTTTCAACACTACTAAAAAAAATAATATGCGAAATTCCATTGTGCCTTCAAGTTAATATAAAACTTATCTATCCTTTATTCAGTAAAGCCGCATTACAATAAGAGCTAATCCGCCTATGTGTGGCTTTTAAATTAAAGTTGTGCATTCATCTGTGAAAACCACTGGATTACATTATGCACAGGACTGTTATCTCGCTAATAGACAGACTTCAGAAAGAGTTGTACCTTTTTGGACCACTGTGCCAGTCTTCTCCTTTGGGGGTAGACCAGTTCCTCCATCCTTCCAGTAGGGATTTAGTTCCAATTTGTGGAGGCCAGCCTAGAGAACACATTCTAATTAAACTATGAAAAACCAAGCGTGACAACAAGTGATTATAAGAACTCCTCTGTTGCATTGTTCTTTAGAAGCATAACTCAGGTAGTTAACATTCTTGAAAACATCCAGTCGTATATGTACAAATTAGATGAAGAACATATGAAACTAGCCAAATACGAAACTACAAAAATATTAATGTACCTGCTCAATTGCCTCAGCCTTGGCCCTCTCCTGCTCCTTTTGCTTGTCTTTCTCCGCTCTTCTCTCAGCCGTAGACGTAGTTTTCATGGCAAGAAAATCAAATGTCATCCATTCATCTCTCTGTAAAATAAAGAAATAAATAACAAACACCTACAGTTGACATAACCATATTATAATTCACCTATAGTTATTCTTTACCTGTATATTCTGTAATGTATTAGTGTTGTTCTCTGGTTTGGACTCATCCGGAACATTCCAAGCTTTAGCAGAAGACTGGGCTTCAACCCACTCATCACCAGAGTCCTTATAAAAGACATAATAAGGAAATGGTAGTGAGACAAAATTATTAGAAATTATACAGAAAAAAACTACTTTATTATTATTATTATTATTATTTGCACATTAAATACATTTGCTTATATTTTCACAATATCAAGTACCTCTGAGCAGTCAGTAGATCCATCCCCAGGTTCATTAGGCTTCTTTTCCTTCTTGTTTTTCTTGTTTTTTTCTTTCTTCTCCTTTTTCTTTTTTGATTTTTTCTCTTTTTTCTTCTTCTTTAAAGATGATTCCTGTCAGGTTATAGGCACCACAAACTAAGACACCAGGATTGAACAGAAAGAAAAGTAAAGTAAAAAAAACAAAAACAATCCTTACTTCTTCTATTTCCTGCAGCCGTTCGTTAACTTCAGGAAGCATCCAAGTGTCCTCTCCTCTGAGTCTTTTAAGTTCCTTTCGCTTTTCCTCTTTTTCATATTGATGCTTGGCCTGAAAAGTAAAAATCATGGAGTTATTTATCTTTAAGTATTTAAATATTGCATAATGGTAAATGCCCAGTGGTGTGACAGTTGACATTTAAAAGATATGCAAATAACTGGTCACATTGATCTAATTTGGGCATCAAAAGTACTCTATCTTCAAGGACCCATCGTCATCATCACTGTTCACACACAGTCATTCACCAGAGAAGGAACACAATGGAGGAAAAGTTGTCCTTGGGCAAGACAACACTTCATCTGCCTTGTTAAAGGCTGAATGTGATTTGAGTTCCTTGAAGGTAAAAAAAGCACTATTTAAAAATGTGACCATTTTACCATGTACATGGCGAGAGTGTGGAGAGCTAATGTGACCACATTGTAGCATTTTGAGTGACCCATCCAGCTTTTAAGGAAACAAAACACCATCTTCTATACAAATGGAACCTTTGTTGTGATATTAATTGTCAAGTTCTCCTTAACAACTGTTATTCAATGCCATTGTTACTAGCAGATTGTTAATTCAATGAACATTATAGCCTATATAATTTAGAATGTAACCTATAACTAAACAATTACTGATATCACTGCCTCATACCATTAAAGCAGTGATGATAACATGTCTTACATAAAAGTAAATAAACGGCCCTTAACACCAATGCTTTGACATATAAGTCTGACAGATGTTTGAAGCCATTAAACAGAGCAGAGCAAAACCACGCCTGTCTTGTGTTCATACACGTGTAAAAAATGTCAACAAGGCTGCACCGTAAAAGAAGATAACGGGGTATTAAAACACTGTGTGCATATGTGATTACAGCCAGCAATGTATGCCCAGTCTCTCTGAACAGTGGATAAAAGACTAGAGCACAAGTAGTAAACAGTCTTTGAATCAGCATATGCATTCTCAAGTGTTTGTGCTGTAATTTCCTGTGCCGTTTTACACCACCCGAAAGCAACTACACGGATATAATGTGATGGTTATAAAAATATTGCCTTTGTTTGGATTGAGAAAAGCTGACACAGGCTTTATTTATAAAGACGTATTAGCAGCATTAGCATCAGCCACAGGGTTTCTAGCATACAAGGGCAATCGGTAAATGCCCCAAGTATTAAAGTCTGTCCAAACTTATACTTATAACAAAAGTCACACGTCGTTACCTTTTCTAAAGCCTCTTGACGAGCTTGTCTCTTGCTTTCCTTTCTTTCTTCAATGCTGCTCGCACTCTCGAAGCTGCCGCCGTACGCCGCCATGACAGTGCCGTCGAGAAATAGTGGATGTCGTAAAGAGAAGCAGTGACGTTTCTATTAATGTACCAGTAGGGGGCGCTGTTAAAGCAATTACACTTTATAATTGAATAACCTTTATTATAGAGTGACCAGATTTTCAAAGTTCTAAACTAGGACACACCTGGGTTGCGATGGTTGGTGTAAATGAAACTGTGAAAAGAGCATGTAAGATTGTGCATTCTTGTATCAGTCATAACCTGAGAGACTTCTGTTGCTGCATTTTTATGTATTTATTTTTTTGATTTATGGTCATTTGCAAACAGGTTTCTGCATTTTGGGCAAACAAATGACAATTTATGCTCCTCTTTACTGTTGGCGGGGATCAGATTAGTCAAAAATTGTGATAGTCCTATTTAGACCTGGTTTAAATCAAATTGGTAAAAAAAATAGGGACACCTGAGACATTTCTTGTATAAAACTGGGACAAATCACTGGTTTTGTATAAATCTGCTGGGACCGGAGACACAGGGCACAAAACTGGGACTGTCCCGAGTAAATAGGGATGTCTGGTCACCCTATTTTATTACCGCACTGGAACTCTTTGCTACCTGATGATTTATTTCACATTACCTAGGTCACATTTGCTAAACCTGTTAACAATTAAGTTTATATAAGGTCACATGGCAAATCCTGAACGATCCCTCTTGTAAAGTAGGCACTGAAGAAGTGTGTATTCTGGACTTTCTGAAGGGTCTATATTACTTTCTGATATATTCTGATCAGTGTTATGTTTCCTCACCAAATACCAGGAGTTGTGTTTTGTTTCAATCACATGTTTAACACACAAATCCTTCATATTAAGGCTGAGTTTTTTTCTCAAAAGGAAAACACTCCAACTTGTGATGTTATGTCATAATACAGCAAGTGCTTCGTTGTGTTTTTAAATTCCTTATGCCTTCATTTTAGTTGGTTGATTTCAGACCTGGAATTGCAAATCCCTTCAAAACTAAAGGGTAGCTGTTAACTTGAAAACTACCACTTTGTAACATCACAAAATGGAAGAGAGTATTTCAGCTTTGGAGATGTAGACAGGATTACAGAAAACATGTGTAAATGAAACAAAGAAGATGTTCAGGTATGCTTTGATGAGGTAACAACATAAACATAAAATGTTAAAAAATGTCGGCATGGTGGCTGAGTGGCTAGCACTCATGCCTCACAGCAAGAAGGTTCTGGGTTTGATCCCAGGGTTGCCCGGGCCTTTCTGTGTGGAGTTTGCATGTTTCTCCCCGTGTCTGGATGGGTTTCCCCCATCACCCCAAAACATGGTACATAGGTCTCCAAGAACAATTGATAGTCAAGGTCAGTTAAATACAATCAATTCAATCATTGTGTCCTTAGGCAAGACACTTCACCCACATTGCCTAGTATGAAAGGTGTGTGTGCGTGTGCGTGTGCGTGTGTGTGTGTGTGTGTGTGTGTTCGGAGGCACTGATGGCGCCAAGTGGCATGGCAGCCGTGCCTCTGTCAGTGTGCCCCAGGGCTACAATAGTAGCTTACCATCACCAGGGTACAGAGTGAATAAATAATGCTCTGTAAAGTGTCGTTGGGGACAGAAAATGTCTGTGAAATAAAGACTTACATGCAACATTAAACTGGTCAGAAGAAGTAAAAAAAGGCAACCAACCAATGTCTTTAAAGTGATATAGACAATTCTGTCACAGTCAAACTACTTAAATTGCTTAGAGAGTGTGTGGTTGGCTGAAAAACTGGAACCAGGGACCATGTTAATTCTCTGCAGAATAACCCTAATTAACATGTAATTGGCCTTAGTCAAAAGGGTATTCTGTCTGGTGAACTGTATGAAAATATGCTATTCCAAGATTTCTGATCTTAATTTGACAAATTAGATGTATAATATGTTTTCCATTTGTGTCGTTTCATATTCAAATACAGTACAATCACTAAATATCAAACTTTTTTTTTTCTAGTGAAATTTGACTGTACAGGGCTTAAAGAACTGTAAGGACAAAATATAATTAACCAAGACCATCAGAACCTTTACCATTCTGCCACTGTCGGTCTATAATAACCAGGCTCTAGTTTACACAACAATCAATATGCCTCTAATTAGACATCCAGTGTGTTTATACTGCCCCATATTTTCCATTTTTTACTTTTCTTGTAAATAAATTGGTACTGAATTCTGCAAGGTATAAGAATGAAAAATAAATACACAAATGCAATATTAAGTAGTTATTTAATTTTTTTTTTTTTTTTTTAATCTGATAATTAAAATATGCGTGTAAAATGTATTGCACATTGTTTAAACTTTGTCTCCTACAAGTCCTTCTGTAGAATAACACACCAGTTTCCCTGGTCATGATAACTACTCTGGACTTTTACTCCAGCCACCTGGCCACACAGCTGCTCCAGCTCCCCCTTCTGGAAAACATGGTAATAGCGATGAAAGACTGGAACTGAGCTGCTCTCTGACTGTTTAGGATTAGAATTATTAGATGCAGTCATGTGATCTTTTGAGCTGTTTTGTAATTCAGGACAAGGGGGAGGATTGCAGGTTTTATTTGAATCAGTGCTGAATATTTTTGTCTGGCTACCTTGAGTTTCTTCTTTTACATTTTTCCTTTCTTCCACTGCCCTTTTCCCATCTTTGAGATGCCAAGGAACCAAAAGGTCCTGAGTAGTGAAGGCTGTGCGATTAGTGTGCACGCTTAGTTTACCTTGAGTCACTTTTTTAGGGGATGGCATGGCTGATACATTTTCATTATCTTCTTCAAAACGTTTGATTGTCTGAACACTTGACTGACCATTAGATGTTTGTTGTTCTGTAGAAATACTGACAGTGGGCTTTTGTTTTTCCTTGGAGTCTTTGAGGTACTTTGATTTTTGCTTGTTGTACTCTTGTTCAAAGGCCCACACGTAGATAAGTGCTTGGCCGCCCGGTTTGAGTAGTCTGACAAGCTCCTTTATAGCCTCAAGCCGTCGTTCCTGTAAAAATAAAATAAGTTATTGTGACTTCAACAGTGTTTAATATGAATTAGCTTTTTTTTGTTGTTGATTTTTTAGTTTTTTACTCAAAGCAGAAGAAAGTAACAAAACACAAATGATAAGTGGGATAAGTGGGATGGCACATCACCATAAATCTTGTTTGAGGGAGCATTTGAATGATAAAATAATGACTAAAGCTGTTTTTATTGCCTGGCAGTGATACTGATAAATATGCTATTATAGAAAATGACAGTTGTGGCTGTGTTGCTCTGATTGTTAATACAGATTAATTTTATTCAACTCAGAATTAATGTAGAGTCTTAAGAGCTTTCGAAATATCACAGAGTAAGTGAAGTATATTACCATTTATCACTAAAATATTGAAAATAACTAGGCAATGTTGTTTTCAATTTTTGAGAAAGGCTTTCATTACCTGTGTTGAAAAGTGATGTATAACAGCTATAGAGATGCATGCGTCACAACAGGCTGTCCTCAAAGGAACGCTCAGGGCATCAGACACAAACACTTGGAAACCCCTCTCTGCGCAGATGTTAATGAGGCCACTGCTGCGGTCACAACCCATCTGAAATACATCATGTTTACTCTTACTTATAAAATATAACATGTAACATTTCGTATTTAAGGTCCAAAATAGCATATAAAATGAGATGAACTAGTCTAAAGCCATGTTTGAAATGATAAATGAAGCTTAGAGCAAAAACACAGAAATAGATATGATACTGGTGTTCTCTGACTTATAATGGTAATAGACTGAAGATAAGCTGCTTACACACATCTCCAAATCCAAAAATGAAAATCCTCATGTACTTGCATAAACAGACAATTGGATATCACCATGGAAACTGAAAAAATACTTTTAATCAGCAGAATCTAGACCACTGGATCAAAAGGTGTGATTTGTATTATCATAAAAATATGTCTGTTTGGAACTAAAAGAATATATTTCTTTTAATGCTGAAAATGATTTTACTTTACACATTTTTTCTACTACAGAAAAAATAATTGGAGGTTTTAGGCTGCTGAAAACTAACCTATCAAGGAAATCATTTTACATTTCTGAGCACATTCATGCACAGCTTTAATTTGAACTTTCTTCTCAGTAAAAGCATAATCCTCAATTAAACAGTATTTCTACAATAATAGACATGTTAAAAATACAGAATGAAAATAATGTCTTTGATCTACTTCTGTTCTAATAAATATGTACATGTTATGCAGAGGTCAGATATTTTTAAGGCTGACTTGATATAAAAGACAACCATTCACCCTCTGTTCAGTTTACAACCCAAACATTCTTGTGTATAGTGCAAGATGCTGGCCTTGTACAGAACAGGCCGACTACACTCGAGAAATTGTGTGATTATATTAAGATTACACTCACCGCCACCACCTGTGGGTTGACTCCTAGGTATTTCCCGTTACCACAGCCCACGTCAGCCAGCACACTTCCAGGTGGCAGCGAGCAGAGGAAGTCACACACCCTGGGCCAAGGCGAATGGCGCGTGCTGCTGAAGTGGGAGGCAATGGCATCGTACACCTGGTGCACATACTGCTGCTCCAGATGGGCTGCATCGGTCTGGCACCCCGGCAGAGAGGGAGGGGCGGGCTGTGATGGCCTCGGAGCGGAGGGTGCTCCTTGACTGTCACAGGCAGAGGGGAAGGCTGAGGATTTAAAAAATATGATCAGTGATAAAAGCAAGGTGACAACAAGTAATAAACAAACTTGTTCTGGGTTAGGAATTAACCTCACATACATTATTTTAATAGCATACAGAATAAATGCTAAGGAAAACTGCCAGTGCTTCATACTTAGTCTTGTCTAAATTAGTTGGACGCAACCAGGTTAATTAATGCATATTTATAACACAATCTTACCACAATTACAGGGCTCATGTCGGATTTTGCGAAAGGTAAATGAAGTGCGAGTGTCCCTCTTGTTCAAAGTCAGATTGCTTTGTGTGAGGTTAGATATTGTGCGGATGGGGCAGTCGGAATCAGCAGTAGGTACCATATCAAATTTTCGAGGAGTTATTCTGGAAAGAAAAGAGTAAAATATATAAATACTATATGTTAAAAACCATGTAAAAAATACACTGAAATTTTAAAACCAAATTGCATGACTTTCAGTGAAAACACGTACTACTCCACTGCTCCCCATACACCTATTCGAGCAATAAATATTGGCATTTATGTGCGGCTTATACAAATGTGTAGGGAAAATATATATAATAAATATTGCATGGACAAACATCACATTTATTATTCCTTCTCTGCAGTTAGAACAGAAGAGTGAGACGCTGTCACATTTCAATAGATTGTGAATCGACCCGAGGCTCACTGCAAGATGAAATGACTCCCCAGCAGCTCACCCGTGGGTCCACAGATATCGGCTCTCCCCTTTCATCACCAACAGGCTTCGGGCTGGCAGGACCACAGCAATGAGGCGGCCATCAGGATGACGGAACTCCATCACTGTCTGCACAGGCACACACAACACGCCAATGACAAGTCTGAAGGCAGTGAGGAGGACGAGCCCCTTTCACAGCTTCCCTCGCTAACAACCCGACGTAGACATCTCCTGCCCCAGAGCTGGTGTTTGATCCTAATGTTTCCTTACAGAGTATAACAGCATGGGCTCCGCTGGGAAATTACATCCACACAATTTCAAACTGCATCCCTCCAACTTTTGACAGGAGGAAAATTGGATTTCGTGAAGTGGCGGCAACTGTGTGTGTTTGTGCATGTGCGTGTGTAGCTTTAAGAGCTAGATTTGTGGAAGATTGTTAGAGAGAGCAAAAGTAGTCTACAGGCGACATAAACCATCAGATCTCTCCAAGCAGCTACCATCGTACACATTGGAATGAGCACAAACTCACACAAACAGCAACTCTGCAAAAATCAGTTTCAGCCAATCAATAAAACTGGTGGAATGTGACTAAATCAATGTTGATGCTGGCAGCTATGCTTTGCAACAAGACTATTCATCAGTGTCAGAAATCAGAAAACATACATACATCAATAGACTAGTAACAAAGTCAAGCAATTTGCAAAAGGCCTTTGAGACTTTTTTTTCTGCAGTCACAAACTTTTAACTAGATTTAACTTTGAGGTTTCACTTTTGGCTTTTCGATTTCAGAGGTTGACACCACAAATCGTAGACCACCATCAAATACTCTCCACTGCACCTCTATTTTCACAAAAAGTAATTTTCTCTTGGCCTCCAGCCTGGGTGTCTTTGGGTGAAAAGACACCTGATAGACAGTCCTTCGCCATTTCACTTCCTATTTTTAGAAAGATGTGTGTAGTGGTCTACAGATGTAAATTAGACAGATGTAAACTCCACTGTTACAATTATGGTGACTCTATTCCACTTCATCTAATAGATTAAATACATTAAAAAATATAAGTTATATAATAAAAACATAACTGAGTTGACTTGAGATTTGAGTTTTTTAATCTGCGCTTTATTTACAACATTTTCAGTAGATGTCAAAATTCTCACAGAAGCCTCTGCCACAAGCCTCTGTCTACACGAAAAAGCTAATGAATCTACACTGAATCCACTTCCTTACCCAAAAGTGCTCTCTTTATATTTGACAATGCAGACTAGGCTTAATTGATAATAAAAAGAAAAAAAGAGGACGGAGACACAAATTTTACACCATGAACCAACTTGACAGAAAGTATCATCCTTCGCTAAGTCTACTTTTTGAATGAGTTGATTGTAATACTGTGTGGAGTCTACATGTTTTTATTAGTAGTCTTTCATTTCAGCTTATAGCATGTATGCAAGCATATTTTATGAAGGAATTAGTAATTAACTTATTTAGACGAGACAAATGAATCCCTAAAACTTTAGGCATTAACATAGCAACTTATATCATGAAACATTAACTACTAATCCTTTTCATAGTTTGTAATAAGAGCTGTTCCAGATGAAAAGGCAAAGGAAAATACCTGTGCGCCAAGACTTAGTGACATAATAGTGTCTTCAAAGGGCGAATGGGTGTCTACATGAGGAGGAATGCCTGTGAGAGACAAATAAAAATAAAATCAACGTAAAGTGCATTTTTTATAGACAAGTAATAGCAATTACTTGATTGCAAAAATAATTTATAATCATAAATTCAGATTTGTGACCATTTGTTTATAAGTTTAACTATTAACAGTTGTAAGAACAAGAGTTTACATTGCTTTGTGTATCCAATGGTACATACCTTGCCCAGATTCGTACTGGTTGACAGTGAGCTGATCTGGCATTACATTGATGTATCCATGCTTTATACATCGTTCCAATACAGGCAAACACTCCACTGGAAGACCTGGACAGAGAAATTGAATTGAAGTCCCATATTTTCATTACATTAAATTATTTGCAATAATACTGATCTTTGATTAGGTTGGCAAACCAACTCTCACCAGCGGGTAAAGGCTTGTCTTTATCCACATTATTGTTGTCATATCGAAACTCATAACCATAATGTTTTACTTTTCTGTGCTTGAGAGCTTTCTGGGCTGAAAACAAAATATGTCTACAGTTTGTGATTTTTAGTCATGCTTATATTATGGTATATTCTTAAAATAATAGCCAATACTGTACCAGTATCTCGATCACTGTCGGATAACCAGTCAGTAGATGCGAGTAGTTGAGCCTCTTCTTCAGCAGACACAAAGCCTTCTACTACTGTCAAACCTTCTGGTAAACAAACAGTTTCTTCTTCCATACACTTGACTAGACAAAAAAAATGTATATTAAATTATATAGTATGTAGGACAAGCATAAAATATAACCTGACTGAATACCAGTAGATCTACCTGATTCAACAAAGCTCAGATAGAGAGTGACAGTGCTTTCACCACATTGCAGCTTATGTCCATTGAGGTTAATGTGAGCTTTGAGCGCATTTTCCTCTGAACTGAAAACAGATCAAAACAATGTTCATCATGCACATATTTCTATTTCAATAAGATATATAACACATAATCAAAGTATCTACCTGTTGTGGCATTATAAGCACAACAAAAACTGATTTATGGAAGTCTAGATTCATATAAAACAGTGATAAATTATTATAAAGGTCAAGATTTTGATTATAAACTGTATAATAGCACTGGTACTGGTCCCGTAGTTTGAGATAATGTAAAATTTATCTTATCTAAAACACAGACACAAGATTCTATTGTTGAATAAAACATAAAACTCAATTCTAGTGGGAAATGAGTTTAGACAGCTTTGTGAAATGTCAGTTAGTTCAAGGAAATCCCACTGAACACTCAAATGAACTATATTTCATTCTTGATTTGACAATTATATAGTTCATCTGAGTCAACAGTAGATTTTCCTCTGCTCTTCAGCATAACTGACCCCTAACTGGGGTTCTGGAGTGAATCTAGTTGAGATTACATTGCCTTCAGGTTCATCATCAAAACAAAAGTGGAATCCGGCCTTGGTCTTCTTTTTCCTTGTTTTGTTTCTTGTTTGCTGAGCTCCAGGAGGTCTCATGAAGGCTGCCTCTGGTTCGTCTGGTATTTCAACATAGAACCAGACACTGGGTTTAGGGTCAGAAGTTGTAGATGTTGGTGGTTCCTCATCTTTTACCACATTGGGGTTGCTGTTTTGGGACCCTTGATGGACCAGGAGAGTTTGTAGCCTCAGAGTCTGTTTATGCTACTCCTGTTAGAGTTTTTGTTTTTAGGAGTTTGTGTCTCTGTACAACCTCCATTACCTCTGTTACCTGCCATTCTTGGAAGACACATGGGTGATCTCTATTCTTTTGGTGGTTCTGAAGGAAACACCTTGATAACCTCAGGCTTTGGTGCAGGGGCCTGAACATTCAGTAACTGACAAGTTTGCTCAGTTTTAGAAGCAGTTTTTTTCTTCTTTGTTTTCAATTGGAATTTTACAGTCACCTGCCTTTCTTGGAAGGCATCTTCTTGGTGGTCTTTGTTCTTTCGGTGGGCTCTGAGGATACACCTCAATTGGCAGTCTGCCTGTGTGGATTGTCCTCCCACTTTTTTTTTCAGTTTTCTTAAACAAGACATTTTCTTTGGGTACATGGGTACATGAGTACATTAGGTACATGGGTACATGTTGACTTTTGGTCCCTTCCGATCTGTTAGGGGTTGATTGCCACTCCTAATATTTTTTTCTCCAGTTTTTAGGACCTTGGGATGTCTCTTTGTTAGCTTTGTTGTGACAACTAGGTCTGCCATCAGTGTTTTTTTTTTTATCTCTGTTCCCTGTCCAGTATGAAAAGGTCTTCTTTCTCCTGTCGGCACAAAGTTTCTAGGTGCTGCAGATCTCTCTGCTGGAAATGTCTCTGCTCCTTTGTTCTGAGAACAGGGCTTCTTGGTATATCTTTGGTAAGAACTGAGATTGTTGGCAGCAGCCTCCTCTCTCCAGTTAAGACGTGAATACCTCTGTCTCCTCTCAGAGCTTTCCAGGTTCTGATTTTCAGAATTGGGTCTAGACCTGCCTTGTTTCTTGGGGAAAGAACCATGTGCATTCCTGGGCTTTTGGTTGGATGAAGGTCCCCTGGGACCTGGAGATGTCTGGGCTGGATCTGTGTTGTCCAGCCTTTTCTTGTCATGTCTTTTTTGTCTGATTTTTTGAAGGCCTTTCTCCATTGTTTTAGGACAATGGTCTAAAGTAGCCATAATGAGCTGTTTAAATGTATAGTTCTTACTGATCACCAAAACGCGAGATCTTTTCTGGTTCTTTCTTCTTCCCATTGTGTTAAGTTTATTATTATCAATAATCTTGATAATAAGTCACAAGTGGTTGTAGTGTTCACCTTAAAGTGTTAACAGTTGGAGACTTCTGCCCACAAGTGCCTCAACTATCAAATGACCAAAATCCGCTCCTGTTTCACACTTATAGGAAAAGTTGTGGAATGTCACATGGCGTCATTGTCGTATCAAAGCACCATCCTAATTTTGATGGTCATGACTCCAGTGCCATGACAAATGGACTTTCTCTGTTTTTGTTTGTTTTCAATAAAAAACATAATTCTGTAATTCAAAGTAGGGCAGCTCTAAATTTAAAAAGAAAATGGTGCAAGCTTTTACATTTTTGTTGTTTTTGGAAGCAGATATGACCAAATCTTCACAGGGGCTGCAGCTATTCTCTCTTGGTAATTCCAGAAATCGACCATTCAATCTTTTCTTTCTTTCTTTCTTGTTTTTTGTTTTTTTTTTGTTTTGTTTTTTGTTTTGGAATCAACTGGATTATAACAAAATATGAATTAATTAGAAAGAACCCTAAACTGCCTTTTTTTTTACATTTTATGTATTGTCTCGTAAACAAACACACAAAAATCAGTACTCTTACAATGTCATTTATACCTGTACGTCACAAAGGCATAGGGTTTGTGCGGAGGCATGACGAGGACCTCCACCCGTCCGATTTCTTCCAGGGTTGCAGACAGATCCTCTCGACTTACCCCATTCCCAAGGCCACCATTTGTGACCACCAGATGCTGAAAGAAATGTTTAAAGTTTAAAGACTGTGAATTAGTATAACATGGGTAAGATAAAACTGATAACTGATTTTCCAGCATCATCTATTAGTGTAGTGCTATATACGCTATTACTGTTTACCTTCGTCGGTTTTGATGTCGTGTGGATGCCTTCATGTTTTAGTAAAGTATGACTGGCTTTGATTTGTTTACGAAGCACTTTCTTTTCATCTTTACTTTTTCTAGATACTTTCGTGGTGGTCTCCACATTATCGTCCATGGTACGTCTTTATTTTGCGTCCGACATTGAACAACTTCTCTGAGATAAGTTCCGCAGACTAAAAATATGTCATAAATCGACGTTTGTCTTGTAGCCTATATTTGTAGCCTTATATTGTATGCAGTGCTGTGCCTATTTGAGAAGCGTATTAATTTATAACTAATATGGTGGTATTTATTTATGACAACACCCTGTCATACACATATACCTAACACCCTAATAGCAGCGGTGAATAAGTGTGCTGCCACCTATTGGTCTATATTGAGAAAGAGTGGAAATCATAGACTGATAGCCAATTTACTCAGCATGCTATGGGTTCTTTATTCATATTTGCCAAATATGACTTTGCTCTTGTTGTATTTGTATGGCATCAATGTAGATCAGGTCAGATTCAGGCCCGGGGACCAAATTGCGCCCGTGATACAGTTATATTTGGCCCACGAGATAGTATCAAAATATATATTAGAGCTAGCTCGCCGGCTACAGATAGGCATTACATATTAAAAATTACATATCACGAAAGAAGAAAAAATGTGCAGATGTTGAAATTTTTCAATAAATATTTAGTTTGGCCCACGACTTAGTCCCAGTTTTTAATTTTGGCTCTCTGTGAATTTGAGTTTGACACCCCTGAATTGTAGATGAAAATCCAGTTATCAAATTAAATAAAACACCTTTACATACTTGCATATGAGTTTCTTGAATAGCCTGGGCTGTTTCAGCTGCATGTGTGCTTGGTGTCTCAGAGGACTCAATTATTTTCCACACAGCATGTGAACTCCTTTAAAGTGCTTGAATAATGAACCTGCAGCTACTAGGTTTCACTGTGTGGTCCAGCATGACACTGTCTAAGTGTGTAACAAACATGTTTGTGTGAACATGTTACATGATCAGACCGTCACCTGTCTTCAACTATTTCAGCTAATGGGGCAGCCCCATTGTCTTAACAGTACGCTCAGTTGGTCTGCAAAACAACAGCTGCTTGGACTGCACACAACTACAGTTCAGCATCAAGCTTTAAAATAAGTAACAAAATGAGTTATAACAGATGTATTTATTGGGCACAACATAGGCTATTAATAATCTGTTGGAGATCTTGCTCATATTGGTTTCAGATAAATCCCCATCTCTAAATTATCATATCATTCTTATAAATATAGAATTTTGTTTATAAATAAATAAAATGGTATTTAGTACAAGGGTCTTGGTATTTTCCTCGGCAATACCCTTGATCTTTCCACCTCAGGGACCTCACACAAAGTGTCACAAGTGCTGTGGTGTAAACTTCAGGGGAGCTGCCTTGGAGCCTTGAGGCATCCCATCCACTTCTGAAGTGCTGGAGAATTAGTTGGAACAAAGCACTGCTGTTGGCATATTTTTATTCTAATTAAAGTGTAGTGTGAAAGTGTATGACGGAGGTAGATACCTTAAGCAACTAGATACTACTTTTTAAAATAGTGCTCCAGTTTGCTATATCCCATGAGGAAGTCTTTAGCTGTTAATATTTAGCATGTGTGGAAACATAGTGCACTTTTCATACAGATGATCAAAAGGACAGGCTATTAATAGTTGATAAATTCATATTCAATTATAATTTCACGATAGGAATATTTGGCTTTTGGTCATCCTGGCATGGCCAAGATTGTATATTTTTACCATGCCCATTTAAAATATGGAGCATGCTTGTGTTGACATTTTAAGTAACTAAAGTGGAAATGTCAAAGGTTAGGAGATAGTCTTTGGCCACTGGAATTTCTCAGAGCGAATGGAATGCTGTCTTTGAAGCCATGTTGACACCCCGTCTCCTCCTCTGATTTGCAAAAAAAGCTGCCAGAACTTTTATATCTTACCTCCACACACACACACACAGACACACATTTGCTCCCTCAGCTGTCACAGTGGGCGCACGGCCACAGAGATGCCTGCACACCTCCTTCGGTTTATTCAGTAGGTACTTGACACTGGCTCCCTGTGACAATGGGAATCGTTGGACTCAAAAAGCAACTGGAACAATCCTGGCAAAGTGTCCACTACTATAAAACATGTCCCATGTTTTGATCTATTTAATCCTTGTAGGAATGGCCTTGGAATCCCCTGATGTGGAAGGATTGGGGAGAATCGTGCTCTTGAACACTTTGTCCTGCCTTGACCCTTGGGTATCATAGGAGGAGCAGTGTGTACAAAAGCTTTACCTCGGCTACAGAGATAAGCAGCTGTCAAGTGCGAGATGAGCTGAGAGGTGTGCTATGGTCAACTGCCCAAGCCCCATCTTGGTACAAGCTCAAGAGATGCAAGCTGTAAACAAGGACGCCAAAATATGTCCCCCACAAGTAGCAATGAAAAGTATGAAGTGCAAAGTGTAATACTGTGATACTAGCTCTAACCCTAAACTGACTTTCACTGCACTGTATACTTGGGGACAGCTAGTGTGCATAATATTATTACAGTGAATTACATTAAGTGTAAGTTTACAAAACTCATAGCACAGTTACTCTTCCACTACCACTATAAAGACTTAACTATTGTAACTTCTTGTATACATACTACCAATACTATTACAAAAAAGTATATATTTTCTGCAGTGTTCCTTTCAGTGGTTCATGTTTCTTCATGTTTTATCAAAATGACTTCACAGACTAGGAGGTTGAGGAGGAGTTTTTTCTTTTTACAAATATACAGATTTTTCTAATTGGAGTTGCAGGACCAAGCCATTTGATATTTGACTGTTATGTAAATTGAAGGTTAAAGGTTGCAATAATGTCATCCCTATTCTATCAGTCTGTCTGCAAGCTTCTTTTGTTTTACAGTGATACTCTTTTGATGACAGCACAAAATGACTGACCATGATGAATTGTAGCATTTGTTGGATTTAAACCAGGTTGCCCCGGCATTATTCACAGCCTCTGAGTTTAGTTCCTCCCTTGATACCGCGTGATACTGTTACAGTTTCCTATATCCACCAAACAACCCAAGTATTGTGTGTGGAACAACTGTAATCCAGCCTACTATCTGCAATAATGTTTTAAAAATAACCTTGGGCCCGTCCTGGGGTACTGTGTGTTACTGTGGACCGATATGGAGGGGAAACACTGCACAGGATGATGGCTTCAGCTGCTTTGTGACATCAGGCGGAGTGCATGTGGACCAGGGGCGTGGTTCTGTGGCACCCCAGACAGCTTTTATCTGCGAGACATGCCCCAGCATCCACTTAAAGCTGGACATCAGTTGTGAGCTGTGGATCAGACAATATATTAACTTGGGATGTCAACATAAAGAACCACTGGAGGGCTGAGGAATTAAGACTCTTTGGGTCTTACTATACAAAGAGAAGAGAGCACCAAAAAGAAAGGTAAAGATCCATGCAATTATGACTTCTGATCTGTTCATTTTTTATTTCTCATTTTTAGTAAACAAGCTTGTTGTAAATGTGTATTCTAAGCTGATTCTGCAAAGCAATGTCCCACAGTTGTGCCTGTCACAAGCCTGGATAAACAAGACTCAAGATGGAAATGCATAAAAATGAAAATCACATGTACACAATTAAATCTCTGTTGGCTTGCACGACTGACAAAAGAGTGTTTCTTATCCATACTACAGGGAAAATCTTTGCAGACTACTTCTGTTGATAATTCAATGCAAAACCCAAACGTGTCAACAGGCACTTTTTTGGAATATGGTGCCATGAACTCATGACTCACTTTTTATGGTTGTACTTTCTCTCCCCTTTTAGGTCTCAGACCAAAGGCAGTGCCTGCTCCTCCTCTGTGCCAGGGCCTTCTGCTGCCAGAATCAGGGGAAAACCATGGACCGCTCAACGCAGGAGCTCTTCCTCAATTTCATGATCGTCTTAATCACTGTGCTGCTGATGTGGCTGCTCGTCAAGACCTACCAGATTGAAGCATGACAGAAGGAAAACCAGTGGAAGAGGGAGGAGGAATGCAATCACCAATACTGTAGAACTATGTTGCTCAATGCTTTATCAAAATGTCTGTCCCAAGGTGTTTTAAATTCAAACAGTGATGTCTGAAACTGATATTACAGGTCATGTATTTTATTGTGGCTTTGCAGTTCTTTATATGTTAAAAAGCAAAGAGCAAAAGAGAATGGAATGTGTTTAAAATGTTGTAATTTTTGTGTAAAATAAACATTTAATGTTTTTAAATGCAGGTATTGAGGGTTTTTTTTGTTGTTGTTTTTTTTGATGCAATACAATACAATGCAATAAATACTTTGTTGTACTTTTGACTTCTGATTTAGTATTCCATACAGTATGTGGTTGCAAGCATTATTAAACCACCACAAAAACAGCAGGCTGGGAATAGGATACCATGTGGGGATTTGGCAATGCAATATACATTTATAAAATACCCACATAGTATCCTATTACTCAGCCTCCTGTTGTTTAACAGTGGTTGCATTTGTCTCTCAACAAACAGATTAAGCACAATAACAACAGATTAGGTTCCTCCATGGGAGTGATTCTAAAACATAACTGCACATGTCTGAGACTGCACAAGCTATTCTAAACAAAATAATGCACATGGAAAGCCATTGGCCACCATGTAATAAAGCCCATGTACGTTATGAATATCAGTCTATGTCTCATCCCTCCATGGGTCTCTGTATTTGTTGAAGCTGATAAGCTGGCAGTGGAACTCAGTCAGTGCTCTGGGCATGGGCGTCACCTCCTCCCATTGACTTTTACCACTGTGATACACCTGGACACAAGTAAAAACATGCCTGATGAAGTTTTAAAAGTACAGTTTACAGTTTACAAGTTATACCAACTAACTAACTAGCCATTACCACAAGACCTGGTTCCAGCTCATTCCAAGTACATACCTGAACTTCATCAGTGATCTCGTCTGGTGAATAGTCCCCTCCTAAGACGTAGAGTCTGTCTCTCGTTCCCACAGACCCGGCGTTGAAACCTGCGCTCTCAAAAGAACCCTCACCCTTCCACTCGCATGTCTCAGGGCAAAAACTGAACACCTGAAAGAAAAAAAAAACATGGCTATTTAAGTATATTCATACAGTAGGCCTATATAAAGCACCGCTTTTCACATTTCCAACCTTATAAGTTGACAAGTCACACAGATGTAGTGTATTATTAATGGATACTGCTTTAACAAGTGTAGCATGAAAGAACTGTCCAAACTCTGCGACAAGGCGTGTCCACTGGTCGTGCTTGGCGTCATACCGGAAGAAACAGTCAAGCAAAGGGTTAAAGGAATCTGTGATCTCCACCTCAGAACCCAGTGTGTAAATAATACTGTCACATGTGCTGGATTCTGGGTAAAATATTGCAGTGGGCAGAGGGCTGACAGCAGTCCAAGTCTGACACAGAGGGTTGTAGTACTCCACCTGTAGGAGAGTCAAAACATTTAGAAATAATATCTGATGTGTTTATGCAGTAGAATTACAGATTTTAAAAAGTTTGGAATATTTCAAATATTAATATTTCTAGGTTTTAATTCAGACTATAATAACACAAACCACTTTTGTAAGATGGACTCACTATCTGTGTGCCCTTGTCAAACAGAACTTGTTGAATATATTTTATAACCAAATTAGAAGTATGCATTCTGAATGTGAAATCTTTTATATTTTATATATTGTTTGACTCTACAACAAACCAAGACCAGAAAAACAAGATTGCAAGATCTTAAAAAAATATATACCTCCAATAGACTTGGAGCTTCACCTGTGGATCCTCTAGTCCTTCCTCCAATGACATAGATTCGATTAAGGCACATCACTGCAGTGTGCATAGTGCGTGGTGTGATCAAGGCAGGAGCAGGGCTGCAGGTCCTGGTCACAGGGCAAAAGCACCACATCTCGTCTGTGGCATCATGGTACGGCTCGGCCACATGGAGGCGAACTGCGCGACAACAGTTTCCGCGACAACCACCTGTAACAAATATCTGTACCAAAATACAAAAATGAGAATTTTCCATGTAGTTTAGACTATTTATTTCTGTCTAAATAGCTCGTGCACAAAACCTTTGCTATTGTACATTTTTCTACCTTAATGTGTTGAATGATTACTCTATAGGACAATACTTTAAGTGGTAAACAATGTAAAGGTGTACAGGGCATACCTTCTCAGCATAGCTTGTGAAGTGACAACCAGGAGGATCAAGCACAGTGACCTCCTCCATTCTCAGCTCCTTCCACTGATCTGAATCTAGACAGTAGCAGAAGCTGTGGTTGATCTCACTGTTTTCCTCTGTTTTGTGGATGTAAATGTAGCTTTGGGTTGTGGATGGCCTGGCGTCTGTCATGAGACCATTATACTGACTCTGTACATGCTGGGCTTCTGATCGCAATGCAATGCATTGTTCATCATTGGACAGAAGAGAGTCGGAATCAAACAAAGTCTAGAAGAACATGTTGTTAACATCACATCAATACACTGCAATACATCGGTGTATGTGCTATGTGATGTGTGCACAATAAAATGAAATGCCTTTAGTGCAGATGCAGGGATGTGGTGGAGTCGGATCAGGGAAAGCAGTTCTGGCAGCAGCTTTTGTCTTTCAGGAAGACTGTGGTGTATCCATTGCAGAAGAGACATAACCAGGGTCTCTTCACTGGGGACGTTCAGACAGTCTGATCTAAGGCATGCTTCCAACACATTTATCTGGAAGGAATAATAAACAACAATAAACATTTGGGTTCTACAAGCTTGGAATATATGAGATATATAGGTATGTGAGCTTACCTGCATATCCAGAAAATCCTTATTTTGAGACAAGCCATAAAAGTTTTCAACTACAAAATCATTGGCATTTTGGAGCAGTGACGCTGAACCATATGCCTCAGCAAGGGACAAGAGGGACAGGATATTTGTCAGATCCATCATCCTTATGAGAAAATCACTACATGCTTTAAAGAGGACCGGGACCTAGGAGACGAAAATCACCTGTTCAGGTTGTATGGTGTAAAGTAAAACTTATTATACTATGACTATATTCCTAATACAATTTCCACTGAATGGTATTTACTTGAAGGAAGGAGGCTATCTGAAATATCATGTCTACATTTGCATCAGTGATGAGGGCTTCTCCAGAGTAAGCAAAATCCAGGAAAGTGCTCACAGCTGCAGGACTCTGGTCAGTCAGTTGAACTGAGCCATCTCCACACTCACGCATGTCCACCGCAAACATAGCCCTGTGCACCAAAGATTTCATGGAAATTAGCATCAACATAAAAAGTCAAGGTCCATCGAAAGTAGCCAACAGAAGAATTTAGTCTACCTAAAGAAGTCACTGGATGCTGCAAGCACACACCGATGACAAGGGAAACTGTGGTCCTGCACGTTGATGGTGAAATCAAACAACAAGCCTTGTTGTCTAAAAGACCGGAGAACACTGAGCAGCTGAAAGCCAAGAGACTGCGACACATTTAAGAGAGTCCTGTGTTCTGGGTCTCCGTTGCCTTCTGGAGCGATGTCTGAGTTATTACAAGAGTTCATCTTGAATCTATTAAGGTTTCATGATAAAGAGAGTCACAGCATCACCAATTCCAAGAGAGGATGCTTTCATAAAAGACAGATTTACAATAAAGATGTACTGCACTGGAGAAATTATCTCCAACTAAATAATAGGCCAATGCAGCACGACGATGGTGCACCACTGTAGCACCTAAATAGTCGATTAGAGTCATTATATCTCAATGCTAAGAAAAGCATATTCTAAATGACCACTAAAAGCTAAAAAATACATACATATACACAGGCTACATTAGGACATCAGCTCCGCCTGCTCCCGTGTCCACGGTCAGCACCCTGGATAGTTCCCTCTGTCACTTCTACTTCCGGCAATGTAAACCACGTGAGAGGCTGAGCTGTGACATCGTTTTCGTGTTTGACTTCATCTCTTATGTCAGTGCCAAGAGTTTCAGCATTCCTTGACTTAAAGCAATAGTACATCTACATCAAGCTCTTATTTTGTACGAAGTGGTGTTTTGAGTAATATAAACAAACGAACGAAAAAAATAAAATAAAAGCGAAGCTCGTTTTTATACGTATTCATACATTTAATAATTACACTGACGTGATCAAATCAAAGAAAAATAATAAGCTATTGCTCCGTCGTGTCAGTTTTATGCACCGACACCTAAAACCACTAGATGGCGCAGTGAATCCATGGGCAAACAATTGGTCTTCAGCAAAGGCAAAGCTGAAAAAGGATAAGACGCAGCGACCGAATCTGAATGATGACGAGTGAACATGGAGTTGTGCCTACTGCAGTGTAAATGTGCAGTGCAAAAATACCAACATATTGTACCTCCAGAAAATAGTTGTAACTGGCCTTCCATCATTGTAACGTTATGTTATGTTATGTATTTTACAACCGATGCGAAAATGAAATGTTAATTGAAAGCACAAATTCAAATGTCCATAATTGTTGGATTTAAAAGTGACTGTTAAACCTACTATTATGATGGTTTAAGATCTCTTAAGTCTGGTTTAATATCCTGCTATTCATGCTTGCAGTACATTGCTCCACTCCACTATTGGATCTTGTGATAATGTGCATATGATCATAGTCTGTCTGCTGTAAGAGTCGGCCCCTCTCCTCTCTCCTTGCATCCCTGTATCCCTCCCTCTCACTCGCTCGCTCCCGGCAGTGCATCCCCATCCCCCACTCGCGGTGGCCGTCTCTTCTCAACGCTACTGGCCCAACAAAACGCTGCTGTTGGAGGCAGAGCCAGTCCGCACCGACCAAAGGCAGAGCGCACACGGACAACAGAGCAGAAAAACTCATAAATAAGGGACTTGTTTTGTACTAACTCTTTGGCTAAGCTCATTTGGTAAGTGCAGCCCACTGTTCTTTGTGCAGAAGAAGAATATCAATTTGTCGACTTGCTAGATCGTTTTCCCTGTGTTTTCCCCTTTCGTATCCCTTTCAATTGTCCTCCGTAGTGGCTACAGCGGCGGGGAACTAGCGGGCTAAGCTAAACGGGTTAGCTTCAATAGTAAATCCAAGCTGCTCCTGACCACTTGCGCCTATGTTGTTGGTGTTTACGGCTTGATGCTTGATTGGAGCATTTATGGATGATTTCAGATATAGTCCAGTTTGCCGTGATTGCTCGCCGCTGTCATTTATCCTGTCTCAGTTAGCTCGCTAATTAGCCATTTGAACAGCAGCGTGTACTCTGGGATGCAGGGATGCTACAGTGGGTTAGCTGCTGTGTTTTGAGGCTAGCAGACTAGCTAAGCCAATGTTAGTATTGTGGGACTTGAACAGATTTCTGAAGTGGTGCTTAGGAATGGAGAAATTGCCATGCAAATCACAGTTGTGAAGAGGCTGCTGATATCTGGTAAGATGGCATCTCTGTGTTATCTAGAAATCAGTGGATTTTCAAAATGGTGTCTTAAGCTTGTTTGAGTGAATCCATTTTTGTCCAACCATGGCTGTTTTGGCGTTGCTTCCTATCTCAGGAATGCAGTCCACTGCCAGATTCTGATGTACATTAACCAGGGATGACTTGTAAACACGTATAGAGACATCCTAATTGCATCATTTTAATAAATAAGTTTTAAGTAAGCCTAAATTGGTCTTTTCCCGTCCTGATGCTCCTTTTTAATTTTAATTAGTTGTGTCCAGTCCAGTTGATGTTTGTATTTTTGTTGTCCTAATGTGGCATAATTCAGAAGTTGCAGTGATTGTTGATGCTTTACCAGGCAGCAAAGACTTAGTTGTTGTTGGAATGGCTTCAAATAATAAACATGGGCTAAAAGAATCTATTATGGTGTGAAACAGAAGAATTACACAGAACGCTGATAGCATTTCATTCTTATGCTCCCTTTTGACTAGGCTTATCTCTGAGATAAATTCTGCCTTTTACAGAGGGATTACCCTCCAGTCATTTTATCACCAGTCTCATATGATATGAGAAACAAAGTTCTATCAATATCAACAGATTTCTGAGATGTTCTTCCAGGATTCATTACAGTGTCATCACAAAAGCATTGTATGTGGCAATGTTTGCCAGAAGTCCTGATGTACAACAGTAATGTTCACAAATAATTATGCTAAAAAGTTGTTCTTAGTTGAGGTGACCCCTTTATGCATACACCAGGAGATCTGTTGGTTTTGTCTTGCATATGAATGGTGGGCAGTACAATAGTCATAAAACTGTCAGACATTAGAAAGCATGGAGTCACTTAATGTTGAGAGTCAGCGCTTCTATTAAAGGCTGTTGTCTATCCAGCACACTATTCCCATGTGGTTTAAACCACTTAATGAGCTGCCCATTATGGATTTGTAAACACATTCAAAGGGTGGACATCCACACTGTTTAAATGTCCCTTGTCCTTTGCAGTCTATGTTTTATTCCTGGCATTTCTTAATGAACGGAGCTGCTCAACACCAGTAGCTTTTAAGTTTGATGTAAAGCAAGGACATTGTCAGAGAGTGTTAGAAAATATCATGAGGATGAAGGATTACACATTGTTCAGGAGCCTCTTAGCATTATATCAATGCCTTGTGTAGGTCTCCATTGCATTGAGCGTGCTGGATATGTGAGCAGAGTCCTGACTGGACAAATTGAGTGGGATGATTGATCTGTGATCAGTAGAGGCTGTGTGCATGTTGTTGTTGTGCACCGGCGAGGGCAGGTGAGACCTGTCACTGTGAATAAAGGACTTTGATAAAAGGTTGGAGCTATCCCTGGGGACACTTGTTTTTCCTTTGGCTGTCACTCATACTTTATTATGCTACTTGAGCAGTGCTCGTACCTGCACTTGGACAGCACATGCACACAGAGGTGTGTGGAAGCACCAAGTCTGCGTTCACACGCCAGTCTGTATTGGTCAAAGCATTGTGGAGGAATATTGTTATTGCCACAGTTTGATATGTTGTTGGAGAATGAGTGTAATGTCAGATGATATGAGGTCTAAGGTTTCTTGGATCTCTTGAAATATGATTTAGCATTTAACTATTATTTTTAGAACTACATATTCTTGTCATTCTCTGTGTGTTGTTTTTTCAGTTTCAGGTTTTGGCTCCTAATGTGCTAGATAAAAGAAGTCTATCCTAGTTCCAGACCAACTTTTGTGGTCAATAATTTTGCTTGAATCGTACTTAAAATGTCATGGACATTTCCATGGGTGAAGTTTGTTTGTCACACCTGCATATTTGGATCACTAAAAGTAGTGTTTGTTCAGCCAAGGATCACTGGAGTCTTCTTTAGTGCAAATCAATGCCCTCTTAATCATGCTTATGACATTTAAACCAATCCTGAAATGTTTACCTGATTATTGCTGCTCTAAATGAATAGAGTAGGGCTTCAGTGGCTCATTATTTACTTGTCCTCTTACTGCAGACGGCATGGCATTTGAGAGTAATCAATTTTATCTCAAGCACACATTCATGTGGTCAATACAGACCGACAGAAAGTAAATGCATTGCTATAATCCTGATTTGTTGTGTTTGCAATTAATAAATGATCTAAAGGCTATTGGTACATGAGCAACAATTGATGTAAACTATTTTAATGGAAAAAAATGAAACTATTTGTTAAAAAAAAAGAGACAGGACAGTAAAGAATTAATTACATGATAATAACGATGCTTTAATGAGTTTGTTTGTACTGTTATTTAATTACCTGTATACCAGTGTTTTTTCAGTTTACATGGGTAACTACATAGGAAACTACATGGGTAACGCTGCTTTAGTCTGGTGCCAGAGAAATATATTTATCCCAACTCGGTATTATCACCCACGCTTATGAATTCCATTTCCAGGAGCTCAGCATTTTCTTGTCCTAATCCGCAGCTGCAGAGGTGAGTGAGATGACAGAGTATAGATGAAGAAAGTAAAAAAAAAACAAAAAACAGATGCAATCCTTAAGTGTCAGAGGTGTCCTAGATCTGAAATAACCCAGAGCAATGTGCTGCTGATTGCTCTAGGGCAGGTCTGATGAATGCAGTATACACTATGCCTTTGATACTAAGGGAATCGACTGTCATGCATACCTCTGCAAGTTACAGCAGTGATAAAAATGGTGATGTCTCATTTGTAATAATTAGAGTAATAGGGGCTTGTAATAAAGGAAATTCTTGCTTCCTCGACTCCTCTGATTTATAGAACATTTCAGAAGTATTTTATTTATTTATTTGACAATGCAATCATACTCACATAATTACAAGCAAGCAGTTACAGAGCATGCAGATGCAGCTGATGCGACACATATAGAGTTTGTAGGTACTAGTGCTAATAATGAACTCCAGTCCCTCGTTAGGGGTGTTCCCTACATTAAACAGGTGAAAACATTCTAAAAGCACAATCTTTAAACATATATTTACAACAGTCAATGCAATTTCACATTTCAGCCTATTCTATTCAGAACAGGTGGAGACAATGTAGTAAAGTTTCCTAAATATACATCCACTCAAGCCTTTCCTTTGACACCATTCACTCTGCATATTAATTTTATGGTAATAAGGCTTGAATAAAATGTCATATGTGAAAATAGTTTGTCATGTTTGATCAAAATGCACTCTCCTTTAATCATTAAAGGTGCACTGCACAGCTGGAGATGTTATTGCCTGGAATGTTGGTATACCATGTACAATGGTATGACATTAAACGTCTAGAATTTATTAATTATTACGTGTATTTCTTTTGCTCAAAACTACCATATTTCCTTTTGTGAATAGAGATGACTCTTCACAGATCTGAATTTTAATGTAGTGTAGTGCTGTAACTTGCTCGTCTGCCTCATGATAGATAGGTTTAATCGATACTGTGGAACATTCTAAGACAAAGTAATAACATTTCCATGGAGACAAGCAGGTGGCAGACTCTCCACTAGAAATGTTACGCAGACATTTTAGAGGTGTGTATTTTATACTTATACACCTATTTTACACCCATACATGAAACATTTTCTTAAGATAATCCAGCATTCTTGTAGACAATTGGCTGTTACTAGTTTGTGCTACACATTTGTATTGTCTGGTAATATTTGTCTGTTTCCTTGTAGAGTAAAGGAGTGTGTCTCTTCCTTCTGGAGCATAGATAAACTGTGAGTTCTATTCTCTCCGGTGCCTGAGTGTGATAACACCCACTGCTCCTGGTTTGGTGCTGAAAGACTGCAGGCGGGTGAGGTATTCTGTAGGAGGCAGGAGTCGTGTGGGGGTTGCTGTGTATTGTACATATTCTCCAGGAACCCTCTCTCTTTGTGTATTTGTGTTTGTGCACATGCTTTACACTTCCACAACCTCACCCCTCCTCCTCTTCCTCATTATTACCTCTTATGCCCCCTAAGGCTGCAGGAATCCCCCAGTAGAGAGTCAGGCTCATTGTTTGAAACCTGGCATATTTCTATTAAGCGTGAATTTAATAAGTGAGGAAAAAAGTAAAATCTGAGAGTATGAAGTTAGAAACGAGGGTTGTCAAAAGTATTGAAAATCAAATCCTAATTGAGATACTCATTTGACTGAGTATGAATACTGAAAAAGTCACATTCACAGTAGAAAAATGTATCTTTCCTGACTAGCTTTTGAATGATCCTGAGCTTTATCAGAACAACCATAGACCACATGGAAACATCATTCTATGGTCTAAATAAAGAGTGGTTTTAGTCATCATTGTAGTATCAGAATCAGTATTGAGTGTCCATGCCTTAGTATCGAAATCAAGTTTGAATTTTATTTATTTTTTTATTATGACAACACTAGTACATATGAGAGACTAGTGAGTATTGCTGTGGTTGGTGCTTGTGCCCGGGGCTGATTCTGCTTATGAGTTGAGTCTAAATGAAGTCCCCCTCCAGTTCATTAGGCCTAACGAAGTCTGGAGAATAGGCTTGGTTTTAGTCAAGGATCAAGAAGGTCAGCTAATGTTGTCTGAGTGGAGTCCATTCTGGCTTTGTTTGAGTGCAAGATGAGACATGAAGTGGCAACCCAGTCATTTGGGACCAGCAATCTCCATAATCAAATATGGGGAGATAGAGCTACAACCAACTGCATTTATCTATCTATTACATTTCCATATTTTCTGCCTGGTTTCAGATGACATCCCAGTATTCATAGGCGTTGTTGTGTAGAAAAGGCGGCAGCAGGCAAGTATCTGAATAATTTAGCTTTGAAAAAACTTAGTTCTTGAGGCCTACTTACATTATAATATTACATAAATATATTTTTTAGTTTAAGGCTGTGAATGAATCAATATTTTAAATTGTGATTTCAGTTATTGCTTTATTCAGTTACAAAAATGTTGTGATCCAATAAACAGTTTATTAAGAATGAATGCAAAAGCTGGAGCAAAGCTACTTGTCTAATCTACACACATGATCTTAGTTAAGCAGAAGTGTCACAAAACATTATTAATAAATTATATTGGGTCTGTACTTCCTCTACAGGATCATTTTAACAAATAAAACAATTAAGTGATTGTAAATAATTTTGATTTCAATTATGATAACAAATAATCATGATCATGATTTTTACCACCATGGAGCAGCCCTCATCCCCATCAGAAGGGGTGTACACATTCAGAAATCTGTGTGGATTCATTGTAAATTTTGTGTTAAATGTAACTTTAATGCATGAAGATGATTGACCGTTGACTTCTCAGGAGCTGTTGACTTTTGTCTTTAAGCCTTTTGTTGCAATTGTTATCATTACTTTAAGGCAAACCTCAAACCTGGAAGTTTTACCATTTTTATTTATAAATTGTAACCTTTTTTGTTGATGATTAAATGCTGGCACTTTCTTGGAAGAAATTAGCATGTTTTAATAAAATCCAACCTCTTCTGCAGAAAACCTGTTCTGTACCAAATCCAATTTACTGATAAACACATTTTCATCATCCCCATTTCATTGATGCAGCAGGAAATATCTGGTGAGCCTCTGTTGTATGTTGAGAATGCCAAGCGTGCCACAACACAGTCTTTGTCAGAAGCTGCTGAAAGCTGTAGCTGTCAGAAGATAAGTGAGCCCTTTAGGCAGAGCCGGCGGATCTTACCTGCAGCAGCATTGAGACAACACAAGATTAATGGGGATCTGAGCAAAAACAGCCTCAATTGGTTTTTCTGAGTATTTACAAAGCTGCAGTTCCCCTTCTGTAGTCTTTGGTTAAAACAAGAAATGAGAATATTGAAATTGCAAAGGATGATCAGAATTCCCACACCATTACATAAAGACTGTATTGTGAATTCAAAAGCTCCTTTAAAACTGTTCAATTAACGAAAGGAGAGTTATCAAAGCAGATTGTTGGTGTGCTTTTTACATTAATTGAAATGCCATATAAACAATTTTCTGAAAAGGAAAATACTAACACTAACCCTAAGAACAAAATGGAAACTAATTTGGAAACAGCAAGGATTAAAAACAAAATGTAAAAGACTGAAAGCATTATTTATAAAAGATAGCCTTTGACTTGCACCACTGTAGTCTAAAAAGCTATAAATGAACTGACACTTGGTATTCTCCATTATCTGATTTCTGTTATGCCTGTAGCTCATGCCAATAATCGCATCAAATTATCGGGTTATAATCTTTTCCAGTTATTTGATTTTTTTTTATTTTTTTCTCCATGTAAATGTAGGTACAATGAGCCAATGACAATGTTTTCTGCACCCTTTGGTTAGTATTGTTATCAGCTCAAGTAATTAAATCAATTACCTAAAGAACTGGGGATTTTATTCATTTATTCTCCGTATTGACAAGTCTGAGACAATAAGACCCATTATCAAGCCCTTTATTTGAAAAGGATTTGAACAGCCCAATAAATGTTTACGAGTTTATTATCATGAGAATAAAGCTGTTTAATGTGGCCACCAGTCTGTAAACGGACTGAAACTACTTCGTCCAAATGGTCTTAAGACATCCTCTGCATAGATAATGGGACTTGTTCACTCCTCCTCCTTTTGTCTATCACACCTTCATTAGACACATTGCACTGGCTCTCTTGTTCTCACTCTTCACTTTCATCACCCTTTCTCCCTCTGCACAAGTCCCTCGCTCTTTTCAGACAGACTTGTAATTGGGTACAGGGTGTGTTAGCAAGGTTAAGACCTCAGGATAAGCTTAGCCACCTGTCCGTGCGCTAATAGCCATTGTTCCACAGCATTATGTGATATTATTTAAATGGCAGAATCTTAATGGTAGTGTCTAGTAGTAAATATTGCGTGTTTTTCTGATTCAAGTGCTTCTTATATGTGTGCCAGGAAATGATGAATAGCTGGCCATTAGTAAAATTGTGTTGCTTGAGCCTGAAATAGATGTTCTAGTGAATGCTGTGAAAAATCGTCCTACTTTTGAGCAAAAGCACGGTGTTCAGGCTGGTAGTTGTGCAGATGGCCTATCCCTGGATTCAGAGACGACAGGAGCAAACAGACGGCTAACTCCATTAAAGAGGGGGCATTACACTTCTATTGCGAACTCATAACATATTTTAATCACCATGTTACCCTTTCTTGGTTTAAAAATGCTGAAAACATCCTATTAGCATGTTTAATAAGTTTCACTTTCATTTTTGATGCTCTGAGCCCCCCTCCCTCCTTTGCTCTCTGTGCAAATTTGATTTTGCATAATACCCCCTCTTTTAAAGAAAGCAAAATACTTTAACTGTATAGGAGTTAGCTACACTGAACCATGTTATTTTGTGTTTATATATTTTCTGAAATTATGTAAACAAAAATTTGTGCTTTGATTGTCAGTAGGTAGATGTTTAGTTAATGTCAATGTATCCTTGAGCAAGACATACCATCATGTCTCTATGAATTAGTTCCACATGACTGAAGTGTGAATGATTAATGCACCGTGCCGAGTTTCTAAACTGCTGTAACGATTGCTGCATTGCTAATATCAATTTGTGTCAGCACAGACACCGTGGTCTTCTATCAATGAAAAGCTTGTGGATCAGTGCTATGAACAGCTGAATGGCTTCAGTTGGACTAGAGTGACTCAGGTCTTCAAATGAGTGATTAAAAAATTCTTTGCGTGTACTTGTTCAAATATTTAATTTGCTATATTGTACTATTTTATTACATGACCCATTCTTTGACCTATTTTAAACCTGGATTGTACAAAAGGTTTTGATAGAATTTAGTTTGTCGATATTTTCCCTTTTTTAGCCACCACTCTATACATCACTTACACCAGTTAATTTCACCTTCAAGTCCAATACATCACAAAATCAATTCAAAATGGCCGCACATTTGCACACACACTCACACCTGTCCTCTTGATTTAGCCGTTCCACTCTGTGCTTGTGTCTCTTGGCTCATACCGGATCATGCTTACTCATAGCTTCTCCTGGCTTATTTGTACAAATTTTGTTTGTGGTTTGTCTTGTTTTCGCTGTCACTTGCCCGCTCACGAGGTGTATGGTGCTTTTTGCTCAGTGACTGTGTTGATGTTTGCTTTGCCGCTTGTGGTGGATGTTTGGTGTAGCTTCTCTGTGTCACACACATTCATATTAGCCAAAGGAGCAAAAACAGCGTGTCAGCTACTGCAGTGTACCAGATCGGCTCGGCTTGTTGTTGACACCAGTGAACTATCCTAAAGGGCCAATACAAACACAGGGATTTTTATCAATACATGTATGAGCAACATAAGGTACCTTTTTAATGCAATATAGGGATTAAATGTAATATATTTAATAATTATTGGTATACATATCAAGAAATTATAACCTTTTTTTAGAAATTGAACACTACTCCTATTTAGGGTTGTCAAAAGCATCAATGGACACTTATCAATGCTAAAACTGGTATCAAAACTAGATGCTCATTTGAGGTAGATATCGATACTGCAAAAAAAATCTTATTAACAGGACAAACTTTGAGCTTTCCTGAACAGTTTTTGTATGATTTTTAGAGCTCATGCTAAGATAAGTTATTGTTTTGTAAATATTGTATTACAAAAATTGAGCTTTCACAATGGGTATAGAATTTGGTGAATTCTTTAGTATCGAAATTTATTTTGAAATTTAAATATTGTGACAACACTACTCCTATTACATACATTTTAGCAGATAATCCTTTCCTGTCCTAAATAGCACGTTAATCATTTGAAACTATTATTAGTTATAATATTGATTTCATTTTCTCAGGCATAAAAAGTCATATTACAAGTTCTATTGTTCAGGCCCAGATGTACTTGGGTCATATTTCGGTGCAAGTGAGAGAAAGCCAATCCTCAAAGTCATATTTTATTATGGTACGTCAGCAACAAGTGAAGCCTCAGAGGCCGGTTTGGTACCTGCAGCACAGAATTGTATTACATTCACACATATGCGCGACTAGTCTCCGCCACACTGCAGGGACGCGCTGTAACCATTTGCTGTTTGCACTGGTGCTTGCTTTGCAGTTATTTTACCCCTTTTTTTCTTGTGTTCGTTGTAATCATGACCTCTCGCTGTTTTAATTTCAGATTTGCATATCCACTTCCACTCCTTCCTCATTTGCATACAGCAAGAATGGCGAGCGGGCATCCCACAGACAAATTCAGTTTCATGTATCAACCAGACACGCACAAGAGGTACGGGGCACGCATGCACACACACACACGCACACACAAACATACACAATCACATCTTCCCACTTATCATGCCCATGTTATCACAAACCAGGTAAGTCTGAGTAACTGTAAGGTTCTGCCAAATCTCTACTTGTTGGTTAGGTCACGTGTTGCATTTTGTTGCATGTTGTTGGCTACATTTTGTTCCATTGCGACGTTTAGTTTTTTGATGTGACGAGTGTGTGTCAAAGCAGTTTGTTTTTTTAGAATTTTAATATATTTACTTCTTTTCTTTTTCTCTTACCTCTGAACCGCCATCCCTCTGTCCACTTTCTCAGTAAGAACAGGTTATCTTCAGCCATGAATCCAGTCTACAGCCCCGTACAGCCTTCTCCATACGGAAACCCCAAGAACATGGCGTTCACAGGTAAAACGTTATGACTTAAAATTTTGCTCAAAGTGTGTAACTGAATGCTGTGAAGTTTACATGTGGAGTTATACCATTTTGTTTCATCTGATACATGATTAACTTGAGAAGAGTGTGATTGATCTAAAACAGGGGTCTCCAACCTTTTTCCTCCGGTGAGCTACATTTACAAAACAAAAATGCCACCAAGCTACTCATTTTAGTGGCTGCAGGAAATTGAGATGATTATAAGAAAGAGGGGAGCCTTTGGGTGCAGTTAAATGTCTGTAAACATAACATAACATAACAAACATAACATAAACCATTGTCCATTTATTAGTTAGTATTAAAGGTTTCAAGATGATACAATGATCATAGGCATGTAATTAATCTATGCTTTGTTATTCAGCACAGTACCGAGCTACAGGTTGGAGACCCCTGATCTAAAAAATATCCACACTTCAAGCTCGGCCCCTTCAGTTAGGTGTTTATAATCAGAAACACTTGATCGTAATCAGAGCAGTGCTGTGTGATGTCATGAAGTGCTTGAAATTGCTGTGGCCACCGTTGGCAGAAGACCCTCAGTTTTTGAACGCAAAGCTGCAAATTTATAGCTTTCTAAAAAATTGCCAAAATAATTATAAGAATAGTAGACAGTGCTATTACAACACCATATCTTCAAATCAACTGTATTTTTATATGAGTTAAACATCATTAGTCATTAGATAGTGAATTGGGGCTTAAGCAAAACATATTTTATGCTAATAGGACATGTTTAACTTCTAAATGCAATTCAGCGGTCTAGTTTTGATCTTTCTGTCAAGCTGTATGAAGCTCTAGATCAATTATTCATCACTATAGTTACATATATGTATTTCTTTATGATGGCCACTCATGTCAGCATCCGGAGATCGATTCACTGCAGCTGTTGCTTAAGGCTACCCAGCACATAGGCTAAGATGGATCGAATGCCATTTATAGCCAACAGAGGCGCAGGCTGTGCTCCCCTCCCTCTAACTCACACCTAGACGCATCGCTGCTATTTTCACAGAGCGGCATTGCTTTGTTTGACTGATGTGTAATTGATGACGCACGAAGCTCTGTGTGGTGTGCGCACGTACTTGCCCGGTGCCCGCCCTGCACCCGCGCGTGTAATCCCGCCTCTCTAATGTCGCCCAATGTATCCCCTCCTACAGCATATTGGCAGGTGCTGCAGTCTGCGTATGGAACATGTATTCGGCCAACTGTGTTACTGGTGCAGACTTCTTTTTAATGAGCTCCATCTGTGCACAACCAAATGCCTCTGTAGTATATATGTATGTGTGTGTTGGTTTTATGGCTTTTGTTGGGTCATTAATGCTTCCCTGGTTTCTGTTATCCTCTCCCTGCAAGGCTATCCAGGAGGCTACCCTGCCACAGCCCCGACCTATACGCCAAATATCTATCAAACAGGCAGTCCTGGGTATCCACCAGGTAAGACTCACACAGACAATGCTGTTCTGAAGTAGCTAAAAATAGGGACTTACGTTTAGTTGCCTGGAGATGCATACTTGATCTTTAGTTCATGTTGATTACTCATAAAATTTTTTCATGTAGTTAGTGTCCACAGTGGGCAGTTATTTTGCAGAGCTGACAGTTAGTTTAACAGATTTTGGCTATGTAAACTATTTTGCAAATGTGTGATCAATCAGTCATCAGGTGTTGGTTTAGTCTGTTCTTAGCTATGTGTTTCTACATGACGAGTTAGTATTAATAAACTAATAATCGGTGAAAATCGCATACATGTACTAAAAGGTGCTAGACTTTATTTTAAACTGGAAGCAGCAGTCCTTACATTTTTCTTACTTTGTCAGTTCAATCTTAACATCCTTATTATTTGTTTAGAGACCAGAGCAGAGCTTTGCCATTAGAGTAACGCTAACAACAACCAGCAAACTTCCTGGTCTGCAGAAATGCTTTATAATTAAATGCAGACAGCAGACAGTGGTCTCATTCTGACCCCCAGAGCTTCTTTTAAAATATATCTGTTTTTTTGGAAAGACAAGTTATGCTAAATTACAGGCACAGTCTTAACATTTAAAACCTCTGTTGCATATCGAGCATACCATATGTTTTTCAAATATTGTGCCGCTTGTTGTTACATAAATATTGTACTTCATATACTGTACACAGTGTAATGTTGCCAGCCCACAACACATTTTTGTGGAGTTGTTTGAATGCACTTAAGTTTAAATACTGTGATTATTTCAATGTGGCTGCAAGTTGATTTTAGTTTCATTATGCGGAATGAGCAATTAGCTTTATGGGAAAGGAAATTGACTTGTAAACTGAGGTTGTTTTGAGTGTTAAATGTTAAGTTTATAAGCTTTATAGAGTTAAGTTCATAAGCCTATAGAGTTTTGAAGGAAATTTTGTAACATTTAAGTAGTTTAGTTTCAGTGGAATCCCATTCTGTAAAGGGCAAGTGGGAATCGAGCCAGTAACAGCTGTCAGCAGCAGATAGTTGCTCTGCTGGGGTCCACCGTCTGATCTCAGAGCAGATGGGAGGAGAACTGAGGTCTTCCCCTTATGGGCTCAGTCTGTCAAGTGGTAGAAAATGAATGAAAGCTCTCAGCCTATTCTGCACTATTTTCAATTTTATTTATATTTTTTTGCATGTCAGAGAGGCTGCTGCAACATTTTAGTAATTAGTTTTTTTTCTTTAATATTACAAAAAGCAGCATGGTTTTAATAGAGAGAGTTCCTTGAGTTTATAAAATAAAAACCACAATGTATAGTGCTGTGCTTTTTTTTTTTCTATCATTGAGCTTTGAAGACTTCTTTTGTCCCCTCCCCCTCATTGTTGGTGTTTTGACGGTCAAGAAACCAGGTAGTGTTATTCATCGGCATATTTAAGTAAGCTTTCATTGCCCCAATAAAGGTAAAAAAAAATTTTTTAAAAGCAATATATATTGGCAGAACTTGTATTGCATAGGACCTGTCTGTTTTGAAATGCCGTCCAATGTCATTATTTCTCAAGAAGACCATTGAATAGGCAGATTGTTTTCCTATCAGCAGGGCTTTTGTAATTGTCACACTCCATTGTCCCCTAGTGCCCTGCATGCATGTTCCAGCCAAAGAATGTGTGTGAGGGTATGCACACTCTTTTGGTTGCACACAGCTCCGCTCCAGCATCTCTTTGTTCCCTTGTCCTTGTGTGAGAGAGAAGCCTTTCATAAGCCAGCAGCAGCAGCCCTAGCTAGCATGTTTGACCTTCAGGCTCCTCCGAGTGGTCGTGGGCCGCTATTGCACCCCAGAGATCTGTACCCATGTTAATAACAATAAGCTTCATTGCTCTACAGGGGTTATCAACTTGCTTCCACGTGTCATCATTTCTTCTCTTGTCTTCATCTCCATGTCTACATATTTTTTCATAACGTATTTATTCTTGCTGTTTTGAAGTGTACTGGTGTGAAGTAGCTATTTATTTTTTATTATGAGGAGAATTAAACTGAAGGTCAACGTAAGGAATGTGAGTAGTCCGGATTGGACCACTGTAGGTACAGTACAAGAATCCTGCCAATAGTGTCACCAATGCTCCATCTAGTGGCTGAATGTAGAATTGCTTACACAAACGAGAACTGCACAATATTAGAAGAAAGAGTAATAAAACATTTGTCATTGCCAAGTTGTATTCCATTTTTGGTACATTAGCTTTAAGAACTGTGAAACAATGATATGTTTAATACACAGCACATATCACTAATGATAATCCTTTTTGTGTACAGGATATACTACAGCTGGCACCCCATACAAAGTGCCCCCCACCCAGACAAATGGAGCACCCCCTCCATACACCCCCACACCTACCCCCTACCCCACAGCCATGTACCCAATCCGCAGTGCCTACCCTCAGCAAAACATCTATGCACAGGTAAGGACCTTTCCTTAGTTTATTTACCATGTGTAAATCAATATGGCTCTTACCATTTCCACCCACACTAGCTGACCTATAATTTTATTTGCATAAAAAGCAATCTAGATGCTGTTGTTGTGATAAGGCCATTTTGAAAGCTATTTCCTACGCCCTTTCTGATTTAAAAAGTGTATTTATTTTATCTTTATCAAATCAACTATATGACAAATGTAGTAGCACTTGGTTGAGCCTTGGTGCCTGATGTGTGACAGGGAGCGTACTACACTCAGCCTGTGTATGCGGCGCAGCCTCATGTCATCCATCACACTACTGTGGTGCAGCCCAACAGCATCCCCTCCACAGCCCTGTACCCGGCCCCTGTCCCTGTACCCGCACCCCGCAACAACGGCATGGCTGCCATGGGGATGGTCGCCGGGACAACCATGGCCATGAGCGCAGGTACAGTTCTTTTTTTTTTTCTTTTTTTTTTTACACGTAATTGTATTCTGTAAAATCAACATTTCCGAGATACACTGAATGTCTATAAGACTCCCTTACATGAATCATATGGCTTTTTAAAAATGTGTTGCTCTACTCTTGTGTTTAATAACTCATTGGTATCAGGCTCACAGATATGGAAGGCTTATTGCTCAATTCTTATTCCAACTCTATAGGGACTCTGCTAACGACACCCCAGCATCCTCCCATTGGAGCACACCCTGTTACTGTGCCAACCTACAGGCCCCAGGGGACACCTGGCTACAGCTACGTACCGCCTCACTGGTAGAGCCCACCGTCATGTAAGTGAAGCCTAGTCTGTTAGCTCTCCCCCTGTGGGATGTCTCTGGGCACCCCTCTCCCCTCTCCTCCACTTCTCTTGTGACTAAACAAACAGCTGCTGTCTCTCAAATCACTCACCACCGTGTACTTTGGCCCTGCTTTTCCCACCAGATCTGGAGTCCACCATTGTATGCAACTGCTCAAATCTTAGGCGGGGTCTCCCAGCGGAAACCACAGGAACTTCGCACCTGACGGCAAGAACAAAACTAAAGTGCAACAGCCACTTTAATACTACTATTATTATTATTATTGTTACGCAACATTCTCTTAAAGGTTTTTACAAAAGCTGCTTTTTTATTTTTTTATTTTCTCGGTTCATTTGCCAATCAGTCATTTGACTTATTTTTATTTTGTATTTTAATTTTATTTTGGCTGTGTCCATCTTTGGAGCTCCAGAGGGAAACTTGTGTTGGCTGCACCATGTCTGTGTTGTGTTGGTGTGTGTGTGATCCTGCCTCGTCCTGAGTTAGGGTGGGAATTTACAGGCACTTACATCTCATCATCTCTACAACTTTTTGTCTTATGCTGCCATTTGGGAAACATCAGCAGTTTTTTTTTTCATTTTATGGGTAACATTTCAGTGACAGTGCATTGTTCTTTCATTTCACCTTGTGTTATTCTCCTTTTTTATCTCAGTTGTCTTCCAGCACGTTACTGTCCTTATTGGACAGTATTCATCAGTTCTTTGTCCTTTATCCCCTTTGTAAGTGCCATGTCGCTGTGACCAAGCATTTACACATCATTTTTATTGTCTTATGCATCGTACCTATCAAATAACATCACATAATTTATGCCACATACTATGCAGGCTAGTATGTCGTTAAAATCTTAATCTAGCTAGCAAACGTGGAGTGTTAAGATCGTGGTTAGCATTACAACTGCAAATATTTATAATGACAAGCTACTTTAGAGTATTGGTGAACGTGCTCACTTCAAAATGCAGATACGGAATCGTTTAGTGGCACTTAAGGTAAAAATGATAATACTTTTAATTCTGTTTTGACGGATGCACTCAACACACACATGCAATACACACAGCACAGTCTAGCTATCGACACGTGTGCTAGACAGAGCCAGCAGCCAGGAGTTTAAAGGGAATGGCACTGGGGGAGGAGAGGGTGGAGAGCGGGTGGAGAGGAAGAGGAGGGGAGGACATTTTCTCTGCATTTACTTTCAAGGTGCAAGAAGTCATCCTCGAGAGACTGCACAGATGCATAGCTGTTTGCACTATTTATATTGTACCTAAATGGGGACAGTGTCATCTCCTCTTCATTCTTTTATCAACTTGAGGACTTAAAGGCAAAGATGGCTAAAAACGTGGATGAATCAAAAAGTTGTGTTTTTTTTACTGCAATAATGGCCGCTGCAAGAGCTAAAATCAATCTTTTTAGAAAGCCTGCAGTACATGGCCTGATGTCATTTTTATTGACAAGAGCTCAAGTGCTCATTTAGTCACTCTAAAAAAAAAAAGCATTTTGGTCCTGTACATTTCATTTGACTGAAACAACATTAAACTCTAACTTAATCTTTAATGACTTCTAACCTTGCCACATTTAATTTTACAACCCAATTATTACTTTACATAGGTTTAACAGAAGGGAGTCAGCAGTTTAACGAAATGCTTTCTGCCATCTGACTGATATGTGTTAACTAATAGTTTTTCAGTTGTACATTTTCTATTTAAACAAGTTAACTTATATAACAAATGCATAACAAAGTTAAGCAAAAGTTAATTTGATAAACACAATTTAGTTAAGATTATAGTTTACTGTATGTTTACTAAGGTAACATAGACACACACTCCAGTCTTTGCCCTTTAGTCCTCATCTTGATCTTTGTTGGGGTCAAAGCTGAGTGAGGCTTGTGGCATTGCTTGGATATCATAAAAAGAATTAGAATACAGAAGGATATTTACAAAAGCAGAGCATTTACTGCACGGGTATGTAGAGGAACAGTTGATATTGCAATAAAATAAGAGGGAATGCCTCCTACTGTTATCAATACAGTAATTACTTTAGCAGCATTTTAAGTGATTTTGAAATGGCTTGTCAGTGTAATCTTTTAATATAGATTACATTCTCTATATGCAGCCATTCAATGATTATTAAGCAATGAGGTGTGGAACATATCAGAAATTTCCGTTTGGATAACTTTGTGAGGAATTATTGCACATTTTGAAAGATAAAAATGCAAAAAAATACTTATGAACTATATAATTTAATGCTAAGTAACAGGTACCTAGGCTTTGTAGTGCAAGGGGCATGAATAGACAAATTATATTGTAATTACAGATACAACACTGAGGTCGTTTGAGTCCATATATTTGTACACTATTAGTCTACTTCTTGAAAAATAACATTGCAAATAATCCGCTGAATTAAAGCCAGGTAGTTTATTTGCTTGTTTTCCCAAAGCCCCAAAATAACCTTAATTCTAAAACCGCAAGCATCATAGGCTTAGTTTGACCTACCATATGTCTGGCAGTATTTGCAAGTTCCTTTTTTCCTTCTGGTTTATTAAATATAATGTATCTCACTATAGCATTGAACTAAAAATGCAGTATACAGCAAGTGGTACCGTAATGTAATTCAAGCTACGCATGGTCGCATTAGTGTGGCAGCTACTGTTTGTGCTTTTAACCTCTGTTTTAAACCTTTATTCCGCATTTTTATTCCCTTTCTGCGGAGGGACTTAACCAGGAGGTCTGTGAAAACTAACATGGAAGGCTAGTGTTTGGCATTGTGCACTACTAGTATATGGTCAATTGGATACTCAAATCACATTTTGATTACTCAACATAGTCTTTGATTTACAAGTGAAACTTCTTAAAGTTCTTTCAAATCTGTATTCAAGACTTAAAATGTTCATTTTAGTGGTATTTCTGAGAGGCTGAAATGTTGGCACCTGCACTTCTGTATGTTTACATTGAAAGCAGAAAGTGCCCAACTACTAAGTAAATAAGAAAAAGCCATACAAAGATAAACTTGACCTTACCTAGAGTCTTAAATCTTGTGGAATAGCTGGTAAATTTAAAAATATTGACTTGGCTTTAACACTGCAGTTCACCTAGAGTTTACAGACCTTGTGGGTGTAAATGAATGACGGAACTGAAATGGACAGCGCTTTCATTGTATCCGTGACCTCTGCTGTCCATTGCCGTTCACACGCTTTAACGATGTCCTTTAAAACCTTAAAGCTCCTTGCCTTTTGTTCTGTGCCATATTTTCACAAACTGCTGTTCGGTATGTATTAGTTTACTGGTGACTTGAGTCCTTGTTATGTCTAGCTTCCTGTGATTCTGTGTTTTCCTATTGCTGTCCTTTCACATATTGTTAAATGCATTATGCCTGTCTTACTTTTATATCCTTGGTGTCTTGTACCCTGTTTTCACTTTGTGCCACAGCTCCCTCTAGAGGCCATTTTTGAGTCTGCGGAAATTACCATTGCATCAAATACTAGTGCCACATTTGTCCTCTCCTACCATCTGATTTAACATTTCCGAATTTAACCAATTGGTGTCAGTTAATGCTGATAATCTACTGTAATATGTGGCATTTATAATCTTCAGTAAGCCTAGGTAGACACTAGATGTCACTAGAGTTGTGCTGTTTTGCAACGTACTGTTCATAGATTCAAACCAAAAAAGGGGGCCAACAATCTTATTGCTACTTGCCAGAATTATAATTTGAGCACTGAGAAGTTCGGGCTAGTCCCTCAAAATGCCATTTGAACAATACATGGATTACTGAAATGCTGAATTGATAATATTAGAAATGTGTGGACCAATGCCTCATATTTGACAAATAAATAGGGGCCTTTATTTTTCCTCACCTTTTGGTTACTTCAATTTGCACTTAACATAGAAATTAAATTGGAATTCTTATGTGCTTAAGAAAAAAAGTCTTAATCACTGTCTTTTTACTTTCTTAACACTCATCACTCTGCACTCTGACATTTTAAAGTGTTTAAATATTGCTTTTAACTGGCATTTAGTACATTTCTATTATTGTTGTACGCCTTTTAACTTTGATAGTAAAAGGTGGGCGGAACAATTCACCTCTTCTCTCTCCTCGCATTTGCCTTGCTTTTAGAGGTCTTTATTTCCTTAAGCATAGATGAAAACACTACTATTCCCATCAATAGTAGAAGTCGCTTAAAATGTCTTTGGTGTTCTGCTGCAGCTTTTTGATTTGTCAGATATGTCATAGTTTGATTTGACACTAAATGTGATGCAAAAAGTGGAAATTCCTTGTCTTCCGAAAAAAAAAAGAAAAAAGAGAATCATACTTGCATCCTCAAATAGGAGTGAGTATTAGGAACACCCCATCTTTGGAAGTTTTCGTTTGGTACCCAGTTTGCACATGCTATGGTATTCCTGTTACCGTAAGGTTGTGTTGAAACTGATGCCCAACGTGTCTTTAACGTTGAGAGAAGTGAATTGTATGTTAGCTATTAGGTCCGGAGTGAAGGACCAACGTCAGGCTTGTGATATGAAGTGTAAATCTGTTTTTATTTTTTGTTTTGTTTTTTTTTAATGTTTTTTTGTTGTTAAGGATTTTTTTTTAAAGATCAGTTAGTGATCTTAGTACTATAACTAAGCCAAGTTTGTAATTGTATATTTACTGTAAAATGTAGAACATTGAATAACTATTAAAATTTTCCTATAAAAGGAACACAGTCTCTTTGTATTTATTGTATTTGTATTTATCTGTGTTGATTCTTTTGATGATTTGCAGTAAAGTGGGGCCTATCCGAGGTACTTGCGGTTTTAGGCGGGGGACTACTTTGGACAATGGTTAGTTTGTTAAATGACATTGACACTTTCACATTCATGTTCATTCACCTCAGCACAGTATTCTCCTTGTTTACAGTAATGCTTTGATTGAGAGTCAAATGCAAAGTTTATTATAAAATTGCAAAGCAGTGTATCTACTCCTTTACTGATCACTAAAAATACATTATTCCAAAAGTATGAACAAAACGCATCTGGTTTGGCCTGTTTATAAATGACCAATGTTTCGTTTCTGTTTTTTTTTTCATGAAAGAAACTGAATCTTGCCTGCACTCTTAAAGTTTACTTAGGTATTACAATTACAACATACAATACACAGGACATACAAGTTTTTCTCAGTATGCTGACAGGCCATGAGCTGCAGAGTCTGCACTAGCACTCATTACTGGCTGCAGGTGCTGGAGTTTGGTAGTAAGAATTCAGAGAGTCTTTTTTTTTTAGGTTTAACTTTGAACAAACTGATTTCAGCAGTGGGAATGGCAACCAAAACAAGAATAACAAAAACTTGAATTTGAAAATCGTAACATAAACAGTATGGCATTCATGGGGACACAGTTCAGTCATGTTTATGGAGTTTAAAATCTAAATCTTAATGGTTCGTTTAAAATCTGGTTTCTGGTTTAAATTGAAGAACTAAACCTGGAAAACCTTCAGCAAAGTAATTTCCTTTGCAGACTTGTTTCACTTCCCTCTAAAATCAGCAGACATCAGAGATTGTGCAACAATGTCAATCACCACCAGACAAATGAGCTGCAACGAACTTTCAATGAATACAGTTGGCCCATGAGTAATATTCACACTTTGACAATTAGTTTTCAATTTCTAGTGTCATGTTATCTGCTTGCGAGTTTATTTTTTTATGTTTTTATGCTGGTTAGCAGGTGGTCTGCAGTAGGCTGATTTTATAGTGGGACTATACAGGCACCTGCTCAGCTAAATAAATATAGCTGTTAAAACAATCGGTAAGGTACATGAACATCCTGGTACAGATTACACAATGATTTCAATGGTCGATGAAGTGAGTATTTACTATTGGATATATTCTGTGTGGTTGGACTTTCTCTGAAGGTCTTTTTTATTCTTATTGAAAGAAGTCATATATTGTATTAAATTCAGTGAAAGAAAACTTGTTTATGCAGTACTGTACATGTGACATGGGTGCAGTTCATGTTACATTTGTGCAGGTAACAAGGACATCCTCTTGTGTGGTATATTTCAGATTATGATGTGCAGTATATCAATTATCACATGTAGGCCTATGGAAAATCATAATATTATTGTGATCCAGTGATTCCAGTCCTAACATAAACACTTTTTTCTAATGACAGCTCGTTTTGGTGATGTTCTCCCAGTGTTGCTGTGTTGGCCACATCGGAATCAGGAGTCATCTGCTGCCACGATGTCCACATACTCGAGCAAAGGGTCAAATAGTGTTGAAATAAAAAAGTAGCCTACCCACTTAGCAGTTAATAACAGTGTAGTTCAACTCACAAAGAGCTCTTAAAATGAGGGAAATGCAACACAACTTGCCTTGCATTGTAAGGTTTTAGAGAGAGATACTTATTGATCCCAAGGGAAATTCAACTTTTGCTGCAGCAAACTGTTGCTGTTGCTACAACATTTCTACCTTTGTGTCTCAGTCAAAGGTTTCAGTTCAGTTTAACAGAAGGACAGGTTTGGTAGGGTCAGCAAATACTGTGGAAAAGCCAAAAATGTTCCTCAGCATCCTGCATCCTGTCCTGCAGCATCACATCAGAGTCCAGGGCAAACCAGGTGAACACAACAGGAAAGGTCTCACACTTCTCTGCTCTGACGTTTCAGTTGGTAACGTCTACATAAGATTTTCTTCTTTTCATATAAAGTCAAAGTCATTGTCCTTAAAACTAATGGTACATCATTTTTCATTCAGCCAAGTTTAGCCAACATTTAATCTTTGCTCGCATTTCATAAAACTTTCCAACACTCTGAATGGAGCTGGGTCTGAGTGGGTGGAGTAGTAATTACACAATTTGCTGATGAAGCTCAACGCTCAGAAGAAACTAAAGTAGACTTTTCTCTGTGCATTCATTTGGAAATTTTAAAAGTGGGCCTATTCAGGTGAAAAACAGTTATAGTTTGTTGTTAACCAGTTAAAGAGGGCTGGGTGTTACATACTGTACAGAGTAACAGTTTTTTTTTTTACACTACAGTGGGTCTGTGCTAGGGTTAGAAGTTATAGTAATAATAATAAGCATAAATAGGCCAAAATGTCCCTCTCTGTTTCAGTTTAAACTCGAAACAGAAATTATAAATAAACTCATTATATTGAAAAGATTTTATTCACTGGAAGCATGTAACTGAAAATTAAACGGGAAGGCCTGGCAGCAGCAGAAACCAGGACAGGAAATGTTGATAAAAAGGAATTAACCAAGTCAAATTCAAACAAATTGTTATCTGGAAAACGTCACTGTGAATGATACCATATCGTAACCAAAACATGATAACTAAAAGGTAATTAGGCCAACTATGGAAGTGGATTCTATCAGAATAAGGAATTGTGAATTTTGCAATTTTGCATGGACTACAACTGCTCTCCAATATTATAGAAGCTACTACATGTGGTATGGCCAAACAGCCACCACAGAGACATTTGCAAACTGGTAATTCACTCAACAAGTCTGCTAGCAAGAAGCTGAAAATAAGCACAGCTGTAATGGATGTGATGGCCTATTAATGATTCTGAACTTCCAAACTAATGGGCTATAGACTAAATTGATAAACAAGAAGACTATGGTGTCAGAGTAAAAGCACATATCCTGTTTATATTAAAACCATGAACAGCAGTTTAGTAAAGATTTTTGTAGCTATTAGATTATATCTCCAGAGTCCAGCAGGTGGCGCACAGTCATGAGTTCGCCTTGAAAAGCTCTAAGGTTATTTTTTACGTTCGCTGTCATTTGCTATAGGCTCTTCGTTGCGCCTTAATTTAGAACGGATGACTGGGCTGAAGACGGGAACATGGCCCACCTTAAACTGCTGCCTGGATGGTCCTCCTGCACCTGTCCTAAATCATTTCTAGACTATGTGAAGTGACACACTTCAGTTATAAGTTATACAAAGTAAAGTTAACACGGCTACTGTCTGAGACGGAGCACGTGCTCTGCTGTATTGTGTTGTGACGGGTATTGCGCGTGCGTGGCCAAACGCAGCGCGCTCTGCCTCTGTGCCGGGGGTGTGCACCCATGGGTGAGCAGTAGCAGTAGCAGCACTCCAATCAGATCAGAAGAGAACTGTAGGGTGTGACGGACGGGATTCTGGTACGTCCCAGTTTGTGTGTAAGGACGGTAAGAAAGTAAATCTCTTTTTACTTTTTTTGTTGAAGTTTTAAATTGACCCGAGCCTCTCACCTCACCGTGTTTCAGCAGACAAAAGGAGCAGGACAAAGAGCGAGGTGCCATGGCTCAAACTTGTTGATGTTGTCTCCCCATTTTCCTGCAGTCACTCAAGGTCAGTAGCTCAGTGTTTATAAAGATAAAAAAAAGTCTTTATGCTTCAATGAATTCAGGAGTAAAACATCTAAGTCTGCGTTTTAAGTCAGTTCCAAGATGCGGTTCTTATTAAGGCGCTTCAACAATGGCATGTTTTGGTCTGGTCGAAGAATAATTTTACATGTTTTTTTTGTTGTTGTTTTTTTTTTGTACATACATTGATCACAATTAATGCCATAATAGACATCTTCACATATTTTACACTTAAACTTTATCTAGGCCTATGTAAGATCTGTGTGCCTTCTGGAGTTACACTATTTAAAAGTTTGTGCGATTTTGATGAAATAAACTTGCATGTATTGATTACCTTAATATTTCCTTACAAGTACTTTTTATCCTAGTATCAGATTTAGGTTACTTGTTTTGATTGGGTTAACTACTAATGTTGTGATTTTTACTTGTTAATCTGATTACTTGTTTTAATATGATTTTGTTTTAATGGATTAATATGAAAGATATGAAAACAATGTGTAGGTAGAAAATTCTTGGCTGCAGTGACTTTCCCAACCCTAAAAACGGACCTACTGCGGCGAGCCAGATGTGCTTTACATTTGCAGTCCCATGGGAGAATTGGCTCTGCACATGTTTCCTAGTTCGGTTAAAAGGCAATAGACATTACTGAACATACCTCTGCAAGAATGTGCCTTGTCCAGACTGCACTCCGACTGTCACATACCATACATTTGCTTTGACAGATCTCACTACTTAAAGGTGCAAAGTGTCATTTTTCAGCTGGAGCTCTGTCACCTTCTTGTTTCTTGTTGGATATGTTAGCGCTCTTCTTAAAATGTTCCATAATATGACATTAAACAGGTCTGCCTTACTTTTATTCAATTTGTTGTTGTTTTTTTCTTCAAAAATACCTAGAAAAACAAGCATTCTGACTGTGAGCGGAGTTGCTTCTCTACAGCTCTGACCTGTAACTTGGTCTGGTTTGGTCTCCATGAAGATAGAAAGGTTTAATGCCATACTGTGAAACAATTCGGACAAAGCAATAACATCTCCTCAAAGAAAAGCATTTGACGGACCCTCTACCATAAAAGTTCTTCAATGCACATTTAATGCTGAAAAAAAAAGAGTAATCATTCATGCTGCCATGTGACTTTTGCGTGGCTTCTGAAGCAAGTCCAAGTTTTATTTATTGTCAAAAATCCTATAATTATCTCGCTGTGATCTGTTGAGTATTAGCGACCACACAGAATTGCATGAAAACACTGAAGTCTGCAAAAACAAAACGTATCTCCATAACAACAATTAAGCACAGTATGAAAAGACTTGTACTTAATAAGATTGCTTTCTGACAAGCTCCAGTGGAAGTTTCTCCTTTCTGCCTTGGAAACAGAAGAATTGAAATGCATTGGGGGAAAAAACGCACGACAACGACCAAAACCAAAACATTAATCTTTGTTAATAATAGATAGCTTAGACAGTCTTTGTAGCTGTGGGCCTTAAGCTTGTTAAGTGGATGTCTGGATTGCATTCAATACAATTTGCTGTAGTTCACTTCAACTGTTTGTCTTGATTGGAACCCGGGAGACCACAGCTAATGAGAAAACACTGCAGTTAAGGTTGGCACAATTTATCAGGGATTCACTAGGGTCTGTTTCCGTTCAGGCATAGCTGTTTTTCACTGTCTTGGCTGGATTCACTTGTTCTTGCACTTTAACCCCGCAACAACAGGCATTTAAATACAACTAACATAAGTCTTTATAAATTAGCTGTGAAGTCTTGAATCAGCGCAGTCCAATATCTGTTTACGTCCAAACAAAACAAAGCATTCATCCTGCGCTTCCACAGAAATAAACCACACAGACTGCCAGGTTTTACTGTTGACTGTTGACAGTTGGTTCCATTGCATTCTTCCAAATGTGGCAACCGCAGTCCTGAGACTAAGACAAGACAAGTGTTAACCTGGAATTAAAGTTCAAGTCCTCTGACATGCAGCAGCAAGCTTTTAGTCGACAAGTTTTGACAAATAATGATTATGTTTTCACCTGCAGGCTTTGGTATAATCGTCACTAACACACCTTTTTCCATTTTTACATTGATTCAGTAAAATAAAAAAATAACACTTGACAATATCGCAACATTTCAGAGGCAGATATTGTGAAGCTATCAAGTCAAATTAAACTAACACAAACTACGGTAACTATTTACTGTGACTAGAATCAAAGTTGACAAAGCACTCTTTCAGACTTTCAACCTTTTTTTTTCAAAGCTTTTCTAACTTCAGTGCTTGAGTAAACTTTGCAAAAGCCACTTTCCTTTTTATGTTTACAGACAGTTTGTTTACCAGTAAGTGTTTTTAACATCTGGCTTACCGTACGTCTAGACCTGTTCTTGAGAATTGAATGAAATTACCGTATATTTTGCTGGCATGTCTTAAGTGGAAATTTCCATTAAAAACTGATAAGGACAGTTACATTTCCCAGTCTATTGTTTAATGTAGAGTTTGATTGAATATCCATAAACCTCCCTTCCTGTAAACCTGGGTTAAGTGAAGTAATTTCCTTCTTAAATACAAATACAGTATATAGAACCCTCTTAAAGACAAAGGTGATCACTGTCCCCTCTCACGCTTGACTGTGAGAAAGGATCTGATGAAAATTTGATGTTTGTGTTAGCGGTCCTTTATGTATGTGTCTGCATGTGATATGTTTTTATTCTCTCTGTGATATTGTTTTGAAATCTGGACACGGCCAGGCTGTCGGTAAGTCACTGTGGTGTGAGAATTTTTTTGTATGTATTTGAAGAGTGATTTTTTTCTGAATCTTTTTGGAGTACAAACATATGTCTGGACTCTTTGTGAAGCTTAGACTCTGCAGTTTTTAGGGACTTATAAAAAAAAAAAAAAAAAAAAAAAAAAAGCATGAAGCCTATATAAAGCTATTCAAAATTTGTGAATTTTAGACTTATTTTTGTATTTGTGGGTTCAGAGTAGAAACTGATCCTGCCAAATCAGAATTACAATAATTGTCCTGACATGACATGCACTTTCTAATGTTAATGTTTCCAGTGTAAAATGTATTACATATACTTTACACTGAACATTTATTATATATTTATTTGTGTTTTTTGTTGTACTTGAACATTTTTCCACCTCTATATTATATCTGTTTTAGTGACCAAAGCAAAAATGCCAAGATATTTCTATACGCCTAATTTCTCAGATCTTAAACGAAGAATTAGCGGTAATGGCAGTGCTGCTGGTTTTCCCAGAGGAAAGTTTACAATTCTCCATTAGGACTACTGTCTGATGGGCGGATCAGTACTATTTCCTTCTATTGCAGTTGCATCTAGTTACATGGACCTTGATTAGTTTAAATCTCCCTCGTGTCCTGCACTCGAAGACTGTTATTACTCTGATCATATTAGTGACTGTAATAAGTAGAATAATTAGCAAATGCTTTACGGCTCTGATTAAGAGTATATCTGATGTCTGCTGCAAGAAAATCATTGTGTTTTGTCTGAACATTTGCTTGCCTTGGATGAAAAATTATGGTTTGCTATGTTGTTAGCACTTAAAAATGTTTATGTGGGGATATTTTGGTCAACCAGTGGACTGAAATCTTAAGAGGTTTATATACAATATTCTGTCCACCCTATTTCCTTTAAGAGTTTAAGTAAACATTGCAGCTACACTTGGAGTTGGAGTAATAATCCCAGTAGTGGAAAGCAGTAGTTGTTGTAACGGAAGTGGTTTTAGTAGTAGTAATATCAGTAATTGGAAAGGGTTTGGTAGTAGTATTAGCATCAGTTATTCATTTTGGTCAGTTATCATTTTGTTCTTTTCTTTACTTGTTTTTTTCCCATTGTTCCCTTTGATTTGTGCAGTGGAGTTGCAGGAGACTCCCCTGTGTTGGACCTGTACCTCTTTATCCACAGGTTATAAATAATCTGGTCTCACCTTCAGCTCGCCTGTGCTTTGACACTGGAGAGTGCAGCAGATAAACTGAGCGCTGTGAAGTGCTGTTGAGGCTCCATCAGCTTTTGCAGGACACTGTGTCAAAGTTTTAGGAAGAATTTATTGTAAAAGGAGAAAGGGTTGTCAAAAGTAGGCATGTAACAATATCCAAATCTCTCAATGAGATATTTTCACGATATACATCTCAAGGTACAATATTTGTTGCAGTATAACAGAATTGTGAATATGTTACTTTAACCTTTTAAAATTCCTTGACAAGATTTTGGTTCTGTCATAATCCAGAGAACTAAGATGTAAAAGTGTTTTAATAACAGCAATTTCTTCATGTACTGTAGTCTGCACAGAAACAGAAAAAAGGATCATTATATACATAATGTAGTACGCTCTGTTTTTTACCTAATACTGCACCATAGCTATTAATTTAAGCAAAGAAACTTGTAGCTGGATATATTGTTGTGCCATACGATATTACTGTGAGACTTTTGATGAAACAATATCACAATATTTCGATTATTGTTAGTGAAAAGTATCTAATATCTGCTGATACCCAATATCTATAGATACCAGTGCAATAGACTTAATTTTCCTAAAAACAAGAAATATTGTACGACAAAATGTGTTATGTAGTGTATGTGTATGTCTTATTTACTACAGAACAATTTTGTATATTAAAAACCCAAACATGAGTCTTTCTGTACCAACTATGACCAGTAAATTGTCTTTTTACATCAATTCATAGCCCTAACCAGAATATCTGCAGAACCGATATTTTAGAGATGATAGTTGATCCACCAATTTCTCATGGATCAACGCTGATATTCGATAATCGTTACAGTATATACAATATCTCTACAGTATAGTATGGTGTTCCACAATTGTCTGTAAAGTCTTTCAATCTTTAACAAGGAATCATTGATTGCATGTCCCTTCGTATTTTGTATTTTGCTATTTGTGAATAACTGAAAGCAAACCTATTGTTTATGGCATGTTGACGCATCATACAACTATCCCTTTTTCAAACAACACAGGAGTCATTTATTGTTCAAGTAAAAATCGAGACGTTCTGAAGGAATGACTGCTCCTGTGGGCACGGTGCCCTACTGAGTCATAGAGCCAAAATTTAAAAAGCTCTCACTCCTGACGCAAGACGGCCGAGAAAAGACGTGACTAAAGAATTTTGGGATTTATCACTTCCTGTTCATTTGATTGCACATGACCATACTATAATTTTACTTATTGAGACTTGTGAGATGCAGTATTTTTATAGCGTGGTTTATTTATACAGCAGGTGTCGCTTTGCTTGTATCCTTTTCCTCGGCTAAACCAAATGTTAATTCCTCTACCAGCTAAACACAAAAATTCAGTGAGTGATGTAGTCATGCTAGGTCCAAAAGTATTGTTTACTGCTGAGGGAGGGCATCTGATAATTATATTACAAACTTGCACTTAAGATTCACTGGATGGCTATTTATAGTAATTTAGGAATATAGCAATAGGTTGTTATCAGTAGAAAAGAATGCAATGACTAACACTACATAATACAAAACTTAAACTTTTATATACTTAATATAAAAAGTCTTAAAAATACAAAACTCTAGCCATTTTGAAGGCTCAAAACAAAATCACACTATAATACAATATCATTTCAGTACACCTCTGCTTCTCCAGTGTCTATATAATTAACCTGTAAGAAGACACTCCTGTTGGTGTAAAATTATATGGTGCTATGAGTTGAATAACATTAATCTTCTTCACTTATAAAAAGCCTTTCCATCTTGATCACTATTTCTTCATGACATAATATTTAATGTCTCATAATCCTTAACTAAACAATATAAATATTTGTGGTGTCTGAAGTCTTTGCTTTTTACTATCTTTGCTCATATTCTACTTTTAACTTTTACTGCCAAGCTCATTTGTGGTTTGTTTATCAGAAGTGTGAAGTCATGGTTAAAGATGTGTGACTTGTAACTTGTTTACGGTGTAAGCTCCATTACCTCAGGCCTAGCAGTGATTTTCTTTAGAAGCCCCAAGATGTGAAATGCCTTGAGTCACTGTCTTACAAAGCTACTGGGATAAGCCATTCACTCACTGCATGAAGGAAATGCATATGATTGATGCTGGCTGTGGAGGAGGTAATAAAGATTGCTGACTAATTTGAAAGCTGCATTGCAGTGTGGTCCCAAAGGCGAGTGGGAGTCCAGACAGTCTGCAGTGGTTCTAACACACAGCTGTCTGTCTACTTCTGCTCAAAATTAGGGCTGGGTAACATGAAGAAGCTGCTGATATGATACAAACCTCAATACATAGGCAACAATACAAATTTTGATACAGCGCACTTTCGATTCAGTATTGGATCAGATATTTTTGTAATTGATTCGATAAGATTCAGTAAAAAACAAAGGCTAAATCATGGCTGTGATATTAAAAGTCTTTATTAAACTACTTCCTTTAATATACATCTATTTTAATAATCAAACCAGTGAATTGTAATTGAAAATTGTGGTGTTGTCACAAAATAAGTTAATTTGTGTCCTGTGAATGTGTTTTTTTTAGTTTTTTTTTTTTAGTACTGATACTTGCTCATATGGCTGTCTATTTTCGATACTAGTTTTAAGTCACGTTAAGTGGCCAAAAGTACAATGTAAACCTTTATCAATCTCACCATATGTTTCGATTGAAGGGTCAATATTGAAGAGGGAGTTTTCAAACCCTGAATTGTGTCTAAAGTGTCTAATTGTGTCTAAACATGCCCAAATTTACAAACGTTTAAAATTTGAAATACAATACTGGTGTCATGACATGTCTAGTGTTATATTTTAAGTTCATCAACTGAAGGGACTCAACTTAGTCTCTTTTCTTAGTCTTTATTTTTTAGTTGCTTACGCCCTCTGCTGGTAAAATGTATTTGCCCACACAGGTTAGCTTATGATGGAAACATACTATTTTACTTTTTCACACAGTTGTGCATATTTACTGATAATAAAACTTTCAAATCTTCCCTTTAATCCAGTTCATAATGTTTTTTTTTCTGTTATTCAGGCTGTGAAGATGTCTCTTTCTGCTATGTTCACAACAACACTCATACCAGAAATATTTACATTGGATTCTGCTACTGTCCAGCCAACAGAGCCCTACACATCAAACCTGCTGATCAATGCTACAGATTTAACTGGCTTAAACAACAACAGCCTGTCTGCACTACCCCGCTGTACCTATAAAGAGGACTTCAAACAGATTCTGCTGCCTGCCGTCTATAGCTTTGTTTTTGTCCTTGGACTTCCTCTGAATGCTGCAGTTATTCTGAAGATATGGAGGAAGAGACCCAACTTATCACGAAACAACATTTACACCCTCAACCTGGCCATAGCTGACCTGCTGTATGTGATGTCCCTTCCATTGCTTATCTATAACTATGGGAGTCATGATTACTGGCCCTTTGGGGAGTTTGCATGTAAACTGGTCCGGTTTCAGTTCTACAGGTGAGTGCACCCACTGGGTATTGCATCATTAACTAAAATTATTTTGATCTAGGCCAGTAGTTCTTAAACTGTAATAGTGCGTTGTACTCCTAGTCCTTTCCTAGTTCTAGTTTATGGTCCTAAGTCCTAAAGGTGGGGGACATATAAATATTTATAGAAGAAAATCAAGTATTTTTTTTTGTAATATAAAAGGCCTCAAGAGTAAAACATAAAAGCAGAGTAAACAAGGGTATACAGGTGCAGTTTTTTCAGCCCATGTTTTGTGCAATACTTTAACTTTGACCAAAGTATCTGGGTACATTTTGGCTCATATTGGATGGATTGCAAAAGTATGATTATCAAATATACTGTATATATGATATCAAATTGGGAAAATATTAATTTTGTCATGATGCCTGATACCCCCGCTGTTTTGGTTTAGTCCTTGTAGTTTCTAAAAACATTTGAGGTGGTTCTTTATGTGAAAACTCTATACTTTTTGTTTTCTTTCTCAGTAATCTCCATGGCAGCATTCTGTTCCTGACTTGTATCAGTGTGCAGCGCTACGTAGGCATATGCCATCCCTTAGCACTGTGGCATAAGCGTGGTGGGCGAAAGCTGGCATGGCGCGTCTGTGGAGGGGTCTGGTTGGTGGTCATCCTGCTGTGTGCACCCACTTTCCACTTTGCAGCCACAGGGATCCAGAGAAATCGCACTGTATGTTATGACTTAAGCACGCCAAAACACTCAGTGAACTACTATCCTTACGGCATGGCTCTGACTTTCCTCGGATTCATGCTGCCATTCTTGGGCATCATGTTGTGCTATTGTCGGATGGCTCTTTTTCTCTGCCGACCGGTGACGCATCAAGGTGTCGTCATGGCGAGTAACGAGAAAAGGGAGAAAGCTGTAAGGATGATCGTTGTCGTGGCAACAGTATTCTGCATAAGTTTTTTTCCATTTCACCTGACCAAGACTATGTACCTGCTCGTCCGGACTTTTCGTGAGGTTCCTTGTGAAACTAGAAACTTGTTTTCTATTATTTATAAAAGTACCCGGCCGTTTGCAAGTATGAACAGCTTCCTGGATCCTATTCTGTTCTACTTCACACAGCCACGGTATAGGCAGAGCACGAAACGGTTTGTGCTTAAAATCACCACACTTAGAGAAAAAGGGACTAGTGTATGACATTTAGCTGGAACAACTGGTTAATGTGAATATACAGTAAGATTTAGATAAATTATAATATAATATAATACTACTGTATGGTTTACTTTACTATTTTATACTTGTTCACTGTGAAATTAAGTTCTATTTTTTTATAAATCAGTATTTTATAGAACTATACAGAAAATTATGTTAAACCCTATGTTTGGTATGTTAATTTCTTCTGACTTAACGTAAATATGTTTAATTTATGGAATTGCTTTGAAGAGTATTTTTGTTCATCAAGCAGTTTACCATAATACAAGAGAATGATGACTTGCATGTACTGTATATGCGTGCTAAAGAAAAGCAGTAGGTAAGCTGAAAAGTAATTCTCTCACATTCTGAAGGAGTTTAATGTATTGTATTATAAAATGAAGGCCGTGTCGACTCGATGTCAATATAATTTAATACCAGAAAATATCAGATGTTTTCTGTTTGTAAACGTCTTGCACTGAGATGCTCTATTCTCTATTACACCTTAAAGTGTTTATCTATTGTACACATTGAATATGTTCATTGTAAAAGAACAGAATTATACATGTGAACAGACTATAGATGTTTTTGCAACTTAATGAAAAAAAAAAACATTACAGTGAACCTATGTTTCTTGTATGTGCTGTGCATGTACTTTGACACTTGGCTTATGCATTGTTGTAAATGCCTGTGGAATATATTTTGTCATTCTTGCTAAACCGTAAGCAGTATTAGTTCCAACAAATGTGTTTACTTGTGAAAAGTGTAAGCATAGAAAGTTTAACATAGTTATATGTGTACATAATTATATTTTTGTTACTTACTTGCTATAATCTAATAATGCGTTGTGAAATAATAAAAAAAAAAAAAAAGCATAAATACAATAAAACTTATTCCAATCCTCTGCCTGGAAAATAAAATGCTTGCATAGGGAAATGCGGACGACAGGGGGCACTGCAGTCAGTAACTTTTCTTGTGTGAGAAATGGCACTGGAGAGTTTCTCATTGGAACAAAAGGGCCTGTTGACCACATGGAAAGACCACAGCAATTTTATTGTACGAGAGTGAAAATATTTTCTATGTTTGACCCTTAGTTTAAATTTAGAAAATGAAATAAAATTTGTAATACAACCTGCATAGCTGCCCAAACCAAGCACATACAACTTCAGATCATCACATTCAAATGTATTTATTTATTTTTGTCTGAGAAAACTAATAATTGACATCATTATAGCATGCATCACAAAAGAGTTTAAACTGCAGTTATCAATCTATATTTGTAAATGTGGGCCTAATAGCCAAATGCACCACTGTTGAGCTTTTGTACAGTTTTCTAGACAGAGCTCCTATCTCTTCTTGAGGGAATGGGCTATAATTACACACAGTTTGTACAAAGTATCTGGCTTCTGCCATCAAAAAAGAAAAAGCTTTTCCTCTCAATCCCCGAGGGGACTATGACAGCCCCTATACCCCTAGTCCCGCCCACCCTCTGCCCTATCTCAGGCATTAATGCAAAAAACAACACAAGTCACGGAAACTCAAATCATGCCAAAATAAGGAATCTTGTAGAGGACTTATCAGTCAATGATGCGCCGTGCAGGCCGTGCAGGCGCGCTGACACAGCCGGACCCAAACTTTACACGAGGAAGATGATGGAAACGTGTTTGGGAACAGGTTGAGGCCAGAAACAAAAGGTTTGTTAAAACCGATTTCTTCCAAATGCGGACGTGGATTCGACACATGTAAGTTTGCCTCAAGAAAAGTATTAGTTTACTTTCAGAAAAGTTGTTCCTGACACATTTTAATGAGGACTGTGACTTTATTTTCATTTGTAGGAAAAAGAGCATAGTTGCTGGACTTTTGTGCCGTTATCATGTAGTGGAGAAGTTGACCACAGTTCAAGAAGGTGCATGGACTCTAACTAATGTCGCTTGGATAATGAGGGAATTAACATAAACAATGGCTGAAAAAGGACATAAGATGGTGTACCGCAGCGTGTCTTTTAAAAAGCTGGGGTCTTGGAGTGCAAGCAACAGTGAGGACCACAAATCAGAGGATTCGGAGGCAACTGGCGTCGCCCTTCCTCCGGATCTCACAGCAGCACCACAGCACTTGGCGACGCGCAATGTCAGTCAGTCAAGAAAAGTTTCCAAAATCCGTGCCACAACCGCCGGCCTCCCAACCACAGACCCAAAGAGAGGCTCCTCCACTCCCATCTCTTCTCTTTCTCCATCCATCCGCCAACTCACAGAGAAGTTCAGCAGCAGCAGCAGCGGCGGCGGCGGTTCACCAGGGACTCAGACAACTTCACCGAGTGACAGAGCAGCATTGAAGCGGGGCAGGAGCACTCTTCCCCGGATTAGGAACTCGAGGAAAAACGGATCTCCCTCTCGCCATTCTTTTCACGAGGATAGCGCTAGTGGATATTTACTGGACAGTAGTGATACAGCCCGGGACTCCTCCACTGACAAAGTGCAAAAAGTTTTCTCTGGGACTGATTCGGTGTCTGGTTCCGACTCAGAGAGGAGAGCAGAAAAGAGGATTTTAATACGGGTTTCACTCGACAGCCACACTGGTAAGAGAGATTACGCACATATTTGTCATTCTGAACCCAGAAAAACTTTAACAGACGATGAAGAAGATGTTTTTAGTCGGCCCAGCAAATCCCACAGAACTTATTTACTCACACATCCTGGCGATCTGCACTCTGACAAGTGGCCAAGTGTTACCAAAATTAGACAAATTTTTGATGAAAAGCAAAGTAAAGAACAACACAAATCTAGCTCATATGAAAATTTAAAAACTACTGGCAAATGTTATTCTGATGAGCATATCTTTAACGAGAGTGATAAACTTTCTTCTTGTGGGTCTGTCACTGAGACTAGCTCCTTGTCTTTTCATGAGAGATGTGTAGTGGGTGGACAGAGCAGAGAAAGCAGTCCTGCTACTGTTTGTGGGGATATGGACTTGTCTCTCAAAACTGTCAGGCAACACTATCTCAATGAGACAAATGCAGAGAATAGTGGCCCCAGAAATACTTTTCAAATTAGTCTTAGTCACCACCATAGGATTAACCCACTTCTGAGTGCATCGAGAAATCCCAATTCAGAATCCCAGTCTGCACCCGGGACGACAGGGGTGACACCTGACCCTCACCCTGACCTTCAGCTCTCTGCTGCTTCTTCAGTGAGCCCAGACACCTCTTCGTGCTCCACCTCTTTCCTCCAGACTAAGGTGAGGGAGGAGAGGGGTAGACAGGGGGTCGGGCTGCCCAGGGATAGTTTACATTCCTCACATAGCTCCTCTGCAGAACCAGCCCCCTCCTTCTTCACTCCACCTCCAGATAAAGCCACAGCCTCCTCCTCTACTGTAGCTCCCAACACAGGACTGAGAGCATCAGAAAGAGGTGGTGGCTCTTTCTTTATTTCCCGCTGGAAATTCAGCTCGGGTGACGAGGAGGAACAGTGCAACAGAAGAGGAAGGAGCCTTTCTTCTAGCCCCATCTCCTCCGTTTGCAATAGAGAGGAAAGAGGAACGCTAGATTGTGGAGGCAGTTTTGTATCACGTCATAAAAATGGGCTCTGGGGTGCTAAAGGCATTGGCAGGTCTTCAGGCAGTGAGGAGGATAGCCCTGGCTGCATAAGTGCACCTAGTCGAGATGCTGTACGTCGGCGATCATTAAGAAAGAAAAAGAAAGTTGGTCTTCTTTCGACAGGTCGTGCTGATTATGATGATCATGATGGAGAATCAGAAGATAGTGACAGTGACACAGATGTGACCATGGAGCAAATGGAGAGGCAAAATACAGTTAGCAAACAGTTTGGGTCTGCACTAACCCGGACCCAGTCTGTGAGAGAAGCAGGGAGTTATAGTAACAGATTCAGAGTGCAGCAATGGGAGCGTATGTCCTCACCTGCAGCTACCACACGCCCATCTGTTTCTCGGGTGTCAAAGGTCAACATCCCTCCATTCCTCTGCAGTCCTGGTGGGTCATGCAGCAGCAGCCGGTACTCCAGCACTGAAACACTAAAACAAGATGATCAGATTGGCAGCCATGTAGGAAGTAGTAGTAGTAGGAAAGTGAATCCATCTACATCCATGCTCAGTAAAACCTTCCATGGTAATTTTACTATGTATCGCTCTCCCAGTTTTGGCCATGGGGACAACGTCTCTCGCGCTCCTTCACATGTGCGCTCTAAGTTTGTGCCTAAAGTCTCCTCCTCTTCCTCCAGTATGTTTGCCAGAGAGAAAGGTGTGTATTCAGGAATGGGAGTAAATCCAAATGTTAAGTTAAGGAGGGCAGCTTTTGAGGAAGGATCTAATGAAAAAAAATCTATCTCTAACCCCGATATAGCATCAGAAACACTCACACTTTTAAATTTTCTGAAGTCTGACTTGTCTGAACTTAAAATGCATAAAACAAGTGAAAAATGTAGTGAAGGATCGTCTGTATATAAGATTGGTTTAGGTAGTCAGAGTGGAGCACCGCTTACCTCTGGCTGTCGGCCATCTTTGAAAGACTTAACTGCTACCCTGCGCCGAACTAAATCGTTTACTTACTCAGAGAAACCCACAGCAACAGTACGAGGTTACATGACAAGCAGCTCAGCTAAGAGGAGTTCTTCTGAGCAGCGACTTGATCTAGAAGGAGAGGGGAGTCGGGGGAAAATCCCTGACAGAGAGGTAGAAAGTGACAGTGGTGATTTTAGGATAGGAAGGCATTACTCTTATGAAGATGAGGATGATGTAATGCCAACTCCGTTACAGGATCAGTACGTCCAAGAGGCAAGAAAGGTTATTCAAGACATCTGTCAAATGAGCAATAGGGAAGATGATGCTGATGACATAGATGTTAAGAAAACTGAGGATGTTTTAAAGAGGAACAGTTTCCAGATGAACAGAACAAATGAAGAGGAACTGCTTTCAAGTTTGAGTGTAAAGAATGAGGCAAAGACAGAAGAAGAGCATGAGTGTAAGAATGTAAAGCCCAAAGATAAACATGAGAGGGAGGAGGAGAACCAAGAGAGTGAGAGGGGCGAGAGGGATGGACCAAGTATGCAGTTAGGGAAGTTAAGCAGCCAGGGCACAGAGAACAGGGGAACAGTGCAGAGGAGAGAGACAGAAAAAGCCTTACTGAAGGGGGACTCTGAGGAAAGCATGTCCTGCGAGCGCTCTGTGGATGAACTTTCTGGACATGAGTCGAGTTTAACAGATGAAGGGATTGTGACAGAGCCAGAGTATGGCCTTTGTGAACCCACAGAGAGGTCGTTCCTGGGGTCAGCAGAGGTTAATTTAGGGTCAGGGAGTTCCAGGGACCTGATAGAGAAGCCTGTCACCTTATGGAAACAATCAGCCTTCCATGTGGCGGAGGGGCTGCATCAGGAAGCAGAAAAGGTCACAGAGAAGCATGTGAGTTCTACAAATCTACTGACTGAAAATGGCACTGCTTTCTCTGGGCGTGTGGCTGGGAGTGACTGTGCTGCTAGCAAGAATGTTAGCACTACCAACGAGGAGATCACCTGCAATAAACCTGTGTCACCCGGGGTAACAGCTACAGCTGGAGTAGAGGGGCCTGAAGGGCCTACAACCCCCAACAGCACCCGGCGACGGCGCAAGTTCTCCCCTTCTGGTAATGCCAGCACAAGCTCAGACATGAGCCATGTTTGTAACACAGAGACAACAACAGCTGCAGCTGGAAATGGAGAGTCCACTGTATACCGCTCCCTCAGTGACCCTATGCCTCAGAGATGCTGTTCTGAAACGGAGGATGGAAATAACAACTTCTCATCTGTGGACAGCAACCTGTTAGGCTCTCTGTCTATCAAAGGGGGAGGAGCTTCAGACACAGCCACTATGACTACTTTGGCAGAATACCAGGGCAGTGTAGCCAGCGACCTGTCACTATACAGCGATGGAGGCCTGTGTGATGACGACATTCAAGACTACAGTGGGGTCATCAGAAGTATTGTAGCAGAGCCAGGTGCAATGGACAGACTCATGATAGATGATAATGGAAATGGCAAAGCACCTAAGAAGAAATCATTTAGTGACCCTAGTCGTAGAAGTGAAGTGCACATTGATCCACAGCATAAGGCACAGTCCGGCAGCACTGAGCCAATCAGTGAACTGGAGCAAACTGGCCAGATCCCACCCTCTAGCAGTGAGCCAATCCTGTCTGAGCAAAGAGAGGAAATGTGGAAGCCAGAGGGCAAGTCAACAGCAGTGCTTCAGTCACAAAATCATGACAGTATCAACACCATGAAGCCACGTTCTAAATCAGATGATTGCCATTATGCTGAAAATTATGAAGATGATGATGCCATTGATGGGGGTAAAGCAGAAGAGGAAGAGGAAATTAACTTTAACTTTGACCGTAAGTTTGTTGAAGCCTTGACCCCTAGAATAATCCGTAGACCGGGGAGAAGGCGACCAAATAGACTGGCACACTTTAGCCCCCTGGAGGACCCTTTTGAATCATTAGGGCTGGACGAGCAAGAAGATGACACTGACGAAACTGATATCACAGCTCCTCTTTCTCTGATTGTGCCTCAATCAAAAGACAGAACCAAGCCCAAGCATGTTCGCCATGCCAGTGAACCAACAACGTTTATCCCCATTTCCCCTCCTCCCTTGTATCCTGTGAAGGAAGCAGACTGCCTCTCTGTGCTGCCTACTGCTGAGTCCGCACTGCTAAATAAGACATCAGGGAACAATGTCCTTGCACTGGAGGATGTCCCAAAGACATATGTTCTGGAGAGGAGCAGCTCAGAGGGAGACGCCAGGCCTACGCTTGTTCCTAAAGATGGAGTGGAGTCTACAGCTGTATTTGAGGCCCCTGTCAGTGCGGATACTGGACAGCATAAGACATCAGATGACCACCCATCCATTCCTGTCCCCCAGAGGACCAAGCCAAGAGTGGTGAGTTTACCCTTATTCTTTTTTTCATTGTCTACCTCACTGTGTTGCATTTTCAAATGTGTACTGCATAACATTACATGGCAGGTGTAGCATCACATAAACACAATTATTACAAGTACTGTGTTCTGTGAATATCAAAAAGATATATAGAATACGTTGTGCTTTCCTTTATTTGGTCCTGGTGGAATCTTCAGCCAAAACAAGCTTTATGCAAACCTTTTAAGTTTATTTGATTCATGGCCTCACTGACACGTTTATGTCTTGCCTTTTCTGACTGTTGTGAATTAGGGCTGGATATGGTTTGAGCAAGACCACAAAACAGAAGTCATTAAGGACTGAGGCCAGTAACCGTCTGTGGATGTTATTCCCTTGAATAAACAAGACGAGACAAAAGCTTTAACAAGTGGAAATCTGTTTGAACAGTTGGTTTGTCATGAATCCCTTTTTCCTTTGCCAGAAGAAAATTGTTATGTGAAATACAGACTTCATATGTTAGAGCTGTAATTCCATAAACATATTGGGGTTATGATCTGCAGTATTATTCATCATTAAATTGATAGTGCCTTTACCCTATGCACATTTGTATCCTGTAGATCCTAATGGAATAGACTCTTAAAGAAAACTTAGTGCTTTTCAGTGTTTCAGGTTTTTCATCCTCTTCGTCGTCCATGCTGTTTCCTTTCCTGTTCTTTCTCGTTGCTGTGGCGACTGAACCCGTAGCTGGCGAATCACCTCCTTGGGCAGGAAATGGCTTTGGGAAATGGGAAGTTGTTGTGCTCACAGAAGTGTTTGATGATATCCAGTGCTAGTGGCTGGCGTGTGCACATTATAGTTGAGCGTGTCTATTAAAGCTGTACATTGTTCACAGAGGCCACAGGCAGCACTGTGCTAACGTGCAGCTAAGAGGTGTTCTGCGTTTAGAAGCAAATGGGCCTTGTGTAAATATGTGCCACATCAGTCTTGACACATTATATTGTCCAAGACTGCAAATCTAGAAGTACTTCGAGTAGTAGTTAGTTGTAGTAACTGTACTCTATCAAATAACCCTAACAATATTTGGCTCAGATCAAAATGATCACAATTTTAAGGGACATACTTTCAATCATGTTATAACATGGTTCCCTCATCAAAAATAACATTCCTGGAATTGTGTTTAGCTTAAAGAAATATTAGGATGAAACTGAAACATACGTAGATCCTTATTTTATATTTTTTAAATTGTAAACTGTCATATTGAACTAAAAAGTATAAATTCACTTCCTCTTCAAAATGGAAGAATTTATAGGCTCCAACTCTTTGTAGTGGCATTTCATAGTAGGAAGCTGCAGATTTTGATTTATATGTTTTTATTGTTGAAAGATGTGACATATTTAACCCAGCACGTGTGATCTGGAGTTTGATTTATTTTCAGTAATTGCATCAGTTAGAGAAGTAGGTGCTTTTTGAGCTATTAAGTCTCAAATATGCAGGATGACACAGGATTTCTCAAATACGTACGAATTTATGGACCTACAACTTTGAGTAAGCTAATAATGAGAGAACACGGTCATATGTCCCCGATCAGAAACTTTAAACACATATTTCCCAATGAATACCCAGTTACAGTATAGTTTAGATAGAAAATCTTCATAGAAGTCTAGTTAGGGCAATTTAGCCACAAAAGCACTGATTATTAATTGTAAACAATACTCCCTGCTATTATTAACCTAGAAAACTCAAAAGATAACACTGTGCTCTCCAGCTTTTCACATGTATGCTTTATTTTAGTTTGCCAGACTAGCGCAAAAGAAGTAAAGCAAGCAGGAAGGAGAGAATGTGCAAAAAAATGTCCAGGATTAAAATAGTACAGAGTGAGCTAAAGAATGAAAGAGCGATGAAGGGAGGGGGAGAAGGAAAACAGGTCTTTCTAAAACCAGACAGTTATTTTTAATATCTTTTTATTTTTAAACTATAAAGTACCCTGCAAAAACAGTTGATCTTCCTTAACCCTCATGTCTTCAGTTCCTAAGGCAATAGCTTGTCCAAACACACGGAACATTGGGCTTGACTCACTGGTTTGTGTTACGCTATAGGTCTCCCCGCATATTTCGCCTAATTTTTAGCATGCTGCAAGAATGTGTTTTATCTCCTCTGTTGCATAACCCAGAAAGAACAGCTGTGCGTAGCATGTAATGAGGACCCGTTGCCAGTGATATTGACAGATATGTATGTGGGGACATCTTAAATATCTATTCAATAAACAAAGTTTGACCATCTGTGTTCCATAAACGTAAACTGTTTGACTGAAGGAAGATGAACAGCAGCCATTTTTGTTTCCTTTGTCTTATTGATGAGGCCACATAAGGTTTTGACTGAACGTTTGGGAATGGGACAGTGTTGTGCTCTGTTTTGCATGGTTACATTTCAAAGCACTGGTCTAGATTTATGACTGACAGATTTCTATTAGGCCACCCACATAGAATTGACTGTTTTCTGGCTTGATCAGTTTCTTTTCTTTTCTTTTCTTTTTTTAAAGCAAAGCCTGCTCCTCCTATGCTGCAAGATAGGAGATAGAATTTCACACAAAAATACCCTGTTCTTGTTCACTATTCTGAAAGTTTTAATTTAACACTGTGTACGACGCTGTACTATGATAAAGCTGGAAATTCCTGCAGTCACTAAAAACCTATACAATATAAGATTATATTTCATAAACACCTAGATATATTCACTAGGGGCTTTCCAAACATGCTAATCGTGTTACATAGTAGTGACACAACAGTAGGAAGGCTTAACGGTGCTGCACCTGATTAAAAACATGAAAACAGAATTAGTTCATTTCAAACAGCAACAGTGCGTTTCAGAGTAACCAAAATTATTCTTTCCTTGAGTGAAAACGTTTCTGATGGTTTTCACACATAGACTGTATAAAGAAGTGTATTAAGTGATTGAAATGTCACCCATAGCGTTCAGCACCACTCAAATGAAGCTTGTGTTATTAACAGTTAAAGGAGCGAATTTGAAGCCAGGCTCCGGTTTAGGCCAAAATAGCTAAATAAAAACACCAAGATCACGTAAAGCGGGTTAATCCAATTATTTTAAGACCAAAATGATGAGGCTGAGAGCAACAGTTGCAGAGAGGATCGACAATATTCCAATGTAAATCAATGGGAGCCAGGGTCAGTATGAACCGGAAGAGCGAACTTCCAGTTTGGAACACGGCGGCTAGTGCGTTCGCCATGTCCATTTATATACACAGTTTATGATTGTTAGCCTGATTCATCAGCTGGTTTCGTTCGCTCGACAGTAGGCAGGTACTTTTTTCATTTAACCAATCACTGCTATTTGGTCATGACATAAATAATGCGCTGCTAATGGGGCTAACTGATATATTAATCCTTTTCCAAGTCCCGTAGGAAGATGGGCATTAACGTCTTTCCCCTTGATAAAATTCACCAAACATTCTCTTTGTTCTGGCTTTAAATCCTCGATCTCAGGAATTGTTGCCAACACAGAATGTATGGCTCTTTGCTGATTGGCTGGTCCCAGAACTCGCACTTCCGGGGTTTTTGCGAACTGTCTAGTGTATTCCGATTCCTGACCTAGTCGCTGGAGAGAAGTGGAATTGAGAGGCATTAGGTGACGCCAGCCTGGTTATAAATTGTACCTGTACAGTAACATTTCTGTGATATATCTGCTACTTTAAGTTCATCTGTTTTCTATTTATTTTAGCCCCACCTTTTCTCAACAATAACTGTCTGACTTACCATTATTTAAATTTTGATATAAATATTATCATTATTTTACTCATTTTATCGAGCAGCCCTACTACTAACACAGTAAACTTTGGTTTGATTTCTAAATTGTCCTGTATAGCCTTTACTGGATTTACATTATTTAAAAACAGCATGGCGATGTTTCAAAAAGTGACTGGTCCCTTTGAAAGTGCACATAAAAGTCCAGTCAAAAGGGCAGATCTACACACGCACGAGCACACACACATACACACGCACCTACAGGATATGGTATGGGTGCACTTTAGTAGGCAAAGGTCAGCTCTAGGTTTGTGAGCTCCTAAAAGCCGGGACCGTTGAGAGATGTAAAGGGGAGCGGGAGATGAAAGCCTGGAGGATGTGGTTTGTTGTGCCGCCATGGGTTCATTGACTCAGCAGATCAGAGGGAGGACGTAGGATGGACAGGGGCATCAAAAGACTGTGGCAGAGATGGTACAGAACAGAGGTGGGCAGAGTAGTGAAATCTACCAGGACAGAGAAGTGAAAGTTGCATAAACGTCAACATTTGTCAATAATAAACTGGGTCAATTCGGAAGTCTTTTTGTTGTGGCAGGCATTATTTTATTGGATGTAGTATGTGACAGGTACAGTGTTTCTGTGTGGGATTTGCAACTGGCTGTGAACGCTAATGGTTTTTGAAATGTAATTGTCCAGATTAATCATTTTCTTCAAGCAACTATACTTTTTGGTCTGCATTTTGAGTTATAAACCCACATTTTGATTGTATACTTTAAATTTGTCTGTGTTTGCTATGCGTTTAGTTTAGGCATGTCCAAACTATGCCCCGCAGGCCAAATGCATCCCTCAGACCAATTTCTCTTGGCCCTCAGGCTTCCAGGTGAATTGGCCCATATTACTTTAACAATACTTTTTATGGCAAGTTTTTGAAAATCCAGCTTGATGAAACCGATAATGTGTTCCGTTGAGGATCTATGCATGAATAAAGGTCTTGTGACTTGTTTTAACCAGTTTTATATGCAAATTTTTTAATGATTCCATATGTTGACCACTAGTTTATGGCCCTTGATCGGCATTCTGCTTCATCTGTGTTTTGCTATGCAACCCTTGATAAAGAAAAGAGTTTGGACACCCCTGGTTTAGTTCTTATAACAAAATGAGTAATGTTATTTTTTGACATTTGCTCTGCTGAGTAGCGTCTTGGACCACCACAACACAAATGTTTGCGAGCCTATTATTTAGTGCCAAGCCTTTGTGGTTTGATAGAAC